ATAACTTTATTTACTAGGTTAGGAATCTGACACTATTCAATGTACAATGTACAATTGTTGAATAAAGATATTGAAATTAAATGAAATGAAAACTTAAAAAATATACCTCTATGGAGCCAACGACGTTCAACGCTAGAAATCAGCTGTGCTCTTGAATTTTATTGTTATGTTTTGAAGAATTTTCCTAACCTAGCTTTTGTTTGTAAATGAACGTTACTGTTAGAAGATGAGTGAAATTTTTCTAGTGGGGCCTTGAATGGATGATGATTAATATTGTTCGTAACCTCCTGTATATTGTCGGGTCAGGTAAAATCTTGTACGTTACACGTTACGCAAGAGCGTGTTTACATGACTTAGGTAAATTATTATGCAACTCGCTTCCGCTCGTTGCACAACCTTCACCTGCGTGATGTAAAAACCCTCTTACTACACTTGTAAGGTAAATAGCTATTACACCAAATGGTCTCAAGTTAGTGCAACTACTAACTTTATATTACAAAACTTAAACTTTCTAGCTTCGTAATTTATCTGTGAAAACTATGAATCCGATTGAAATAATTGATAATCTCAGTTTAATGACATATTTAATGCATTGTGATCGATGTAATACATAATTAAACATTATTGATCTACTCAATGTATATCAAACAATATTTACTCTTGAAGGCTGTGGAACGTTCATAAGTTTGGACTTAGATAATCAAAGTTTCCTAACCCATTTTCTCGGCTGAGACGAAAACATTTTGTCGTAATTTGTCTTCAAAGTTGCTTTCATCTTCTTTTTTGTTGGAAACTTTGTAACGGCCTCTACTTTACACATGGTGTCTTTAGCTTGTGCAGAGCCAAACTTCAGTAGAATATACACACGTAAACCTTTAGTTTGCAAAGTTTAAGATGCCATTAAGTATTATTATCTCTATTAAGTTATTATCACACATGTGAAGTGTATGTGGAAAAATGTTCGTGAATATAGTAGCCTCGAACTGTTAAACATTGCTTGGCCCAGAGCCTACAAAACATTGGTAGGCCTACCTATGTACATATGATACGTATTTACGTACACAAATCTTTAAGTGTAACTGACGTAACTCAGATGTCGTCTCATCCATCCAACACTCGACTTTCACAAATATTTTCATTAATTTATGCACCGTGGCGTGTTGTATGAACCTATTTATAATCACTGGTTAACACGAATATTAGGACAGAAGCGGTGGATTAGATGGATGGATCATAAACTTAAATAAATTAGGCCCGAATGCCTAACCTAATAGCTGTAACAACTGGTTTGACAGTTCCATTTACATATTAATAAACTCATGTTTAATTTTGGGCCAGTTACGTCATTTGTTTATGCATAAGATCTGTACCGTTTCTGTTTTAGTATTCATGTTAAGCATAGTACACGATAGTAACCCAACTACATAGATGTAAGCAACAATTTTAGGCTCACTAAACAATTGCCAACCTTCACAATGTAAACAAAATGTATGACAGCTGATTATAATACTGAGAACCCATTATACTTACAGCTGTTTGAAAACAGGAAAACAGGGATTTTCACTATATGCATTTTGGATACTAAAAACCACTAATTTACCGTTATTTTTCCAATCTTTCTATAAAATGTGGGTGAATTCAAGGCTCCGTTAGAAAAACATGCCATGCTGCAACGCAACACTACGTCACAGTGGTGGATAGTTGTACTAAAATCTTACCATTGAAATCTGACAAGCAGCCAGCTTATTTACCTAAACATATGGTATGTGACAATGAATTTATCAATGAATCTATCCACTAGTGTGACGTCATGGATTCTGCAGCATGGCCTGTTTTTCTAGTGGGGCTTTTGGTGAATTGTAACGAACAGTGTTAAACACAGTGTGTGCAAGTATTTTGACATGGCATTAATGATCCGTGTGATAGGTATTAGTTCAGTGAACATACTTGAATGTAACTGGATGTATCAAAATAGTTTTGATATAAATAACAAACCTGTTGATATTTGGATGGCTGCCACTCCAGTGATGATGTCACCAGTGGTAATTGTTGACCAATTTGGCCAGTTCTCAAGATACGATTGCGGCGGGGCCGAAGAAAAGATAAAACATACTGCCTTGGTAAATTTGTCATTCTTATGAAACAGCTGAAGCAAATGTAATTCTTAGTTCTGTACGTTCAATTGTAGAGGTCGTGTTTTGTTTACAATTTGTTTTTTGTTATTTCAATCATTTAAAACCTCATTTAACCAAATAAAACGATATAATCATAAGCAATAACCAAATAGTAAAGCACAAATCATAAAAATAACCCTAAAATAATAGAAACGAAATTTTGTCTTCCCCAGCGATCATTGTGGACGGGAGACGCGGATTACAAGCTTCAAAATTTACAACGGGATGAGGAGTCCATGGTATATGTTAGTAAAACAGTTGCAAACAAACAACAATCAAAACGATTAGAGACCGTAAACTAAATTGAATTATTCGATAGCAGTCACGACAACTTTGGAACTAGCGATTTTCATACGAGTTACATCTTATTGTCATTTACGCTTAGTTTTCTTCAATGCACACCCTGACTTCTATACATAATTTAAATAGGGTTATTTTCATATTACCAACTTACAACTCAACAATCAATACTAATTATGTCTAATTACTCTAGAATTTATACTAGTTACTCAATGGAAATTGTATATTCCATTATCACAATTTAGTTGTTACCATTACTAATTGATAACACCCTTATTTGATTGTTGAAAAACTTCTTCAGAAAATGGTTTGTTGATTTTGAATAACAATAATCGCATTTACGTATTTAATTTTTACTAGATGGACTAAAACTAGTTTAAGCAGATTACACTATACGGTGCCAAAAATATTCGATTAGTCTGTAGTGGGACATCAAAGAATGTATTTTGTCTATAATTTATTTGATACAACACAAAAATTCTAATTCGCTAATAAAGAAAAACATCTGATAAAAAGTCTTGACTTTTAAGGTGGCTGTGAGTATAAATCTCGTTATACACGAGTGGGTGTCATGAAGCCCTATACGGCGCCAGGTAGGCAACACTCTGCTGACTCGCGAGGCTCCATATTGCGTCACAGCGCCTGCCTTATTTTCTTCACTAGTGTGTCTGGCGCCTGCCTGCAGTGTCACGAATCTGCCTGCGTTTGACATGTAAAGTATTTAAGTTTCTAGACTGATAAATTTACACAATGGTTATTTAGTTTCAGTCTTATAACATGTATTTTATGTATATAGATTTATTATAACCGTTTGATGTCTTTGTTATTTCTAAAATGTAGGATCCGGTTATTTAAAGAAAAAAATACATGGCAACAAAATGATAGTTAAAAAATTATTGATGAAAGACAAGCTTGCAACCTATAATCAAGTGTAAAGCTTAAGTCACAGTGTAGAAGATCTAGAGTTAAAAGTGTGAAGTTAGAAAATATCTTTAAATTAAAAATACCCCCGCCGCAGCAAACCTGCAGACTAAGCGAATTCCCATTTGCCTGATTGGATTTACACTAAAATGTTTCCTTAAATATATCAGATTTATTTCTTATTTAAATATAATTAGTTTAACGAGAACTTAGGTTTGCTGCAACAGGGATTAAAGTCCTTTTTTGTCTTAGTGTCGAATAGTGAATATCCAAAATGATAACTACGCTGATAATCAAACCAGAACCGATGTAATAACAACACAAAAAATAATAGATAAGAAAAATAGTGCGTGGAAATCTCAGTTGTAGTACATTAATACGTTGAGTAGTTTATTACAGTCTGATCAAATACATACACACTTCAGAGCAGCATTGATAACAATGAGAATATTCGAAGAACGGTGCTAGTGTGCCAAACCAGAATGAAATAGCTAAATGAATTCGTGAAGTATAGTGTCTATCGAAGAAAAAAGAGAAAAGAATTTATTTATAAAAATAAATACATCTGCTTTAAAAAATAAGGTTGCCAATGACACAGAAAAACTTGTCCACATAAAATATTGAAGGATTATACAACTATAAGACTGATTAATTTTGATGTTTGCCATATAGATGATTTCTCATTATGGTCAATGAACCTCTTAATGTTTCATGAGTAATAATTTTCAAAAAGGATCTGTCCAAATCATATTGTTTCCAAAAGTTCACAAACAATTTTGATAATGTTCCTCTAGAACAATAAACAATCCAATCACCTCAATTTTCGAAATTTTACAATTTTGCTTGAAATATTCAAAGGTAGAATCACATTTTTTTTCTTTTCTTCATTCACTTCGTTAGGTTTATTTATGTTTATTTCAAATCGAATTGTTGGATCAAGAATTATGCCTTTGTTAGTTTCTCTTTCGATCAATAAAATATCTACTCTTCTGGTGCTTCCGTTAGAAGAAAGACACTGTACTTCTTCTTGCACTTCCCATGTATAATACCTTTTTCGGAGACATTTGCTATGATGTTTTATAATGTCTATAGCTCTAGTCTGAATATTTTTTTAAGTCCCAATGGTCAATGGCAGCTCAATTTCCTGCTATCGAAACATAATAGAATTTCTGTAGCATGGTCCGTTGTGTATACTGGATAGCGAGCTGGTATAGTAGAGAGTGGGGTCCCCAAGGTCCCGGGTTGGAATCCTGCTAATTGGCAATGTGCTTATGCTGTACTCTGGGCCTATTCTGAAGCCCGGAATATAAATTCAGCCATAAAGAGGTTTCGTGCTAGAACCTAGTGTACTGGGGCGTTATAGTAGAACACGATCAACCAACGCGAACACTATGTCCATACACTCACTAACTGACCAAGTGTAACTTAATTCTACCACTGATCTACATTCCACCCACACAAATCAATTCCGTTAATGACCAAAGTCCACTAACCTTGGTGACGTCACGCAGGTCACATGACCTCACGTGACCAATAACAGGATCAAACCCCGCGAGTGCAATCCGCTTACCCGCCGCAGCGTCAGTAGCTTCGCGATGTTGAACCTGTACAAGAGTATGTCGCGCCACCAACAGGCGGCGGACAAAAGCGAGTTGTACACTGGACACGACCGCTTCGTCGAGGTGAACCGGATGTCCAGGAGGCCACGGAACAAGAGGTTGCTGCCGTTAGGACCTAGAAGAGCTCAGAGCGCTTCGGAGTTCAACTCCAGATCGCTCCGGGAGGCCAGGGCGAGGGCCGCTCTAGCGAGGTCGGCGTCCACGGATGACAGGAGTCCGAGGAGTTCTGGAGCAGCTACTCCCGCTGTGACGTCACTGACGCGGTTGTTCTCGTGTGTTAGTATGTCGTCGGTTCACACAAGGACGCAGGGGACGATCACGGAGAAGAGGCCTGGAGCTGCCCCGAGGTACCTTTCACAATTGAGAGTAGCATCAGAATGTTTTACTTTATAAATTTAAGAAAATTTAACTCAAACTATTTTTGATGATTTGGTGTTCCGTTTTGATACTAAAGCAATATATAGGAACTCTAACGCACTGTAAATTTAAATTAGGTATATAGATACCGTGGAAAATACTGTATTGGAACATTACACAATAAATCACTAAATTGAAATCTGTATGAAGTAGGAAAAGTGTTCGAAGTCAAAGTACAACTTTAATATAAGGTGCCAATCTTTGTTTTATAAGTTAGTACGCGTAGTCAGATAGTCTGTATAGTTAAATTGGTTTTTCTAACTTATGATACACATTACAAAGTGCAGGCATCTATAGGTTTGGTTATTTTATCCATTGTGGTTCACTACAATAGGAAACTACGAAGAAAAAGTAAAGTGTCCTCCCGAAATTAAAATTTCTTAAATGATTGGAAACTTAAATCTAGACCAGTGTTTGAACGACCTGAGTTCATCCAACCAAACGTCCACAAACTAGGCCTGGGTAAATTATGTTTGAAACAGTGGTCGAGTGGTGGCACGGGATTGACCTCAAGTACTCTATGGCGGTGGGAGGAAGGGTTGCCTAGGTGGGGAGCAACGAGAGGGGGGGGGGGGGTAAAGATAAGACTGTCAGCAAACTCTCGTTGCTGCTCGTTTTCCTGATAACACGGTGTGATCGTTGGTGCCGCCTTGAGACGCGTATTTTCCAGCTCATTTTTTAATCTTTCGTAACAATCTAATGAACACGTACTTCTTATTTACATTTATATCACTTTCTTATACCATGGTAATTTATTCCCAACAAGGCATTTGGCTTCACCTTTCTACTTTATTATGAGGAACAACTACGTATCAAGTCGAGTGATATCTTCAGTCTGTGGCTAGGAAGGTATGAGGAAAATGAGGAACTGGGTTGGCGACTTAATCCCAAGATACCTATCAGTTCCTGAATATTACTTCACAGCACGAGCATCTGGCTCTCACTACTTAGAGCACAGTTCTAACACTATCCACAGCTTCTGTGCTTAAATAGTCTGAAGAGGGATTTTCTTCTTTTGTTTTGAAGGGGAACGAGTTACAAAGACGTCAACAAATGATTTCATGTCTAAACTTTTTTGCAACAGAGTGTTTAGACATGAAATCATTTGTTGTCATCTTTTAACTCGTTCTTAGTTTGATTGGAAAATTTAACTACTCCGACAGATAAATGCAGGGTTCTTTCTATTTAATTGAACTCGTAAATATCGTAAAGGAATCTAATCCAAACTAATCAATCGCATTGTTGTGTCATTAAAAAAAATATCCACACATCTACAGAATGTGTCTATGGAATAGAACCTCTTCTTCAATTAATTGATCGAACGTTCTCTGATTTTTAATATGGTCCTAATCACTTAAGATACACTCTTCGAGGTTGAGGAAAGAATAAATATATATGTTAACTGTGTGTTCTACTTTCAAGCAGTAAATGTGCTATGTGCAGGGCATGTTTTAACAATTTGGCAATAATCAAAAGTTTTTTTTATAGATCAATGATTCACTAAGCTAATATAATTTCACATTTTCCGTTATTTCCCACCTAATGTTACCTGTTACATGTTATATTTTGGTCGCTGGATCACACGTAACGACCATCGATCCGTTGACCAAGCAGAGAGTCAGACTACATGTTTATGCATAACTGTGCTATGGAATATTACTGATAAGCCGTTGTGAAGCAGGGGAAATCCCAACCATAAATACTCACGAATATTAGATTTATTTAATTTAAATTTTGTGTTTATCTGCACCTACGAAATTGGTTTACGTTTTAGGAACGGTCTATTCAGTTCAGCGTTAACCTTTTGTTGCACAACATTACTAGTTAATTGATATCCGTATGACTAATCACATCTGGGTAATAGATATCGCTTTGAATTGAACCAGGTATTTTCAGATTTGAACGCGAACGTTGTACCCACTCTTCCACATCGACAATATGGATTGTTACGAATACAAATTTTAACTTTAGTTTAAGTTTTTAGGATTTTCTTAAGCACTTAAAACCCGAAAACATATTTTTTAAGTAAAATATTTGACCTTGACACTCGTCCAATGACCTATTAAATATTTAAAACCATTACGACGGTAGCGTGTGATAACAGCTGTTGTTGTGAGGGGGTGGTGGGAGGGGGTGGGGCTTTAAATCACTACGTTCGCGTGAGGTGCAAGTTAGGTTAGTAAACCCGTCCAGACTGGCACGTGTATTCCTGTGTCAGTCAGTGTATGATCCTTGTGCGAAGAGGTCCTTAGTAGTGTCCTGTGCGGTGAAGAGCGGAGAGTTTGTTGTTTGTTGCTTACCATCCTAGTAGATCCGGTCTTTGTGTGCGGATGTGCAATATGTTCGTGTGAACGCGAATCGGTTTTGGTAGTATTTGATGTGTTTTAGTACGGTCTAACTAAAGGCAAGGTGGTTTAGTTATTTGTTTACCATTTAAACTTGCTCCCGAATTTGTGCGAGGGTGTGCAATATTTAAGCGGGCATCGGTTTTGTTAGTTTGAATATTTTAACACGATTGGGGTAACTAAAGTAAAGTAAGATTAGGATGTGTTTTATGTTCATATTTTTTTCAACTGGCCGCATGAATATTAAAGTTGGCAATATGTTTGGGCGGAATCATTTGTTTACGATTCGTTATAACTAAAGCACAACAAGGTTAGGTTATTTCAATCTCAAACTGTTTGGTTAGGTTGTTTAATAGCTATTTACCTTACAAGTGTAGTAAGAGCGTTTTTACATCACGCAGGTGAATGTTGTGCAACGAGCGGAAGCGAGTTGCATAATTTACCGAAGTGATGTAAACACGCTCTTGCGTAACGTGTAACGTACAAGATTTTACCTGACCCGACAATATACAGGAGGTTATGAACAATATTTTTCATTGTCCATTTCACTCATCTTCTAACAGTAACGATCATTTACAAACAAAAGCTAGGTTTGGAAAATTCTTCAAAACATAACAATAAAATTCAAGCGCACAGCTGATTTCTAGCGTTGAACGTCGTTGGCTCCATAGAGGTATATTTTTTAAGTTAAGCACTCAATGTTATTTAAATGGGTTTCATTACATCACCGAGTGAGTTTTTGTTCAACTTTGCATCACTCGAGAAGTAACAAAGTTATATACATCACGCTTGGAATAGGGAAGTTTAACATGGCGGGTTAGGTAAAATAATTGAATTTCATTTTAAACATATGATTAATTGAAAGTTATATTGAATTGAAGATTGACATTTTACTGCGGAAAATAACAATTAAAGTGTGTGTGACGATCAGCATCTTTTTCACAATCCTCGATATCCTGTATTCCACTTGCAATTACATAGCTCAACTAGCAAATAAAATATAGGAGCAAAAATTAAAAATTGCGTTGTTATATCAAACAAAAACATCTGTGCAACAAAATCGCCTGTTCATTAATAACAGGCTGCAATTTGTGATTGAGATGAATATTGATAGTGAAGAAAATTACCTCTGCTCACATCGGAATTAAATTTTGGATTGTTAAAACATACAGAATTTTAAAATAAAAAATGCAATTAATTCCTTATTTAAGTTTAACTTGTAAATTTTCTTGATACTAGGTAAATAGACGTGAATAGTTTTCAAATTCTTGATGGGAACTAGTGAGCTTTATAAGATCAAATATATTAACTTTGTATACCAAAATTTTTTAAATGACTTACACTTATAAAAAGGCCTACTACGTTTCAAAGATCTTGTCTCATGTTTGATATGTTTATATTAGATTAATAAAGACCTCCAATTATGTCTCATGAAATTCCACTACTTCATAGAAAATGATGGGTTGAAGGTTGAACGTTGAAGTGAGATTTTCCAACAGATAATTTTTATTCACTCCTAGAATGTGAATTTCCATAAACCATTATTTATCTTAGACAACAGCACGCTAACATTGTTTATTGCCCATAAAAACTGGAACTTAAAGATAAATCAACATTATGTGAGTACACTGCAGTGGGGTACTACATTAATGCTAAATTACTAAATCAATATACGAAATTAACTTTGAAAATAAAATAGCTTCGATATATTTATAAACTATTGATAAAAACATAACTGGCAACATGTTTAGATACTTGTTGGTATATGTATGAAGTAAAAAATCCATTTATTACCAAATACAAAAATATAGAAAGCATGTTTGGTACGTAGTGTTTAACCTTGTCGATGAAAACACTAGACTAGAGCATTTATAAATCATTATTGCAAGTCACGTAAGCCATTAGGGAAATGAACTGTGAAAGAGGGAATTTGTTGCTATGTCAGATCTCTAGTTTCTAAACTTCTATATCAGTTTACTCTCATTTTATGATATAAACTGAAAACCCCGTAAATTGCACATCCTCCCACACCCCCAGTACAAAGACGGGTTTGGAGCATTTTTATAAGGGTTGGGAATTTTTTTATAATGGTTAAAAATAAAAACCCATATTTACTAAAATGGTGCCAATATTACAAAGGCTATTACAAGCTTACCAAGAGCTATTACAAGCTTACAAGCTTACAAGCTTACAAGCTTACAAGCTATTACAAGAGTATTTATTTTTGGCAGCTATAATACATTTTGGCGATAATTTGGTAAATTTCTCCCTGACATTCGTAAACACAAATAAGTCCTTATCTATTAAAACTATAAATCATTCTTTTCGGTTTGTACATCAACCTTCAGATAGTGAAAGTACTAGGGTTTTAAAATATTTTAACAAAACAAAATGATGTTTTTTCATATAGTATATATCGTTGTCTTTGTACGGTACTATCATTTAAGTAATAAATAAACGGTATCAGCAATCTGACGGGGGGTTGCACTATTTTGTTTAGAATTATGGTTTTTCATGGGTTTTTATGGGAAAATAACATAAGCTAAAATAACTTTTGAACCACAATTTTTATAGCCATGGGAGGTCGCACTATGTTGTTAAGAATTATAGGGATTATCACATACTAATTTTAATCAAAACCGGGTTTTTAAATACGATTTTCTCTCATTTTATGGGTTTTTATGGGAAATAACATTATTTACAATAGCTTTTGAACCGTAAATTTTACAGAAATGGAAGTTGTACCATTTTGATCAGAATTTAAAGGGCTACACTATACAACATTTTTATCAAAATCGTTCGGGCCATTTTTGAGAAAATCCGATTTTGCATTATTTTATGGGTTTTATGGGAAAATCTACATTAAAAATCAACATTTCAAAAAATTAAAAAATACCTGGAGATATCAAAGATTAGTACCTAAATAACAAATTTTATCAAAATCGGACCACAGGTGTAGTCTGTAGCCCTTTACACATCCACACATACAGACAGACACACAGAATTTTCAGGCAACAACCTTTTAATCAATTTAGAATGGAGTACAATTTCCATATAGTATATTTGTTTTTGTAGTCGAAAATCACAAAAAAACTACTGTTAGAGCTACAAAAAAACCTTGATACTCCCAGTAACCACATTTCCTAGGGTACGGTATAGGTATTTGGTAATGGATTGTCACATCCGGAGTTCGGACCTGGATGCGAACGAAGAATCAGGTGCTCAAATGAAACACACTTTAAACTTTTGAGAAAACTCGCATTGGCGTGCGGGTCCGATGAGGTAGGACGACGACTCGAGGGTACAGAGTGTCGGTGATAGTGTAGTTTTGCAGCAGTGGTAGCGGTAGGAAATTAAATACAAGTAACCAGGAAATTTACAAATTGAGAAATATACAATGAATTTGAGTTAATATACTACAGGAATAGAGAATGTTTTTCTATTTGTAAAAAACTCTAATAAAGTCTATACAATCGTTTTAATAATTCTTGGATAATCTATTTCATTTATGAAGACTCTTAAGGTAAAGCTTGTAAGTTTTTTAAACTTAGTTGATCGTTACTTTCATCACCGCTCTGTCAGAATCATATGTAAAACCTGAGAAGTCGTATAGATCCCTCGAGAGTCAAGAGCCTTGTGTAAGCTAGTGTTTTGAAACAACGTTGCATTACACCTGGATTGGAATCCTATGTGGAACCTCCCACTAGCCTTCCTAGATATCCTAGTCGTCCGACCAATCAGCATGGCCAAGAGACGTAACTCGTGTTCAGAACTACCTTTCACGGAGTTCGAGGACCGTCGGAGGGGTTGTTTCTGGGGGTTGCTGGGATCTGGACGCTCGGCCTCCACTGACCTAGAACTTCGACCCATCAGAACAGTTGCCGGGTAAAAAAATGTCTTTAAAAAATGTTAAGTATTTTATTTTTATTATATTATAAATTGATATAGGGTTGCAAAAAGTAATATTTTTACAGAAATATGAGTGGTTGAATGTAGAATTTATTGAAATACCTTGTAAAACTTTTAATTCACTTTCTCGGAAATGGAACTTTTGTTGATTCATAAAATACTATAAAATTTTTTTAAAGTGTCCAGAAGGTATAACATTTAATAACTGACTTTCTCCAGCAAACAAAATAATACCACGCTTACCACATTGAACATTTTGTTTTCCACAAATAGTAAGTTATGTTAAAAGTTTAATGTTGATCGACAGGATCGTTTACTATCTCTTGGCTAACAATCAATGTTTTCTAGCAAAGTACACCACAAAATGTTTAACAACAGTGCTGTGATTACCCTCTTTTGTTTAATGATCAGCATTTCCCATTTAACATGCAAACTGTTATACATGAGCTTTTATAGCCCATTGAACGTTTATTGCCTGCTATAAAACCCATAGTTTATGATGATGGGCAAGCTGAAAGTTTGAATTAATCGTTCTACCTTATCACATTTATCAGCCTAACTGAGCTTGAACCTTGCTGTGTGATTTGTTAAGAAAAATTAACATTGAGGTTCAGCTTTAGTTGTTTTCTAACTTAAGCTGAAGTTCTCTGTCAACATCAAAGTAGTAGAAAAAAACTGACTTTGTAAACAAAATCAAAACCCTTGAATCTGAAGTCTAAATATAAATAAAAACTAACTCTTGAAAAAAAAAAACTTGAAAAATGTAATAATCAACATTTTTTGTGATTCTAAAAATAGCGACTGAAAATCAATAATTACAATCATTTATTTGATTATAAGTTTATTCATGTATTGGAAATTCCGAATTTAGTATCCAAGAGGTTAAGTTTAAGAAAATACCCTGTAGTACTAATGCTTGCCTTGATAAAGAAGTGTTTTCATTAATTTCATTCAACCTTATTAGCATATTACCCTATTACCAAACAGCAATCCTTCCCTAGATTGTGTGGACAGATCTGGTCACGACATTAGAATAAAAGTACCGGTACTAAATTCGTTAACATTTAAAAAACCGTCGGTTACACCTTATGCTGAAAAATGTTATGTTTCAATATAGGCTATTTGTAAAATAAAAAAATATATAAAGTGTGCAAAATCTTCCGTCCCCTCTACTGCAATAAAATAGAGGACTTTTTTTTAGCTAAGATTATGGATCAGATTTCAGAATTTTTTTTAGTATATGGTTCGACTACAACTATTACCAAACATGATCATGTAGGTATTAAATAACATTAACAAATGCATTGGAATATTTTGTATGTTTATAAATATTGCAGCAGATAAAAGAACTAAAATAATTTATTCCTCCCAGGTAAATTTAAACTCTGTCAAAGTGAGCGTGACGCATCAAGCAACGCCGCATGCAGTGAGCCAGTTGCCACAGCACATATTATTTACTCGGTCATGCGATTTGCTATTTAATTTCTTACTCTGTGAAAGCATACACCATAAATCAAGTGAAGTATTCACTAATAACACATGCTCTACAAATTCTCGCAAGTATGTTTTATCTATGGTAATACTCTTCCCACTGTTAAAAACGGTTTGGTAAAAAAGTCTAATCTATTGACCAACCAAACAGTTAAGTGATACAGTAATTTCTACGACTCTAACAGACAAGATATTTTTAAAGAGCAAAACCAATCATTATATGGTTCACTGTTCTGATCAGAATCATATTCAAAGACAGCATTATGAATATGAGTTTTTATGTGTAAATCTTTTCTAAATTAGACATTTCCAAAAAATCATTAGCCTAATTTCACGCTTTAAAATACAGAAGCACAACTTATTTGTCCGTTGTTAATGTTGTTTTACAGTTAACAAGACATTTTATTTAGTACTACTAAAATGTAATAGATACTCTTGAGGGATCTTTTACTTTGGTCTATAATGATCAATTTGGGGAATTTAAAATAGTAAAATTGCTACAATATGTTGCTTTCAAAAGTTAATGACCTGGGGATTTAAATATACCCCAAAATGTATTAACTTTGGAAACCGCAGTAGACATACCACCAATACAGGCCAACTTATGAACTCCAAGAGAACATAGTTTAACAAGCCCCTTCCAGAGTTTACTTGTACAACTGTCTCGAATAGTTAAACGGTTAAACTTCCATTAACAAAATATTTAAAGATGAGGTTGGCGACCATGGTTATATTTCCTTTGGGCGGATGGGATTCGTCCCATTTCGCATACTAATTTACATGTATTTCTTATGGAAGGAGTATTTTAATAACATAGGTATCAATTAAATAAGTACCTAATAACTCCTACTGTTTAACCAAAATAAACACAATAGGCCTATATACTTTTCTTGTAAAAAATGTAATCTTCTTCAATTTTATAATTTAGTATAGTATACAAAAAGTTGATAGTTTTCGAGATATAATCAAAAACCCAAAAATGTGTACCTTTAACCCCTCCCCTTTCCCCCCTCCACCCCCCTGGCTCAATACCTAGGAGTCAGGACTTTTGGTATGTTAACACCCTATGCCAACTGAACTGGTCTCTGAAGGAATCATTTAGTTACCTGCTCACGCACTTTACACCCACTTTTGGATCATTCATTGACTGGACTACTAATGTTAAAAATCAGTGGGAGCAGCCAAAATTTTAACCCACCTATGAGTACCATCCCTATGGGAGTAGTAGTGTCACTTGGGATGTTAGGTCTGATTTAAATTGGCACCTCAATTCAACTTATGGTCTTTGCACTGAAACTGGCTACAATTTTAATCTCTAAGAGGTGTCTACTTCCAGTGTAATATACTGAATATCAAACAATATGTGACAGTACATGGTTGTTGCAGGCATGGAGGGAGGTACCAGTATACAGCCCTGGAAGCAGACTCCACAGCTCACGAGAGACTGGAGCTGGAGCGCAAGGCTAGAGAACAGGCGCAGAGTGCGTGCCTGCACTACCTCCGATGTTGCCCTCGGTACTCGCTGCTGCAGCATCTCAACGACATAGGTCAGTGGTGGGGGTAAAGAGGACAGTCCTAGAATAGCCATACTGAGCTCATCACCTACTGAAGTAACATCACAAATAAATACCTCATTTGGCTTTTACATTTCTTACTTACAAACAAATTTATTAGGATAAAGTTTGATTGAATTTTGATTATTGTCAAACTATTGTTTCCATAAATAAGTTTCCCGATAAGGAATGTAAGATGCAAATTTTTACTTGATATATATTCAACCACAATTGATGTATACTATGTAATACACACGTTGTTATATTACGGAGATACTGTTTATTAAATGGACTGGGGGAGTGAGCTGGTCTAGTGGTTAGTGCGTGGAGCTTCGGTATATATCACGGAGATACTGTTTATTAAATGGACTGGGGGAGTGAGCTGGTCTAGTGGTTAGTGCGTGGAGCTTCGGTATATATCACGGAGATACTGTTTATTAAATGGACTGGGGGAGTGAGCTGGTCTAGTGGTTAGTGCGTGGAGCTTCGGTATATATCACGGAGATACTGTTTATTAAATGGACTGGGGGAGTGAGCTGGTCTAGTGGTTAGTGCGTGGAGCTTCGGTTATTGGCCACCAAATCACCAATGGAGTTTATCTTAAGTGATAATGCCGCAGCCCCTATGTCTAGCCTGAAGTAGGGTAAGAAACAATTCCAGACTCATACCAAAGGTCCTAGATAAAAAGGAAAAAAGTTCATTAAATGGACCATGGACAAAATATGGTGAATGTATATCCTGAATATTTCTTTACCCTAGTTGTAAAAATAAGACTAAAATGAACTCTTTGACCTTAGTTTTTTCTTAGCTCATCGTGCCAAAAAGAAGTATGCCATCTTCTTACTCTGGACCAAAGATGAAATTAACAACATTTTTACAAATTTTCAAAAATATCTATAAATATATCTAATAGCAAATTAGCCGATATGTTTAAAAGGTGGATTTGAAGTGAATACATCGTTTATTGTGCACCATGGTATGCAAGCAAGGGCTAAGCTCAAAATAATTGTAATAGTGTAAACAATATAATACATATTCCTGTATGTGTACTGTACAGTTTCCAAAAAAAAACTTGGGTGAACCAGACTCATAACGTCAAATACACTTTTGACTTCTCTCTACTGTTAGTTTTACAAAAACAATATTTATTTACCCATCAAGACTTTACTCTTCCGTTGTTTGTCAGGATCCCGAGTAGACAAGCACTGGTTCATTGTGAGGGACGGGTCGGTGAAGACAGAGCGACTACTCACCTTGGTGCCTAAGAGCTCCAACTGTCCCATCCCTACAGATGCTGACACTCGTCAGGTCATACTGGACCTGTTCTTGGCCCTACAGCATCCTTATATCTACCCTGTACTGGACCTGGAGTTCAGGTGAGAGTCCTACAATAGGATAATCATCTGTAGTAGTGGTGCATAGCATGCAATCATGATTGCATAAATTTGTATGTATCACCATTGACTACTGGATGCTGAAGTAGACGTCCCATCTATATGGACCAGCTTAGCCAATTTTTGTTAAAAAAGAACTTGTTGAAGTTGTTTGAGCCAGACACAGAATGCACTAGTGACTAAAACTCTATATTTTATACCTTATTTTTTGTTGCTGGCCAAGTTGAATCTGTCGGTGGCTCACATCAACTACGACGATTTTGGTTAAAAAACTGGCTACAAATTTAACATGGGGATGGAATGTCTAATAGTCAAAGGTATCACATACAAATTTAAATAACTATAGAGTTTATTATGTTACTGGTCCGGAAAATAGGTGTTTACAAGACAAGACGAGCGTAGTTGTTCCCAAGCAAGACAAAGTTGAGTGTGGGATTATTATTTGGGAACAGTACAGAGTGTTGTGCTTCACTCGACATATTCATTCAAAGCCTCAAGTACATACAATTTCAGAAACTAGTCTTGGAATGAATCCCACGACTGTTTTTACTCTTGGCCATGCGTAGTAGGGACATCTGCAGAACATTTTCATATTGTTTGGAGTCTTGCCATGATGTGTATGCTATCAAAATATGTTTGCGTTTTCAATATCGTTTTCATTACCGCAAATCTGCAGCTGTAGTTACTAAAGCCTGTTAGCAAAATTTAGGCGGTTTGAGGGAAGGCTCCCCCACCACTTTTTTCTGCTTAATGTATGTTGCAGCTGATTGACGTTTTAACAAATCTCAGCTGTTGGGCTATGTTTTAATGGTAGGATCAAGATGTGGAGGGGATATATTTCTTCCCCTAAAACCACCTGATTTTGTGAACAGGAGTAAAATGTACAATTGTTCTTGAAACCATTTAAAAAACTTTAATGTAGCCTAAGTTGAAAATGATGGCTACGAATGCATTGTGACTATAGTCACTAAATGTCAAGATGCAAATGTATATCATCTACTGTGCCTCAAAAAACGACAAAGCTAATTTAAGGACATTAGTGAGGTTGCTGATGGCGCATAAATAATCGCTTTTGTAAAAGTTGAAGCTTTTACGTAAGAGCGTTTGTGTCCAGTTTGTAAAGTATTCCAACATATCCAAACAGTTGTAGCCAAAATTGTATTTCTAACCAAATGTGTGTTTAATATGAGGATTATAGTAAAATAGTTTAATGTAACGGTTCCAGGGGGAGGGGGGCTACAGGGGGTTAAGCTGGAGCACCACAGGGGTTTTATCAAGGCCCCCCCTCCGTTGGACCCTGGGGAAATAAATTAAAAAATACATTTTCTCGTAAAAACATGACTAAGTTTTTTGAACACAGTTTTAGACTTTAAAATTGCTTAAACGGCTTTCAAAATACCAAGTTTCCTAGGTTTAAACCCTTGTACCTTCCATTGCCCCTTTTGATTAGGTCCTATAACCGCCACTAAGAGTGTATAAATAATTCTATTGCATACTGAACATTCACACTTTGTATTAATCAACAACACAGTCCTAAACTTAACTATTTCATTACAGAGAGGGAGTTCAAGCTAACCAAACATTCATAGTGCTTGTATTACCTTTCAATACAAAAGGCAGTCTCAAAGATTTAATATACAAAGTAAGTATAAATATGGACATTTATATCTAACATTGATAGCATGTTCATGTTAGTTGCATTGTGTAGAAAAGATATAATTAATACAGCATCTCTGGCAGATTTGCAAGCTTTTTCGCACTTTTAATGTAGTTTTTGATGAGGTAGGTTATTTAGATGAGCAATGTAAAACTAATCATTATTATTCATAAATTAAGATAGCTATGGCATATTATGATTAAATTTGGTTTCCCTATTATTAAGCTATTTAAGCTCCCATATAAAACCATTTATCTCTCTTTTTTACATACGCAATTGACATACTGCAAAACTGCATTTTTAATTTGAAGCAATAATAACAATGTCTCACTACCTAACCTGAAAATAATTATACAGATTTCTATTAATACTCGTATAAATTCTTAAATCAAAAAGTCAATTAATAGTTCTTCATTTAATTTAAACATTTAAATTGATGATAGTCCAAATATCTATAGTTTGCAGTACAGTATGTATTTTCATTAAATGTAGCCTATTCCAATGTATTGATTTCCCAGGTTTGCCAGACAAAAGGGATTTGTAAAACAAATTTGATTTTTTGTTAAGAGAAACCAAAACCAATTGTATATTCATCGCATACCGGTACCTATTTTTGTACTAATTAAACAACACTAATATAGTATAATTAATGGAAGTGATTTCTAAGTATGAACTAATTTGAAACGTTATTAATAAATCACTTGTTTATTACCATTTACGTGTTCGCTCTATTAAACGAATATAATACAATACGCCAGGCCACACTTTGGTAAACATACACTTTACTCTCTTAAATTTTACAAGACATATGGTGAATAAAATAAAAAATATGTTGCAACATTTTTACGTACCACACCGGACAGCTTCAGACCCAATGAAATCCGTTCACAATCATCATTGTAATTTATTTTGTATGTGTTTACTGTTATGTAAATATTTCCAGTATAGGTGTAGGCCTACTGTAGATACATCAAAAAATGAAATGTTTAGTTAGTAGATATAAAGGTGTGCCAGAACAAAGATTAAGCAGTTTGACTAGTGTGTAGTGCTCTGGCTGTAGACTGGGATGGATTACACTATTGGTATTGTTGACTTTGGTCACTGACCATTATTTCAGTCTCCATCATAGCTTGGACTGTAAGCTTAGAAGAAATGTTGTGAATGAATGAATGAATGAATGAATGAATGAAATGAATGAATGAAATATACGTTTATTTCCACATAATGTATACAGAAAGAAACAAACTTTTTAATACAAAATATAAATGTGTATAGTGTGTGTGTGCATATTTCCAAAACAAAAAGTCAGTGATTGTGACACAAAGAGATTTTTGCCGGGCGTTTTTTAATCTGTCCAACAACATTATAAATGGTGCAACAGAGTATTCTTGTGGGTTAAAAAGATGTGAGAAAGTGTTAGCACTCTTAAAACTGAAAAACACGGACAAAGATCAGTGAGAAAATCAGAAAACTTTCAGTTGGTCAGAGCAGTGGTTAAGAAGTTAAGCCAAAGATGTTGACCAAAGGCTTAGAAGCATTTGGCGACACAAGATTCTATATTTTCATCATCCAATTTTTTAAATTTATGAGCCATTTTAGTTTGGTATGGATGAAAACACATTATTTTTTTTAGAATTCTTTTCAATCTAAAAGTTTTCCTAATGCAATACCATGCCTCCAAGTGACGGGTGGCGTCGTCCTGTAATCCAGCTACTAGGAAGTCACAAATTGCGGATATTTATAGGCATGCACTGTGGATGCGATACTCTCTGGTGTGGATTAACGTCCGCAAGAGTGAGTACTACGACTATCCGCAGTACTATACTGATACAGTGGCGGCGATAAGAACCCGCGGCCCCCCCGCATGTTTGTTCGCTGTGCCCCCTTTCCCAATGATCTTTAAAAACATTTTCCCATGTATTACCACCTAAACTTGCAATTTTTCAATAAACTTGACCAGGCATCTTCCGAGGCGTCATTATCGTCTTCCATGATCGCGGCAAAATCGAAATACTTCCCGTAGTCATAAGTCATGAAAGAAACATTATCATAGTTTACCGTGATTGCAAATGCAACCAAACCTATGACATCATTAGATAGCAGCATCATCGTCTCCTGCGTTCACGGCCCAATCTAATATTACGGCCTAATATCTCCCCACGACCCGTCGGTGGTGACGGGTAAATCATTTTTCCGTAATCGCGGCTAAATCCTAGATATATATCTCTCTAAAAAAGAAACGTCATTATCGTCTTCCGCAATCGCGGCAAAATATTGAACATCTGCGGCCGCGGAGACATCGTCATCGTCACCCGTGGGGAAATGTTCTCGTCGATATCCGTGATCGCGGCAAAAGCATGGCCTAATCTTTCAATTTCGTGAGCGTGATCCTCACGGATATAAAAGCTTTTACTTTTAATTGTGCATTATTGTATGCATATTGTATTGAATACTGAGAAAATCGGCTCGAGCTTGATTTTCTGACTTTGTGCTTGATCTCTCAAGCTTGTAGTCCAGGCTCTGCTCGGCTCGAAAATCGACATTATAGGCCTATTATTAAAATCAACCGTTTCCAAAGCAACCCGATTTTGAACCGATCTGATTTGGCCTGAGGCCCTTAGGTAAGTAACATTTTTTACCTGACTCGATGTAAACACATCTAAAGTGCGAAGTAAACAAATCTAAAGGGCAGCCTCCTAATAGTAAGACATGTAAAGAAATGAAAATCCTTCTTTAGCATCAATGAAAGAATGGAATTATTTATTAGCTAGTGCCCTAGCCACCTAGGTTAATTTGCCGATTTGGTCGTAACAAAATTGTCAAGTTTATTTAGTTGAATCAGCATAGAGGATCCTCTATGGTGTCATCCGCTGGGGGCTAGGAGGATTAACATTAATGTTTTATCTTCCTAGGCCAGAGGCAACATTGGTTATAAATACGGCCCTATTATTATGCAACCAATTTTGACTGCGCCTTCACACAATCCACGAGGACAGTTAATGCAACCCGCATGACTGATGACAATTCTTTTACTTAGGTTGGTAGATAATTTATATCGATCGGTGTTAGTTTAGCTGTTGTAAACTACTTGAACTATAGGTTTGAACAAATTTTCATCATAAAAAAACGGATTTTAATTCTCATATAAATATTGTTATGATAGGGGACCCGTGTGGCTGAGCTTGTTACACTATCGCAGGCCCGTGTGCCGGTCAAATTTGCCAAAAATCCCGGTCAAGGGTCAAGTGCCCCCCTAGCTCGCGGGCCCCCCGCACCACGGGCCTTGCGGGCCCGCTATCGCCGCCACTGTACTGATAATTAGACCAATTCATATATACCAAGGCAAAAATGTGGTTCGGATTCCACTATAAACCGTCCCTTAGTTGCCATTAGCTGTATGGGCTATTAATTAACAGCTGTGTCTAAGGAATATGTTGCCTTAGTCACTAACAAGACTACAAGATTGCGCCACTCATCCTATCACACTCATCTCCATTCATACTTGGCTTAAAATACCTACTTTGTATGGTCGCCATTTCATCGAAAAGTATTAAAGTATTAAGAAAAGTGGTACATCTTGCCCAAAAGCTGCTCTGACCAACTCAACATTTTTTGTGTCCTTTTGGTATTTGTCATTCCCAGTTTTAAATGTGCTACCACTACTTTCTAACCTGTTTGCCCATATGTTTCAAACAGTGTCTTTGTGAAGAATAAAACAATGCAGGAGAAAACGTTTCTTTGTGTCACAAATTTTTGACTTAAAAAAATTACATATACTGTAGGCCTACATAGCATATCCTTGATGTTGCCCGGTCTAATTTATGATGGTGACTGAAATGAGAAAATTGGCCTAAGACATAAATCCAATTGTGTCTGCCTTCCTCGTCCGCAGCTGGAGTACTACACAAGTCAAACTGTTTAATCTGTTCTGCCACACCCTGTACTTTACTAAATTCATTTGTATTCCTGTTCATTTTATAATGCACTTGCATCTGTAAATCGTTGTATGAATCCTGCATGTACAGAACACCTGTCTTCATGATTTCTGTTTCCTCACAAAACGGCAACGCACAGCACCATCTAGTGGTAAAAGAAAGAGAATATTTGGCCTTCCTACCAGAAGAGAACATAAAAGATGTGCCCATGTGAGTCCTTGATTTAGCTTGTGATGCTTTTTCATTATAAATTTCTATTTAGTATGGTAGGATATTGATTAGCTGTAGATTATGTGAATATTGACATTATATGCAAAGTATTGCTTTTCCGCTCACTGCATGTGTTTTGCTCTTGGGTCATATTTCATGTGTAGTAGTTCTTATATTTCTTTAGTTAGATTCTCTAAAGATATGTTTCACTTTAACCAAGCTGTGTTTTTACAATAGCATTAAGCCCATATAATAGAAAGAGATAAAAATTGAATACAATCAAAAACTAAGATGTAAGCATACACAGTACATCAAATCTAAATAAACCTTTACAAGGCAACCTAATATTTTTTAAATTTCAAAATAAGGTGTCATTTATATTTACAAAAATGTTATTGAATTTTTCTTTGACTACAGCTGAATCTAAAAACATTCCAATTTTATCAAACAAATGTAAATTGTAAAATCATACGTAAAGATCCTTGATTTGGCAAATGAATTACTGCCAAACTGTTGAGGGGTTTCTTTTCTTGTTAAATTAGCTCACTTCTCCTCTGAATTTTCTAATCACAATACCAAGACACTTATGACTTAGAATCTGTATCATACGTTCCTAAATTTATTCACTGCTACGATATTTTCTCGAACATGAGAGCATCAATAAATGCACAAAACACTTTGAACTCTGTGTTTCATAACGGATTATGAAATCCTGATTGCTCATATGAATGTTTTAAGTTGAATTGAAACTGGAATGATTTTAGTTTTAACTTAAAAAGTACATCTATATTAAAATAATCTGCTGTGTGGCATGAAAAGTGAACGAAGGTCCATTTCATAGTGATGAAACTAGTTTAAGCTGGTCCAGATGGGATGTCTACAGTATCCAATGGTGTTATGTGTCATGAGTTACTGTTGGTTCCAGAGCAGTTGGCAGGATGATTGGTGTGACAAGTATGGTCAGCGCAGTGACGGTTTGCCAATCTCTCAGGTCCAGAGGCTGGGGAGACAGATACTGGAAGCTTTGTTGTTCCTCAAGGAGAGAGGCTTCCCCTGCTGCAGTCACCTGCATTCCGGGAACGTTATACTGCAGAACGGTGTTGCGAGGTAAATACGGCTTAAAGTTGATAGAAAACACTGTTAAAACCACAGGACTCCGTATGTTTACAGAGTTAAGAAGGAGTCTTTTCAAATTTTGTCCACTTGTTAAAAATAATAACCAACAAGAAGAAATAAATCCTAGGTTATTTGTCAATTCACAATGCCAAATTCCTACCAAAAAGTCTAGCATAAATTGGAGTTTTATATTACTTTTTAATTCAAAAGGGTTTAAAGGAATTAAACATTACCCATCAGCATTTTTTAAACATTTTGTAGCATACTCCATTGTACCAATGTTGTGGAAAATTTTCCCAACTTCTTGTGGAAAAAACTGTTAAAAAATTATAGTTCTTTTGATTGTAGTCAACTACAGTACTTTTTAAAACACATCTAATAAACTCCGGTGTTAACACGATTCTAGGCATATATTGAATCTTTTAATTTTAATAAGTGAATGAATGGTTTAAATACCTTTACTGTCAAAGCGATCCTTGTAGTCTTATAGGCTACTGCAGTTTCGATAACCTTCTCATGGTATCTTCTTCAGGCTAGGGACATCATCTTCGTTCGTTTTCACGAACACGTCATTTTGAATAAAAACTGTAAAAACTGTTCGTGTCCGTGTGTTCAAATGGTTTTTATTCAAAATGTTGTGTTCGTGAAAACGAACGAAGATGATGTCCCTAGCCTGAAGAAGATACCATGAGAAGGTTATCGAAACTGCAGTAGCCTATAAGACTACAAGGATCGCTTTGACAGTAAAGGTATTTAAACCATTCATTCACTTATTGAAAAAAGCGATTCAGAGGCTGTCAACATGAAGTTTTAATTTTAAATTTTTGTATTTTATTTTATGGATGAATACATTTTGCAGGCTGAGTGGCTTAGAGAATACATTATTTGGTTACACATCGAGAATCCACCCGGTGATATGGAGTCTAGCCAGACAAGAGCCTTCTGCAGTCGATGTTATTTGTTTTGGTAAATATATTTTGATTTTGATGTTTTGTAAACGCTGATATTCTTTCATAATATCATATCATACATAATATAATATCATATTTCAGCGTTTTATATCATTCATAATATAAAATGCATGAAATAGGTAGATTTTTAACCCGGTATGTGCACTATTCACTATTGATGCTGCTTAATGATGCTTAAAAGCTTGTGAAATATTTCTGTTGTAAACGATTAAGGGAAATACCAGTAGGTTTTTAAAAAATAAATAGGATTAAAAGAAGCAATAAGTTTTCCTCATGAAAGTTTTGAACATTTTTTCCTCTCTCTGAAGTAATTAATTTATGATTACACAAAATCTTATGATTACACAAAATCTTCAGCAAACTATTTTCATAATCTTGGAGATAATTTTATTATCACTTGGGAAATGCCATAAATCATAATCCATCACAAAAACAAAATATTCCTTTAGTATGAGTCACCTTTATTATCAAGCATAGTTTAATGTTAAAATATAAATAATCAGTCACTGTATTTACTGTAATATGAAACCTGTTAGAGATGCTGCACCTGTAGTAAACTGTGCATATTATACAATGTACTTAAAAAATACTCAAAAAGACAGACAAACAACAGTGTACCTAATTAATTTCAAAACTATTTAGAGTCATTGAAACAGGGTACATTTGTTACAATGTACAACTTTTTGGTACCCACATAAATAGAGGATATTGTATTGAACTTTAAGACAGTGTCAGTGTTATGATTAAATATTATTAAGCAGGAAAACTTTTAGATCATTGACAAGTAATTGATTTCATATAGGCCCAAACAAAATATCCAACCACCTAATTTATTTTAGTGATATTGGAACAACATGCTTAATTTGTATTTCAAACAAATTTTTAATTAAACTCTTTTTTATTGAAAACCCTCAGAAAAATAAATGTTGTGGTATATTTCAGGACATGTACTATTCGAGATGTGCGCTGGCTATGAGTTGACGACCCCCAAACCTAGTGCCTCTAACCTGGCTGATATAGACAATTATCCTCAGGTAGACGACTTGTTTTGACAAAATATTCAAACACAGCTATGCTTACGATGCAATTTTTACGAGTTACTTTGTAAATGTTTCTTGAGATATAAAAATAGTTCTTTTTTAATCAATTACAACTAATATCTTAGGTTAAGCTGCAACAACTTAAGGAGCTGCTTTTTTAAATTTTTACACATTAGAAACAGCATTAATTGCTATGATCAAATCTAGTAAACATTTAATTACTCAGTAGGTTGTCCCTGGTTTAGTTTCCTGAAGGAGGCTGATGGTTTTTGGGAATCTTATATAACTTAATCAAGTGTCAACTCTGAGATAATGGATGATCTTCAAACTTGGCCAAACTTAAACAAATTGAAACATTGAAATTGTTCAACACAGTGTCATGACTATACTTCGGAGAATCTTATTAAAGAACCTTAAACTTTGAAGGACACAAAATTATAAAACCAAGTGATGTTATGAGATTAAAAATGTAATGTTATGGATCTCTACTTCCAATATTTTTGTATAGGAGTAGTAGCCTAACTCATAAATATTTAGCGCTTAAACAATTCAAGTGTAATGTGCGTTCTTTCAACTCATATTCTCATATTTTGGAAGATACGACGTAACATTTAATTCCATCCATTCATTTAACTCATTAATAAATTAAATGGGTATGAAACCTAATAGGAGTTCTAGTCACAATACCGCCCTAGCGTTAAATGATTACTAGATTAGAATCGTTAGGGTATTGGTAGTGCCATTGATTCATCTACCTATTTTAATAAAACTTATAATCGCTTAAAACAAGATTAAGTATCTTTATCATGGAATTATAACTTTTAAAGGGCTCAAGTTGTTTCATTGACCTTAGTCGTTAAAGAACACACAAAATCCAAATAAATTAAAGCCATAAGTATAAGATCTAGTGAGATTAGGTGAACAAAAAAACAGTCCACCTCATTTTATATGCACCCTTAAAATTAATTGTTTTAGGCCTACACATGTCTAATATTTTGCCATGTGTGTTTGTAGATAATAGAGGTACTAGATTTCATCTTCCAAAACCCCAAGTGCCGCTATCCGTCCATAGAAGAGCTTCTAGTGTGTGATTTCTTTCGCAACATTGACTTGCGGGAGATGCGATCCACGTCTCTTCCAGTAAGATTATTTTATTCCAATGCATTTTGTAATTATAAGTTTAAAATTTATGTTTTCAATTCCTTAATGTGCAATTACAGTCACCATTGTTATGTTGTTTAAGGTAACATATTCTTGTTAGGTTAAGAGTGTAACAAGTTAGTACTTTATTTATTTATTTATTTATTTATTTATTCCAACGGGAAACCCATTACATTGAAACATTACCAAGAAATAACAATAAAAATCAAAGCAAGATGTGATACAAATACTACAAATAATCAACAACAACAGCAGCAACTTATTAATACAATAGTCTAAATTCAACAGCAAAAAATGTGTACTATATGAACATGTAACAATATAACATCACCATATACCATATATCAAACCATTAACAACAAATAAATAAACTTTAATTAAATATCTCTATACTTACTACTACTTTTCAGTAGTTCGGCTGAACGGTGACCGATTCCAGATCTGATAATATAGTAAGCCTTGTACTTATCAATCAGAGATGGAAAATGTCTGCAATAATACTTTAAATGAACATTACGCAGTGAACTTAAAATATGGTAAATATGATTATAATGATTATTATAATGATAAATATGACTTACAATAAATATTAGGGTTAATGTTAATATAACGAGTTAGATAATTTTATAACTTACTCGAAAAGCTTCCAAAGCTCATCAAAAGTACTCTAGTATCATTTTATAGTCCGCTTAAAAAATGTTGGTGGTGTGGGGACGGTTTCCTGGGTCCCCACCACTTTTTGTAGCGTAGTGTAATCATCAGCTGATCAGCTGACGCTTGGAGGGGATGGAATCACTTTCCCTCAAACCTCAAACCGGCTAACTTTTGTGAACAATATAAGTAAGTATGATTACTTAATGTTTATCTGCTTGGCCTAAAATAATATGGATAAATTCAATTAAGGTAATACTAATGAGAATGTTGTGTTGTAGCAAGTTTACCACGCTAGACTGACTGCCTCAACTTTAGCTTTGTTGAATGATGTGAAGAAACAACAGAAGCCCAAGAGGTTAGTAGACTGGAATTATTTTATTTTATGAAGGTTATTAAGAGTTTTAGACTATTAGAGTTTAAGTTTTTTATTAAGTTGTTTTAGACCTTTTTACACAACTATCTTAAGTTCGTGCCCGGAATTTTACCCCCTGGTTTGTGACGTTACGTTTGCCCATGGGGTAAAATTCCAGGGGGATAAAAATCTGCTAGGCCTATCCCATTTTTATTTAACTTGTTTGCCTGTCCTTTATAGTAATATAAAAAAAAAAATTTAAATTCTACATAGGAAATTTTAAAACTTTACTGTTTATTTTTACAAAACACTACCATTGATTTCCTTCATATTTCCTTTGTGTCAGGGCCGCTTTTATAAATGGATACCGGCCTAGGGGCGCATGAGGTTTTAGGTTGGTTGGTGGCGCAAGGAAGAAAAAAATTCCCCCACAACATAGGTGGAGAAGGGTGAAATCAGCTCTCGAGCTCATAGCGCATCACATTCAAACCACGGCTTGCCTCTTGTATAAATAAATATCCTTAATAGATGATCAAATCAAATGGAGTTCAGATAATTCAACTTTGGTATTCCATAAATTAATCCGCAATTGAAATAAGGATAGTTTTAGGGAAAAAACTAAGAAATAATTGTGCAATGGGAGTGTATTACAGTGCCAACATTATAGGCTAAAAAAATAGAACAAGTTCCACCATATTATTTAAAAAAAAAATTATTGTGTTGACAATACTTATCTTTTGGAATAAACTCTGTGTTTATCCCTATACCCTCTGTACCAGTTTAAATAATTACATGTTGTATTCTGTAAATGTGTTTGTTTAGTAATGCTTTTAATTGTTTAACCTAAAACATTATTTTACCCAAAATCTGTCCGGCCCAACCATTTTTAACTACCTCAGCTCACCAATGTTTTCATTCGTGTATATTTTACAGAGGGCGAAGGTCTCACTCAGCGTCCGTGTCTGATCCCCCCTCCCCGTCGCCACGCCGAGATCGAGAGCAAAGGTAAGCTACCCGCATCGTACGTTATGTTTGCATTGCACTGCTCTGACCCCGCATGCTGCTACGACCCACACCGGGGTTCGCCCCTTACACAGCAGTTTGCCCCTTGGCACCATGGGATACCCCACACAACTGCGGAACACTGACATTCATTTTCTCTGCTTCCAGATCATACGAAGCAGAGAGGTTGGATGGCAGTTCAGTTGAGGCAACCGTATACAAATGTCCCATCCTAGCATCAAACGATTACTCTCTTGCTTGTGACGAAGCCGCTAAATTAGACCTGGAAACACGAGTGTAGTTAATTTTTCTACTTCACCTTTACTTTGTGAATCCTACGTCGCAATAAGTTTTTGTCAATGAGTAGCCAACTGCACAAATACTTGTAAAAGGATTGTTTAAAGTTTGTTTTGTATATTGTGCAGGTCATGTTAATCGTTGCAACATAATTGTTTCTGTAACCCTGTTGGTTCCCTTGTAAGATGCACTGTATAATCCCTTAATTGGTATTGTGTTTTAAACTGTCGTTTTTTATTTGTTATGTCTTGTATAGTATGTAAGTGTATTTTTTTATTTAATAAATAAGTAAAAAGAGATTTAAAAAATTTCTTTTGGTATTTCTTGGAACAGAAGTAGGATTTTGGAATAACTCTAGACAAACTTTTTAATGTAACGCTCACACTGGTTGGATTATTAAACCAGCTGTTTTTAGTAAAAAGATTCCAAATAACTGCTTATAAGCATAGACAATAGTTATTTGTGTAACTAGTGGTGAAAGTGGCACTTTGCTGCACACGAGAGCAATGTTTACGCACGAGCCGCAGGTGAGTGCGGAATGATCTCGAGTGCAGCAAAGGCCTTTTTCACTCGTGTTACACATTATATTTTTCCTACAGTCACTATAAAGCATATAAATAATTAGTCTTTCAAACACTATACAACACGTTTTTAGGTTCAGCTGGCGACACAAATGGTGCCCTAGAGAAAGTAGTACCCGCGGTCCGTATCACTCCGCTATTTTTCCTCGGCAAGAAATGTGCTCCGCGTTTTGAGAATATAGTTCCGTATGTTTTTCTAATTTGAAGTGGTTTCTGCGCCTAAAAAAATGCTTTAAAGGTATTTTCTTGTTTATTAAGATCGTAGGAATGTTTTAAAAACGTTTAAAAGAAAAGTCCAGAAAGTTCAGAAATACCGAAACTATAAACACGAAATGACAGGTTAAATCGTAGTTATAATAGTCAATCAGCTGCTCATAGTATTTTTATCTTTAAGTGTTGCCAACCTATTTCCAAGCTTACACGGATTACGTGCATAATAGAACCACACTGTTTTGTGTTGTTTCGTTGGAATCCTGATGTGTGGCTAAGTATAAACCGTACGACAAAGTATAAACCGTACGGCAATAGTTATTTGTGCAACTAGTGAGCAAAGTGAGCAATTGACTCACTCGAGAGTCAATAATAAAACCATAATAAAACCACGCATAATAAAACCACGCTGTTTTGTGTTGTTTCGTTGGAATTCTGATGTGCGGCAAAGTATAAACCGTACGGCAAAGTATAAATATGCAGCAATTAGCAGCTTTCTGTACTATAATCAGTACAAGGAAGCCAACTTTGTCGGGTGACTGTAGGAAAAAAGAATTAAATATAGACAGTCAGCTGTTCTAAAATTTGAGAATAGTCTCGGTGTAATACCATTTGGAGTTACCTTTGACTGTTCAGAAATCTTTATGAACAAGTTACTAAAACATTATTATACTATTACATTTTTATAAACTCATTTATAAATTTGTTTGAATGCAAGGTATATGTTTAGGTACGGTACTACAGTATTTATCTACATTCAAGTAAAGTAGGTCAAGTAAAGAAGTAATATATATGTAACCAATGCAGTTTTCTTTGTAGTTTTACCACATTTTTAGTAGATTGGTTATACTATACCAACCCCTGTCTTTATGTACTTCCATAAAATATTTTTAGAGAATGGGTTGTTTTTCAAGTAAAGAAAAAAACTAATGCAGCAATGACGAATTCTAACCAGCCAATTTAGGGTTTATTCCCCGTTTAATCACATAAAATAATTACCATGTCAAAGGCAAATATATAAATAGCAAAAAAAATAATAAAACAGAAATTTGTATTATAACTAGAGGTATGCCAGCCCGAGATTTTCAATCAATCAAACTCAAGGTAATATGGTGATCATCTCCCGCGGTCATCAATACCTTATCGTCGTCTTCTGGAATCACAGAAAAATCCTGAATATCTTCCTCAGGCATGGAATCACCATTATCGTGTCCCGCCGCCACAAAAATATTATCGATGTATCCCGCGATCGCGTGAAAATCACGAACATCTCCAGTCTCCCACGGTAATGTGGAAATTATTGTAGTCTTCTGTGATAGAGGCAACATTTTTATCATCTCCCGCAGCCGTGTAGACATCATCGTCGTCTCCCGTGATCGCAAAAAAATGTTGATCATTTCTCTTGTTGATGAAAACATCATCATTGTTTCCTCCGGTCACGGCAAAATCCTGAATATTCTTCCGTAACATCATCATAGTCTTCCGCGATCACAGCAAAATCAAGAGTTGTGTAGGCATCCGGATCGCGGAAAAATTCTGATCATCTTCTGAAGCTATGTCGACATCATCATCGTCTCCCGCGTTCACAGAAACATCATTGTCATCTTGCGCAGGGCTGTCCCTAGGGTTAGCGGCGCCCGGAGCAAACGTGGTCGTGGCGCCCCCTCCCCCCACGAGTATAAAATAGTCGCATTCGCATATTTTAATACTATGTTAATACAAATAGCCGCTGCGCGGCGCCCCCTCAGCCGTGGCGCCCGGGGCAGCTTGTGCTGGTTGCCACCGTCATTTTCAGTTATTTTCAGTTATTAAGTTATTAAGTTATTTTCAGTTATTCTGAAAATAACTTAAAAATTACTAGACTTTAATTGATTAAGTATGGTCTTTAATAATGTATTGTGTTGGTATATTGAAAACATCCAACTTCAACCGTGTCAACATGCTTAGACTAGGTTATTTTCACAAATGGTTATTTAGCAATTTTTAAAATGGTAATTTAGCTTTTTCCCTTATTTAAACTAGTAAAAAATTAATGTCTTGAATCAACACAAATTACAAACTATTCATGAAATCATAGTGCTTATAAAAGAGTAAAAAAGTTCTTAGAAATACCCAAAGAAATGCTTTGATTTATTTTTAAAACTCCTTGGTATCATCAGTTATAGTATTTATAAGCTGTAAAATATTGTAAATGAGATTAGATTTATGTACTAATTCAAAGATTTTTAGAGAAGATGTGTAATATGCCTTATAACTTTCATATACTAACACAATCAATACTAGAAGGCTTGGCGCTACATTAGAAATATTTTTGTAGAAGAGTACTGAGGCTTTAAATTTGTTAATAGTGTTTTTAATGGTACAGTAGTTTGTATATAGAAATGTTATGATACAATTAACAAGACCATATAGATTGTTACAAGCATTCACACTTATAGGTAGCCTACATACTTATAAAATTATGATTTCTATGCATATTTTTGTAAATAAACTGTTTAAATAAATTACAAAAAATTAATAAAATTAGTCTTATAAAGAAATAGGTAATACACCAAATCCAATACTATTTCATCACAAGTTGAAAAGATTACACTTTTATAATTGAATTATTAAGTTTTGGTTTTAGTAGTACTCATTTACAAATTCACTAATAAATTTTGTTTTTAGAATTTTAAGTCACATAAGTAATGCATGAATAAATCAACTTTGGATAACAGATTAACAGTGATAAAAAGTCAATTAGATTAAGATGAGTCAATTAATTCAGTGTGACAGCAATATATTTAATTTTAATATAATAAAGTAGTATATTGTTAGTCTTTTTAAATGTGGAAAAAATATAGATACTTACATAAGTAACGTCTACGTTACTACGTTGTCTACGTCAAGACTATTTTAAAGCATACAAGAAAATATATAAGTTTATATCTAGTGAGAATAATGATAGATGAACTAAACAATACCTACCCTTTTTATAAAATTATTGTAGCTAATAAAGCCGGGTTTTCCTAGACGCGGAAGAAGAGCGGAAAAGTGATTAACATGGCATTCCGCTCCGCTTCTAGGAAAACAGTGACACTAAAATTACCTAAGACAAGAGGAGTCCGCTCTCCCCGTTCCGCTTCCACGCCTAGGAAAACCCAGCTTTAACTGAATACAAACTTTTAGTTATTTTAGTAGGTAGTGATTAATAAATGAAAACTTTATAAAAATAATCAATGGGAGAAGACAGAAATCAAGGGGAGCTAAGAAATTGAATTCTTACAACCATTTTATGCAGATTATGCTTTGTTTACAAGTGCATTTAGTTACAATAACAACACAAACAAATCAATATAATTAATTTAATCCACAGTTATAGTTAAAAGTACAGTACACTAACCTTAAATTATTTTTTTGTACAGTATGAAACAGATAGTTTGATTAAGTAGATTTACAACATAAATAATCATTGTTACATATGTATATTTTAAGGTTAGAAATTTGAAAAATATATTTACAGAAATAGGATGTTAAATTTGTTTGTTAATCCATAAATTGTAGCATTGTTAACATTGTTGGAGTTATGCTTTTGATAATAAAGTACTTGTTATACTGTGGGCTTTTTATTTACCTGTCCAATTCTTCAGGTGCGTTCTGCCATACTTTCACATAACTTTGCAATGCATGTTTTATACTTTTATATATGTTTTTTTGTGTAAAAAAAGTTTTGTTTTGCATGATTCGCTCGCAGACTGTTCCAAGACGACTTTGATGTTTGGCTTGCCTGAAGGTAAAAATTGTAAATGTGTGCTTAAATGTTACAGTAGTTGGTGTTTCATGTTAGATTGTCTATGTTTGTACACCTATAGCTAGACAATTGCAGTACGGTATTTGATTTGAAAAGCTTAATAAATGATAGTTTGAATTTTATTCTTGATTTAGCTGTGTTAGCGAATAATAAATAAAAAAATGTTTCATAATTGAAACAACAATCTTTATTAAAATAAATAATAAACAATAAAAAGTATCAAGAGTAACTGCTTATTTTTTTCAAATAACTACTTTAGTGTGCTCTTTAAGTGAAACAGTTTTTTTTTATCTTAAAGGTGTAAATTAAATGTTTAGCTGAATGCTTCTGTAAAATAATATAAAATCCAAAATATTTTAATTGCATTTTTAATCTGTCATAAAAATAGCTGTACAATATCTTTGACATTTTGAATATTCAATGAGAAGTCACATGGCTGTCTAAATGATCAGGGGACTTTTGATATACTTTTATTGTCAAGTTTAAACAACTTTATTGCAAAAGGTCACAAAATGATTAATGGTTAAAAATCCCTTCTCACAAAGTAATTACAGTAGGTTAGTTACCCGTAATTTAATTTTCCCATCTAATTCTGATGAAAAGGGGCAGTTACAACTTAGTTAGAACAAAGAATCTCAGAAGTGTTGTAGATCTAGATAGGTAGAAAAATTTAAAAATTAGATAGAGTAGAGAAAGAGATAAGATAGAGAGATTTGTAGACATAGGTAGATAGAGAAATAGATTAGCAGAGATAAATTTTGCAAAAAACCATCCAGATAAGGCTAAAACTGTATTCAATGTAACATTGTCTCATGCTAATTATTTTTTTTTATCAATAAAAAGTCAAAAGTTTAATCATCCAACAAAGTAAAAATAGGATAATATGTAGTAAAGGTAGTACCTAGTTTTGTTTTTAAGACATTTTAAACATGATTCCTGATATAACACTGTTAACCTGAGGTGACATATGATTGACTGGAAGAATATTTTTATTTCTCTAGTGTTTCAGAACTACTTATTTCAATTAGGTAACTGAAATAATGCCATTTGTCTTTAGGCCATGAATTAATGATGCATCTAACAAAGAGGTTGACGTTCTATATTTACAAAACCAGGGTTTGGATAGTTCCCTTTCAAAACGTTAAAACGCCATTGGAGTAGATAAAAAATCATTAAATTGTAGCATATAGGCCCTACTATAGCATGATTTGAAAGAATTCATTGATGTATTAAAATTGAAGTTTGTTAGTTATTTTAGTTTAGAGCGATATTTTAGAGTAGTTATAATCTATGACTCAAATAGTTGAAATTAGAGAACAGTATAATTGTCTTTACTCAAGATTCTTGGATCTCAAATAATGCCTCTGTTTATAAGTGGGGATTAACATAGTTTTTCAAATTTTTAGGAGGAAAAAGTAAATGTTTAGAAGGGAAAAATTTTATTTTGAATAAACAGTGTTAACAGTTGAATCTTCATTATTTGCAATTTTACATACATTTATTGCTATCTTTCATAATTTACTAACATAATATCCTAAGCATGAATAATATCAACTCAATCAAGAATAAACAATGGAAATTTAAGTTACAGTTAAAAATTCATTTAATACAGTTAAATGTATTTTAGTGTCCTCAAAAAAAAAAAAAAAAAACCATACTTAGTGTAAACTGTTACATATACCTCTTGTAAAAATTCTTTAATTTTAATCCAAAGTTTATTCTTCACTGCACTTTATTGCAGTTGATCATTTTCGACCTGTTCAACAATAAAAAAATTAGATAAACCTATAACTCAGGTCCGCCCCACGGTTGTTTATGCATTTTCCCCCACTGAAGTTCAAAACTCAAAGTATATTTGAAATGAAAGTATACGAGTGTTTGATATTACAGCACAACCAGTGACGGGGAGAGTGCAGACGACGAGTCATCCAATCCCGAGACACCTCACGACTCTGACGAAGACACAACAGGAGACTCAGCCCAGGTAAATTTGAGGATTTTGTTCAAAACGATTTCAGATGGGAAATATATAAAAGTTTCACCTATAAGATTGAGCTGCTGTAAAGCTACAGTGATTTTCAATATAGAGTAGAGTCTCACTTATCCAAACTTCAGTTGTACAAACTTCTATGTTATTTGACCTGTCAGTTTATTCAAACTTGTCACTACCAAGTTTGGATGGTCAAAAATTAGTAAACTCAGTTTAGTAGGATAATCAAAACTATAGTTCATATTTTCTGATTAAGCATTTCCATGAATTTTACTTAAGAGTAAAGAAAAGCACCACAGTTTCAAACAAGAGTTGCCCTTTATAAAGACTTCCAGTGAGCTCCAGATCAACCAATCCTATTTCCAATCTGAGACCACCTTCAGCTTCAGGTCATTTACTTCCATCAATAATATTCTAGCTGGTTCCCAATGTACAATTCTTGTTTTAGTAGCCAACACTGATGAGAGGGAGAAACAACGCTTCCGATAAGAATGAATCACAATCGATTAATTAGTGGAAGGAGTTAAACGTCCATTAAAATAGAAGTGTAGGAAGATAGTTATCGAAATATAAGAAACTTTGCTTGTTGATCTGCTTGTTCAAGACTACAAAGGTTTTTGATTTATATAGTATTAGAGAAGTCCCCTGTCAGTTAGGCGATCCCTTTAATCAGTCACACATTAGTGATTTGAATGAAATATTTGCTTAGTACCTCGGACGAAACTGGTGAACAAGTGTAGCTAGCCTGGTGGTAGCTAGCACAGTGCAAAATACTGTGCACATTTCTACGACCATCTCCTTACTACATACCCCAAACAAATATTTTCCTTGTCCAAACCCTTCCCTCCATTTACATATATGTTGACTGGTGATAGACACAAATATGGTTGGGTCTTTGGACAACAGAAGTCTTATCACAGTGTGATTCATACTTTAAAGGAGCATCAATTTTCTCTCACCTTAATATATGCTGTTACAACGAAACACGTCATATTCTTCAACCAAGAGTGGAGGGAGACCAGTTATAATACAGGGTGGCCCAAAAAGAGGTACTCATCCAAATTGCTGCTTACAGTTTTAAATCAGCTGTTCCATAAATCAGCTCTTTAATAGACAACAATGTATTGTTATTTTCCTCCTTATTCTTGTTTACAATTTGTTTCAAGCAGTACCTAATGTTGTTTTTTCTCTTATTTTTTTTACAAGACATTTCCATAAGTGAAATGATGAGTACCTTTTTTTGGGTCCACCCTGTAGTAGTGGAAAGAGTAAGGACCACAGCAGTGGTGTTTGATTTGAACCAGTTTGCTTGACCGCTTGACCCCGTCTGGATTTAATTGGAGAACAATTTACAGACAGCCCTCGCAACAGTTGAAGATGAAAAGTTACTTACTTACTCCCATGGCCATTTATCCCCAAGGCGGGATTTATTTGTCCAACAACTGCTCTCCATCTATCTTCCAACTCTTCCACTGCTGCCCCCACTTCTATGGTCCTTGGTGAAACTATCCCACCGCCTTCCTTGGTTCCTTAACTATCCTTGGTTCTTCTTAAAGGTTCTATCTCTTCTGGCTTTCCTATGCTCTGTTTAATAGTGAGCCCCTTTCTCTCACTAAAGCTGAAAGTCGAAGGTAATATTTTAGGTACCTCGCCTTCTATGTAATTCAAGAAAAAGGTCAATGCCGTTTAATGACTCAGAAATTACTAAACAGCCCAACATTGATCTTAGATTTTCAATAAAATGTTCAGGTATAAATTTGCTAATATTTACCCATGTTGTGTTGTAGGAGCACCGTAACTTGAGTCTGCACATGCAGTCCATGAGTTTACCAGACAGTCCAGATTCTCAGAGGGCACTCAGATAGCGCCACATCTCCATTAATCTCCAGCTCAATTAAACTTTTCTCCTTGTCCTAACTTGTCAAAGATTTGACTTATTTAATTTCAAATTTTACTTAACCACAATATTTTGAAAACTGAAATACAATTGAAGAATTTACTTGGAAGACTGCTTATTGTTACATTTTTCCGGCTCCTAAAACTCAGGACTCAATAATCAGTCAATCGCCTGGCCTCAATGAATATTTTTAGCTACATGGAAAAAAAGAAAATCTGTATAATAGTATCTCAATATAACATTCAAGTTTTTTACTCCTGACGCAGGAACATTCAAGTGGTCCAAATTCCATAAATACAAGAAAACTAGCTATCATTTCAATTTTACAAAATAAAATTATAAGACTGTGAGTATTCTTGTCAGAAACTTACCATACTAGGATAATTAATTTTTTTAAATTATTTCCTAGTCAATTCTTTGACAAGTGTCATGGTATTCTAAAAAAATGTTTTATTAACACCTTTTATCTGTATTTATTCTGTAGAGTGAATTCATTTTGTACATTTTATAAAATGAAATATCTTCCAAATATTGAATACACATTTTTCAGAGAATGAGTTTATTTTACATTTGTAACAACTCTTTTTTCCTTGCCAATTTTTTTTTGTGTTGATAACTTCTACCTCAGTGCATACTTGCCTGATTAGGCTAATGGTGTATGTATATATATGTTTTTTTACTGTAAGCTTTCCTAATTAGCCTATGTCGTTTAACTTGATTTAAAGCCATTCTTCCTAATTTATGTTCAATATCTAAAAAATATAACATATTGGATTAATTTTTAACGTTTTAAATAATTTTGCTTACCCAAAACCGTACCTTCATGGAGCTTTAAGAAACCTAATGCAATCGCTTTGATACAATCAATGTCAGTATTTTTCAATATTCCAGGTTTTGATTAGTATCTACTTAGCTTTGCTACCTACTACAACTGCTTTACATTTTGTATCTAAATAATAAAACTTGGAGATTAATGGAATCGTGATTAAGTTTTTAACTATTTTTAAGCAATAGTAACTTTTGCTATGTAAGAAATGTATAATTTGCTTTTAAGGGTGAGATCTTTGACTAAGGATAAACTCTGGTATCCTAAAATCAATGGTACCGAACAACAAGCGTAGCTTTAACTTATTTAGGTTTTCATACATTGTAGATTAATCGTCCATACTCTGTAAGCAATTTTAGATCTTTAGAAAAACACTACTTGCATTTGATGTCTTATACTTTAGATTGAAAAAATCTTACTTGCTGTAGATTATTGACTCTTTTTATATAATATTTTGAGATTGTATTTACTAATAGAAAGCCAACACTGTAGGGATAAAAGCACATTAACTTCTTTAATACACTTGTGTTAATATAGCTTATAAATAGACCAACTAAATGGTAGCTATTTTGTTACAAGTAGAATATAATTTGAAGAAAATAATTTATTATTAAACGACATTGAAAAAGAAACATATTAATTTTCAGTATAAATGAAATTGATATAATATTTTAAAAGCAATACATTGTTAGTATGTAAACTCTGCTATGATTTATAATTTTGTACTCAGATTAATCAAATAACTTGTTACATTTTTCTAAATTTGAACAGGGTACAACAATGGTACAACCCATGGTGGAAGGAAAAAACATAGGTGTGCTATTCCCACATATTCTGACGTCACTCGGATTGCAAACAAAAGATCAACTGATTGTAACTGTTAAAATTAGTATGTATTTGTTTTGATTAGATTGTTATTGTTTTTATAAAAATAAAAACAATAACAACCAAATCAAAACAAATATATATACTAATTTGACAGTTACAATCAGGTGATCTTTTGTTTGCAATCCGAGTGACGTCAGAATATGTGGGAATAGCACACCTATGTTTTTTCCTTCCACCATGGGTACAACCATAGATAATAAGCGCCGTTATTTGAAAAAAGGCAGAAACATGTGTTACCATAGTAATGCGAATCAACTGTATGCTTCCCTGTAAGATAATTGTGCAAAGTTTGCTTGGCTTGCAAGGAGTATCTGGTGTACGTAGTAACCTCAGACTTAAAAGTTAAAACTGCCTCATGCACAAGGCAGTTGAGTTATGTGTTTTTATTTTCACCACTATCACATTACTGTACAACCAAAATTATGTAATCACTACGTAATAATATTTGTATTCAAAGTTGAACAATCAAACAATTTTATGAATTTGTACATCAGGTGCCTGGACTGGATCTATAAAATGAATAAATCCATGCACTTTTGACTATGTTTCCTTTAACTCGAGTGTTGTGATTTTTAGATTGTTAATTCAGAATTTACAATCATGTATATAGTTGTTTATATTCTTTGAAATTACACATTCAAGATATCAAAGCCACTCAAAAGTAACAGAGTTGTATATACATTGTAATAAATTAGGTCTATTTGAAACTGTCCAAAAGTTTGCCTGCAAGTGTTGCTAATAGGCATAACTTAAGCTTCTTGTGATAATTCTGTTTTTAATAAAAGTTAATTAATGCTGAAGTTCATACTTAATGGTTTGTTTATGAATCCTAGTTCCAAATTGATGACATTGTCTACAGGACTGTAGGAGTTGTTCATGATTTTGCAGTGAGCGGGGATTATTCAGGGGGTGCCATGACCGCAGGAGACAATAATGATGTTGGTGGGGGGCTTCACCTCTAATCTCACCCCTCCCTTCTATCTAAAGCTGGATCCGGGACTGCTTACACTTTTACCCTAAGCAACACAAGTAGAATCCTCGTCCCATTTTAAATTTTGAAGCTTGTTTTTCGTGTCTAGTTCATGTACAACCACACTGATTGCTGGGGTAGACCAAATTTTGATTCTATTATTTTAGGGTTATTTTAATGATTTGTACTATACTATATGGTTATACTAGCAGAGTACCCGTCCTTCGTACGGGATTGGCATATAAGAATAAAAGGCTTATTGCAGTTATACTCAAGCTTTGCGTTTGCAATGGGGGAGGACATGATTTGCTGCACCCTGTTGGTAAATCTTATAAATTTTAATGCTTTTGCATACCATTGAACAACTTTTTAAGTTGAAACAGCTGACTAAATTCTTTTATTCCCTTTAAATACGATTACTCATAATGTTAACATGGGGAACCACAGAGCCACTGGGGCGGAGCCCGAAAGGATTTTTGAGATAAGCAGAATATGCCTATATGTTAATCGGGAATGTTAGCTATAATTATGCCAAATTTCAGCCCAATCCGTCCAGTAGTTAATACGTGATTGAACTTCAAACAAACAAACAAATACACAAACTTTCATATTTATAATATTAGTAAGATAACTAGGAGGCCATTTATTGTTTATGATTACCGGTATGTAATTTTATTTGGTTAAATGAGGTTTTAAATGCCTGAAATAACAAGAAACAAATTGTAAACAAAACACGACCTCTAACTAACAGAACTAACAATAAAACTGGTTAATCTGTTCCGAAGAATGGGAAATCTACTAAGTGAGTATGTTTTATCTATACTTTCACACAACAAAGGTGTACAGCAAGTGTTCATTAGTTTCTACCAAGATAGTGATTAAAATATTAGTATAATTCCTTTAATCGGTCATACATCAGTAATTTGCATGCAATATTTCTGTTAATCGCTGCTTTCTGCCTCAAACAAAAACTGATGAACAGTAGCTAGCCTGCATGGTGCGAAATATTGTGCACATTTTTACGACCATTTCATCCTTACTCCATACCCCATACAAATATTTTCTTTGTCCTTCCCTCCACTGGGTGATAGACACAAATGGTTATCCCAGACAGCACACTTTATCCCAGGGACATCCCATATTAGTCCCATATGTCCTGAGAATGTCTCGGGATATGTACGCTATCCTCAGGATATCCCGCAAAATCCCAGGACGAGTACGAAATCCCCAGGATATCCTACAATATACCGTAATGTCCCGGGATTTGTAAGTTAACCTCAGGATATCCTGTAAAGTCCCGGGATATGTACGAATACCATAGGATATCCCAGAATGTCCCATGAAATCCCGGGACATGTACAAAATCCACTGGATATCCTGTAATGTCCCGTAATGTCCCGGTAACAAACCGAAGAAAAAAAATACTACCACTGATGAAATGTATATCTAAATTTAAATGTTCAACAAGGCCAATATATAATAATTTGTTTTTTTCACTAGCGCTTTCAGAAACTAGGTTTCCATCTTCAGGCTGTGTTTACACTAGTACAAAAAGTAAATATTTACTTGATAAATTAATTTTAAACAAAGTTAAAACAGATGATTTAAAGGATATTGGAAAAGTAAAAAATAATATTAGAAAAATTAATCTTTTGAATTTTGGATGTATTACGGTGTTGTTCTTGATGTAAATTATCTATCTATAATATTAAAACGAAACAGTGTTTTTTTATTTCACGATTCTGAATCAACCACTCGACGGATTTTCATGATTTTTGTGTTGAAAGTAAGATAATTTTGAGAACTAGGGAATGTCGAAGCCATAATTTTAGTTTAGGGCCCCAGATTTTTAGAAATTAAGTTTTAATTTTTAAAAAGTCTAGCAGCCGACGCTAAGATTCTAAACTAGCATTTGGCATAAAATAATTTGCTTAACATAACAGCTGTAAACATTCAGCTTTTGTGTCACAAATTCAGCATTTGGATAAAAATGTAAAGACATACTTAGGGTTGACTTATTTATACTATGTGTAATGCTAATCATTGATACGTTCAATTCTTCTGTAAGAGGATGACAGATTAATTAAATATACATAGTAAAATACTAGGATGTTCAAATTATTTTTTAAAGCAATCTTTGTAATCTTCGATTTGTTTTAGAGCAATATAATTTGTTTTAACTAACAGCTGGTTAAATATAAACTATGGAACTATGAGGTTATTTTATTTCGGTCATTGATTATAGGAAATAAGTAAGATTAGTAGAGATAATTAATTAGACCACAGTTTAAACCACAGTTTAAACCACAGTTTTAACCAAAATTAATTAAACCACAGTACAAATCGAGGCTCTGTACACGAGTCTTAATAATAAAGGATAGATGCAAATTATTTTACTGCTCCACTTTTCAAGGAAAGATTAGAAAAATAACAATGTTTACATCTTTTAATTCTTCATGGTAGCTTTTTGTTTACAATTAATGTTTGTCTGCTTTAACGTTGTTTGGATTAGGCCCGGAAATATTGATGTCATAAAAAGAAGATCAAGAATAATCAGGAACCACGATTTTAAAAATTACCACCACAACCTCAGCCGGGTTTTATACAAAGATAAACAGATGGATGACATAGATTGAACACAACGTCAACATTGACCTAGGATACTGCAATTAGACAAACCATCCTTTTATGAAATCGTGTTCAGTTGTGGATTCAACTATGTATATACTGTAGTTTAAATTAACTAATATGGGAAAGTACGATGTACATTTATTCAATGAGGGTGGGTAATTATCAAGGATAGAACTGATAACGGTATGGATAATAAACATTGACAATTACGTCATTAGCTTTACTAGCGTGTTTACTTTTTATATTCATGCTACATGTGACCAGTTCTTTTTTTCAAATGAATGTTATTTGAACCAAACAGCTGTTTCAAAACAATAACACACCAAAGTTAAATTATGTGTACTGTGAATTTTATTGGATACTATCGTTTTATTTTAGGTCGTTTCTATTCAGACCTACTGGGAATTGTGTATAGTTGTTGTATTGTGGTGATAATAATTATGGAAGAGGCAGGTATGCTATGGAAGGTGGTATCGTTGACTAGGTCTATACACTTCTCAATTGACAATTACTATCTCTACTGTAGGCTACTTATAATCAGTGTGCGTCTGTGCGAATCGGCTGCAAATCTCACTTCAACGCTTTTCACATCGTAAAAATTGCAGAATTGCTGTTTTATTGTAAAATTAGCGGATTTAAAATGCATATAGTATAGGCCTATGATGGAATAAAAATATATTTCGTGACACAACATTTGTTTACAAGATGATTTTTCACATTAAAACTGCAATAAACTTTGTCTTTATATGTGTAAACTAGCTGATCTGAATTGTACACGGTTTTAACTGACTACTGAATTCCCGTACGTAGGACGGGCTAACACCTCGTTTTCAGTAATTCTGAATTTATAATTGGGCCGTCTTGATTATTTAACAAATAATTTTGGTCTGTTTTTTTTCTAAAAATAAGATTCCCACGCATTAAGATGTTGAGGTTTTATAATTTGTTTTAAAAGTTTAAGGTTTCCCAGATTGAAAATATGTCTTGTTAATACTGTGGCTAGCAAGGGCTGACTTAACTTTACTGACATATTACTACCACTGAGTTCAGGAAAACTAGAGTTCTATCATAGTTGTGTGAAATGTGAATTTAATTCTAACTTTAAATAAAACAATCAAAAACTAATTTTAATCATATAACAATCAATCATAACAGTGCTAATCTAATGGTAATTAAATAATCTATATTCAAATACCAGTATCCTCTCCAACTACCAGAAAAACAATTTAACTACTTGAGGCCTAAACAGATTAACAGAATCATATTATAGCCTATACTGGGGTAGTATCAAAAATATTTTAAGTATTGCGACCATTGCAACTGTCGACTACTCTTTCACCACTTGAAAACACCCACAATCATCGAGCGTAGATAGCTCAGGAGGTAAGGCAAGAGGCTCATAAGGCGAAGGTACCGGGTTCGAGACCCGTCAGGGCAAAAAACTTTTTTCTCGCTTTTTTCTTCTAAATTTGTGATTATTAACTATTTAATCAATTAATAAACTTATAATTAAGCTTTTCATACTAAATCTATATTATTTTGTGTTTTTTATGTTCAGGCCCAGACCACACTTTATCCCAGGGACATCCCATAGTAGTCCCATATGTCCTGAGAATGTCCTGAGGACTACCCTGGGATGACCTCGGATGTCCTACGGATATGCGTGTGAGCTTATCCGTAGGACATCCCCGGGCGGGGACATTACGCATTCCAGTGGATATCCTGGGATATCCCAAGTTGACCATAGGACCACTATGGGATATCTTGCATATCCTGTCGCAATATCCGTGGGATGTCCTGAGGAGAAAGTGTGCTGTCTGGGATGGGATAAGACAACAGAAGTCTTATCACAAAGTGTGATTCATACTTGAAAGAAGCATTGATTTTCTCTCCCCTCAATATAGGCTGTTACTACGAGACTCGTCACATATAAGGGTGGAGACCGGTTGTAATACAGAGTGGCCCAAAAAATATAAAAAAAATATTACAGTTTTTATTGCTAATCTAATTTATCACGCTCTGTCTATTTTCATTTGACTTTCAAATCCGTGGGGGTGAAATTCTGTCCACGAACAAAAGCTCTGGAGCGCTTAGGTTACTACGTCATAGTGACGTCAGCTTTGCTCAGGGGGCAAAATTCCAGAGGAATAAATTCCGGCAACCCGTTATAAAAATTATTAATTTTATCTTCAATATAATCTTAATACCTAATTTAACTTGACTGTTTGCGGTAATTTTTAAATTTTGACATGAAAAAATTACACAGTTAGGAAGTTTTTTATTTTTTGGTCAGGACATTTTTTATATGTGGAAAAGTTTAAGAGCATTAGTTAAACCCTAACATATATATATATATTGAGGAATTTTACGGGGGAGGGGTTCTGGTAGTGTGGGAGGGTAACTCTTCCCACCGCGACAATTTTACCTACGGTAATTATCAAATTTATCCATCAGGGGGGTAGAGTGGTGCATCAGAAGTGTTTCCTGTAACTCTATCACAAAATTGTAGATCACGGATTAGTTGGATACGAAGAGATGATTATGGCATTTGACGTCACAGCCATGGTTTATAAAAACATAGACTTAATAAAATCCCTTGCGTTATTTCATTTATGATACAACTTACTGTGGCTATTAGTTCCAAAAGTATGTTAGTACAACAATTTAACACCCGTTAGATTTGTAAACTTTTAACAATTATTTATATATTATACAGTGCTAAAATGAGTTTGTATAATCAATGCTATTATAATGGCTTAGAAATATAGATCGTTCCAAACCAATACTACCTCGTGATTGGCCAATCATAGGCACGTTGTAGTGTTGTAGTTTGCGTTGTCGTCCGTCAAAATGCTGAAGCAGAAAACGAATACGTTCAGCAGAAACAGAAATCAAATCAGCTAGCAGAACAGAAACAGGACTCAACTTCAACTCAAATGGTGTTGATGTTGTTAGTACATCTTGAGTTGTAACCTGCTTCATTGAACATGTTCGTATTTACTTAATAAAATTAATGACTAGCATCATAATATGTTCGGGTTATCAATACAAATTGAAGGACAATTTTGAAAAGTCTGATGGGTGAGTTAGTATTGCCTAGGCTCAGTGTTAGTTGTCTACCAGGTGCACCTCTAAGCACGTGTTTATTAAACTTATCTTGTAAGTTAGTCATATTATCGTTGAGATTTTACGAACGATCCCGCAACTATTCCAAGGCAGAGATAAGTTCTTGAGGAATCTGGGTCATACAAAACAAATAATTAAAACTTAGGCTTGTTTATTGCCCACAGCCTATTTCTTTATAGGCTAGTAGGCCTATGCTAGGCTAAGTTTTAATTCTTATTGTTTTAAACAGTGCTTATAAATCCATTTGATTTCATGAGCTGAAGTAATTTCCGTAATTTGATATTTGATCACATTAAATAGGCCTAGGCCTATAGGCTAATTTGCAAACAACTCAGTTCTTTTAATACTTTAATACTTTTAATAGGCCTACTTTTTAATGAAATGGTGACCATACAAAGTAGGTATTTTAAGCCAAGTATGAATGGAGATGAGTGTAGGATGAGTGGCGCGGTTCACAGGTGTATTTAGGCATATTCGATAGGCCTACCTAGGCTACCTAATTTAGTTCTCACGGTAGTTATGAAGGTAATTATTCCGTATAAGAGAATAAGTTACGCTATATTTTTATAACGTCTGAATTGTTAGAACGAGCAAGTGAAATAATGCTAATAATAATAATAATAATGGTCAACTTAATTTCCTGTTAAAGGGTACATTCATTACTAAATAAATACTGTATCAATGTTTTTTTTTTCGATATATCGATATTTTTGTTTTCCTTTGCGATCCATATTCCTTCTGTTTCAATATATTCAAACGCATTTAAATTACGAATTGAGAACTTCCTATATGAGGAAACTATTCTAAACTAACCTAACATACCTAACCAATCTTGCTGTAGGCTAGTAACCTACGTTTGATAACATAGAAGGAGTGTGGGGAATAGGCTCTCAAACGGAATTTTGAAATTGTACATCATGTTTGGTTAGTTGAGTGGTATAACGCTGACCATGCCATCCTATTACCGGTAAACGATAAGTTATTGATCCTAAACGTATTAAAAAAAGTCTCACGCAGTTAATAACCAAATTATAATTTCCTTCTCATGACAAATAGATAAAGTCAATAAAACTTAATCAAGTTGTAGGCCTAAGTTATTATACTTTTGTTAAAAGAAGTAATAGGCCTATAACAAAAGATGACCCTGTGATGCAAAAATAATAGGCTGCACTAACTTAGTATTATTTCACCTAATACCGTCAAGCTAAGTTCTTGAACTATTACTTCAAATTAATGGTATTTCCCATTTCTACGTGGTATAGCTTATTTTCTTTTATTCTAGAAATGAATCGATTAAATTATGAGTGCTGAAAAAGAAACCTACGTGAGACGTAGGGCTTTTAACAAGATCCACGTCAACAGTTGGTTAATTTACTTAGAGAGAGATGGCTATGTTAGATGTCCTTTTCAAAACTGCAACTTCATGGCTTTCGATGTCAATGAGATGTGTGAGCACTATGGATACTGTACAGGAGTAAGTATTTCTTCAATTAATTATCCTAAGAAAAAATTTGATTAACCTAATATTCCTAGCACTAAGTTATTACAAACCAACTTTAATGAAGTTAAGGGAAAACTTTGATATCTTCATCTTAAAATCAATTGTACAAACTGTCTGTAGCCTATTCTTTTTGTATTATCAACCTCAGACTAGACTGTACTTTGATGATCATGTCATATTATGCATTCATGACAGAACGCCGGTACCTATTCAATGTAAACTAAAATTAAAAGAAGAAGAATCCAATCTTACTTGACCCAACCTAGGGTAGCCTACAGTTTCACAGAGAACCTGTGATATTATCACATTAAAAAGGGACCGATATATAGCTAAGTTAACTTAATGTTTTTGATTTGTTCAATATTAAAATTGCACTCGCTGTTGGCTCGTCCTAGGTACGGGAATCAAGTAGTCGATTAAAACTGAATATGATTCAGAACAGCTAATTTACACGCATAAAGAAAAATTCTGGGAGATTTTATTAGGAAAAAATCTTCTGAACAATTATCACGTGATCGCCTATTTATTTCATCCGATTGTAGGCCTATGTACGACAAGCATTTTAAATCCGATAATTTTGCAATAAAATAGTGATAGTGTTGATTTGAAAACTCTTGAAGTGATATTGGCGGTTGATTCACACTCACTGGTTACTGGATATAAAGTACAGTAGCTACATCACCTTCCATTGCACACTATCACTTACATAGTACCTTATTTTACCTCAGTGGCATTGAAACCTTAAGAGGATTTTGGCCTCTCATTCTCTTCTATCCCTTGCCTCTTCTAATATTGATCCCAGTCTGAAGAAGTCTTTCATCACTTGGTCCTCCAAGTGGTCGTCTTACTTGTGGTACTCCTTGGAATTCATTTTTTTAATCTGATGTATCTGACTCTCCTCCACGCATAGCCTGTCCATCCGAGTCTTTTAGTTCTGGAAAGCACCCATATATCTGGGTGTTTAAAATCCCTGTTCTTTCGCATCTCAACATTTTCTCTACACTCAATCTCAACCCAGCAACAGCACCTCAACCTAGCATTTTTTAAAGGTGTGAGATTTGGTGTTAGTGATGATGTTAAATATCCTACTTAAACTTGTATTAGTCATAGACCAGTGAATACAGCATAATTAACATGATAATTCTATTTTGTGGCTTTATCCTGTGTATTAATTATTGTTATTTTGACTCATGAAAAATTTTGTCTTAACAGGATAACAGTTCTGCAAGTTTTATTTGCGAAGTCTGCAATGGTTGTACTGTTTCCGAGAAGAAGCTACAGGAACACCGAGCACGAGCACACAACATCTCGGTCCTGCCGGCTAAAACAGACACAGTGGCTGAGTGAGTCACTATTCTATAATGTTTTTTTTTTCATACTTTCCAATTCTTTTTATTGATGTACAATAGACAGTCATTAATCTTGTTCAGGGGCCTGTTTAATTTAATAAACTGCACTTGGTGATCTGCTGATTTACTACTAATATTAGTTTGTAGTTTATTATGAAACAGGCCCAGGTCTTTGGTATAGTTTGATTACCATGATTACCAGCCTTGTTTAATAAACAAATTTCCTAGTGCCTATTCAGCCAATTGGCCACCAATTTTACCAAACTTTAAAATAGGCTACAAAAAAAATGGTCAAATATTGAATTTACTTTCACCGATTTACAGTTTTATTTACGAGTTCGAAAATACTATATCAGTTTTGTCAGAGAGAGTCCTAAGTGAAATCAAAGATAGAAAACTTTAAAAGGTCCATCCATTGAGCGGTTTGGATGGTATCATGGTGGTTTGGACCAGTCAAAGTTAAAGTGGTGAGGAAGTTATGTGGAGAGCAAAAAGCTGTTTATATCTGATGCAAAACAAACAAACCCACTATTTGTGATCCCATGCATAAATGGTGTAAATTCATTTGGAACGCACAAACCACTATAACTGATCGATAAAACTAACATTTCTTACACTTATGAGACTTTTAGGACTAGTAAAAAATGATAACATTATCAGATTCAGCATGAAAGAAACTGCAAGAAGACATACAGAGTGGCGCAGAGAAACTAGGGTTCCTAGAGACCCTCCATCAAAAAAGAGGACAATTTAGACTCGCGGAACTTGCTTTGGAGAGGCCACCTATATATTTTTTTTTTTTAAGTTACTTTAATGCGATTTTAGGGCTTTTAAACTATTTTAGATAGATACTGGAACTCTCAGTATTTTGGAATTTTTTTAACTGAATATTGTCTGACAATTCCTAAAAACATAGCCTATATTGTAAGTTTTTGTTTTAGGAATTTTAAACTAGAAAATTTGATTTGCTAGCCAATAATTTACTACCGGTACAGTATCACTAAAATATTTGCTTTTAGTTTCAATTCAGACATGCTTATGTTAACAATGATGTTGAAAAAATTGGCAACTTAGGCTTTTAACTCCAATACTTTTGTCTGGATACTGGATCCTCACTTAATATCAAATTACTCGATTACCAATATGTTTTGCAAGACTAGGAGTCTTATTTAAACAACTCATTTTGAAGTTTAGTGGTACAATCCATGGACTCCAAACTCTGGTGGTGTTTTTAATACAGTGTGAAATGCAGTTTCTTCAGTAACACAAGCAAAATGATTGAACTTACAGTCATGTTTGAAGAACAAAACTGACAATTACGGAGGATGGTGCAACTGCTTAAAAAGGTTGGAGTTGTGTTGATTTTTTAAAAATCAAGTTAACTTTTTTTGCAACTAATCCCTTTTATTAACTTGACTAAAAATAAGTTACACATTTTCTTTTCGGCATTAGTAGGGTCTAGGAACGTTCAAGAATGACAAAACAAGAAGAAAATTATTTTAATGTAAGCGTGTGGTAGTGTAAACGTAAGCAGAAAACAGACGAGGAGCTAGTTGTAGTTAGATAGTCACTGGTATGTGTGGTGGTGAGCAGAGGCAGAGGCAGCTGGGTTAATTTTGCCAACAGTCCTAAGCTTTCAACACAAAATTTGATCAAAAAAGGAAACAAAACTTCTAAATATAAGATATCATTACAGTGACACAATATTTTAATATAAGTTAGTTTCCAATTTCATTCTTATCACTTTGCGATTGATGATTAGAGCCAATTACTAATACTAGGCCTACTATGCGTCCAGGAATAATTTTATCTATTAATTTTTTTTTCTAAATCCCGGACATTTTAAGGTTTTGCCGAAAATCCCCCTGGACGTTTTTTATGTAGGCTACCTAAAAAGAGGACGTGTCCGGGGAAATGAAGGACGTCTGGGATCCCTAAGAGAAACGGGAAATTTTGAATAATCATAATAAACAAAGAAAATTGTACAACAAGATTTTTAACGCTGAAAACATGTTGCTCAAGAGTGGAAAAATACATGAGAAATGTTGGAAATGAAATAAGAATAAAGTTAAAAATCACTTTTAAAAATCACATCAGTTAAGTGCTGTCTATTGCACGTAACACAATTAGACATCCAAACATTTTCAAGGAACTTTGCGTACTCATTGATGTTAGTCAGTAGATGTTGACAAAATCCAAGCATAACTCACCGTCATTTGCTTTAGAGCTTGAACAATCTGAATCACAAGGAGGAATATCATAATGGCGTCGGAACACTCTTTGTGCAGCTGTTAAACCCTTACGACGACTGCACACTCCCCACCACGCCACTGCTCCATCTCAACTAAATGTCCATTACTACTTGGCGTCATTACTTCCGTTTCCCACTCCTACGAGGCTTACAGGTGTATCTAAAGACTTCAAAATTTCCCATTTCCCTTTATAAAATTTAAAAATGTTTAATCGGTGAAAATATATTCATCTTTTACCATTTAAAGTATTGCTGGGTTCTAAAATGGGAACAAAGCTGGAACTAATAGGCTAGTAAATTTGGTTGTATTTTGTAATGCCTTCTGTTTTTCTTTATGGTGCTACAACTAGAAGTGTTGTGAATTGTGTGTTACAGAGGTGAGGAGCCAGAACCTCGTAGGCCCAGTCGGGTGACTTTGTTGTCATGGGGAGTGTTCTATGACAAGTACAAATATGTCAAGTGTTCCAACTGTCACTACGTGGGCTCCTCCGTCACAGACATGTGCCGTCACTACTTTGTCTGCAAAAAGGTATTCACACACTTAGGTATAATAGACTCCTGATTAACCGCGATAATGAGTTGCTGAGTGATCAAGGATATTCAAAATAATTGTAAGGATAGTACAAACCTAAAATTACCTGAAAATACCTAGCGTTGGCTTTAAATGTAAAATTCAAGCTTCAATACAGGATTAGGTATGTGGTGTTGATACCTTTTAACTTTTGTTTCATACACTTCTATACACAAAATAAATTGCATTCGAAAGCCTGTATTTGCCTGGTAAATTAAAACACACACAAAATGGGACTTATCAATTCATTGGTTGTGGGTGAAGGAAACAACGTCAACTCTATAGTCGGTCCATGTGATAGTGAGTCTTCTTTCACGCTAAACATTTTGTTCGTCACTGTATTACGTAACTTTATCTATTTTAATATCGATTTTTTCATTTTTGTGATCATGGTTAAATTGCAGTGTAGTCAATCCACTCGTAGATAATCAACAGTCTATTGTACAGTATATCGCTAGCCATTTAATTAGCAAGTTAAAATTCTAGATATGTTTCGTGCTTACTTAGAGATCTTAAGACAAAAAAAATGCAATTTATTAAATAACCCTTAAATCATATTCAGGGTGGGGGCCTCTTAACTCTCTACCAACCTTTTAAGGGTTCATGATGAATTCATTCCTGGGCTACTCACAGAGCAGCCATTTTGTATTTTTCAAAGATTGTTTTTTCTCAATAACCGTGATACTGTTCTTAAAACTTTAAAATTTTCATTAATCTTAATTTACTAATTTCACTAAATTTTAAGAAAATAATCAAAATTTGCCAGTGAGAAATTCAAAATGGCTGCCATTTTAACTTTTAGACAAGATTGAGTATAAGATCGTGAATCTTATTAAAAAAACACAAGTATACTGTTCTATTGGAAATTTTAAGACAACCGTAATGACTCCTTAACATTAGCCTATAAATCCAATTTAAAAAAAACCTAGATATGACATGAAACTACCCATCATATTGGTTCGATAATTGTCACATTTTTGAAGACAATATCTAGCGTACATTGACCTACACCAATAAACACTCACCACAGTAAATGTCATATAACTATCTCTGTTATGTTTGATCCACATTTCGTGTTCTAAGGGCTTTAAGATGAAACTTTTTAAGTGCTATGTATTTTATCATGCATCTACAGTATGAGCCCTTAGAATAAGATTTTCTCAATAATTTACTAAAAATAATGTCTTAGGCTATCCATGAATTATCTAAAACAGTATTAATCATTTTCCAGGAAAAAAAACTCCTACTGTACGTCTGTCCGGAGTGCAAAGGGCGCTCACGGGATGTAGCACAGTTGATCCAACACCTGGAACAAGCTCACAACCTCTACAAGAGACCCGATCAGTTCAATCATATATCTCGCAACATGACACAGTACTGGGAGAAAGAGCTGCGCGAGGACAAGTTTGCCACGTGTTTGCATATCAATAACAGCAGAGAGCGGGACTGTGAATACATCGATGTGGACTTGCTGGGAATCAACGAGCACTCCCAGACCTGCAAAGGGGTGAGACAATGCCACTCAATGATTAACACCTTTTTGGGGGTTTCAGTTGCCATTAGTGATGGTCATTCAAATAATTTAGCATCTCAAATTCAACTCCAAATCCTGAGGAATTGAAGCTCATATTCATGTGAAATTGTTAAGCAAATACAATTAAATGATTCAATGATTGTAATCTTCTGGCTATGTTGCTTGTTGGTGATCACAAATGGTTGATTCAAACTCTATAAAATGTGAGGATGAAATTTAAGGCAATGCAATTAAAACATTGAGATTTAGAGATACTAGGCGAATGGATTTTAAAATTTTGGAATATTTTATCATCTGGATTGGTTCTAAGGCTACAGGAGAATGATTGTATTAAAGTTCAGAATTATTTTTGAAGGCAAAGATAGTCGCTTGTACTTGTTTGTTTACATTGAGGTTTTTCACATTGATTTTATGCTCTACAATGTGGACTTAAAATCTGTACAGTTATCATGAATTAAATTATAATTGTTTCTTCCATTTCAAAATCAAATATACAGTCAAAACAAATGAAAAACCACATAGGCTTAAAACTTCTGAAATGAATAAACCTCAAAGTGGTTTAAAAAATGGATTTCTTGTACACAGGTGTAATAATGAATAACGTTTTATATATAGGCTAATTAAATATCCACTAGGCTCATTGCTAATATTTCAGTGCTATCAAAGAGGAAATAATTTTTTGCTATATCACAACTTCTTAGAGGACCATAATATTTTGAAATTTTTTTGCGCACAATAGGCTATATCATTTAGCAATTTTATGTATTTTTATACAAATGTTTTTTTCAGCCACAGCAAGTTTTATCGAAACAATGGTTTTGTGAATTTTGCACAAAGTGGACCAGCAGCGATGAAAAACTAACTAAACATCATATTTTGACACACCACATAGCCCATGACTTAGGAGTAAAAGTCGAACCAGATCTTCCTCAAAGGCTTATTGAATCAGAAAAGAGAACCATAAATAATCGTCAAGATACAACTGTGTCTCGACAATCCAGTTCAGTTAAAAGATTGGACCCACAAAGGAAAAACTCCCAAGTATCACCCAACAAAGAGCTTGAAATTGAAATTTCTAAAAAACCATGTTCAACACCTTCAGTCCACCAAAAGAGTTTGCAATCGGAAAACTCCCAAGTAATTTCAAATACCACCGTGGCAAAGAAGTATGTTCAAGGATCGAACCAGAATGAAATGCGAAGAGAAAGAGTTTCTACCTCGTCATCTAGAAGAATCTTCGTTAATGTTGATAGTGAACCTGAAACTATAGTGCCAGACTTGATAACGGAAGATTGTCCCTTTACTGTTGTGGGCTCAAAAGATAAGAACAAGGAGATTTTCCTTGATTTAGTAGAAGACAAGATTGTTCCTCGAAAAAGTGCATTCAAACAAACAGATACGGAAAGTAATATGTCTGAAGAAAATGGTTTATTTACTGAAGATAATTCAATTACAAACTTAGAACAGGACAACCATATTCTTCCTGATTATATTGTGTCCACCAGTGAAATTCGGTTTGAAGAAGTAAGTAATGGAAATTACTATGTTAAAGAGGAGCCTGTGATGTTTAGTAATACAAATCACCATATTACATTACAGCAAAGAAAATCAAAAACAACAATACTTGATGAGGAAACTGATTTGAAAGAAAATCATGATAAATATAGGAAAAGTAACTCTGAAAATTCATTTTGCAGTGAATTCAAACTCGATTCAACAATAACAACTAGCCAAACTACACATGAAGGTGAAATCAAAGTAATAGAGGGTGCAAACAAAAGTTCAACAAAAGGAAAGAGGAAGGAGAGAGGAAGGAGGTTTGTAAATGAAGTAAATGCTGCAAATGGTGATGATGACATGAGTGGAAAAATGTCTAAACCCAACAAAAGTCCCAGCCTTGTCCTTTTCAAAGACGAGCTATCATCTGATGAAGACGAGAAACCAGAAAAGTATGAAAACGTTGTTGAAGAAAACCCCTCATTTGATTGGTATTTAGAAAGCCCATATAAAAATATGCCACCGAAAAGTTACAGCAGAAGAAGGTCAAGCGAAGACAATCTTGATAGGTATGTAAACATGTCTGTTAAAACTACCTACCTAGTATCTTAATATACAATTTTCCATAGGGGTCTCAAAAACAAATAATCCACTCACAAGTGTGTAATTATTAATAATAACATTTTGTTGATAGTATTATTTAATAAAAAATTAATCTCACAATAGGAACACTACATTTTTACGGTGTTTCAGGAATGTCAAAGCTGTCGAATTGAAATAAATATGTAAGCGATAAAAAGATTGTAAAAACAATAAAGAAGTTAACACGTTCGCTACTGCAATAGTATAAAATGTATAGACTAGCGAGTAGAGACACACATATGCGACGGCCGGTTTCTACCCATGGGACATATATGGGACCGCTAGTCACATTAAAATAGACTGACTGATGCACATATGCGTTGGTGTTGCAATGTTATCAAAAGTAAATGATCACTGTTTAATAGGTTTTCGCCCGCGGTCTGCGTGTACTGTTAACCAAGTGACAGCCGGTCTATGTGTAAGATTAAATTGTATACCTCTGTCGATGGCAGTGATCGGGCACGCTGGGTAGCAAACAAGTTAAGTTGTCAATCATGGACATGGTAATACTAATAGCTTGAACATGTGGACCGTTACCTTATGGGTTGTTACCTTAGGTTTAGTAGTAAGTGTTGATTAAAGTTTTTCGTCTCTCCTGACATGTGTTGTTAATCCTGAAACTTCTTATAGCTTCAGTTTTACTAACCAATGATGGAAAACAGGAAACACCTAATATAATTCTGGGAATAAAATACAATCATCAACATCAATAAACAACTTCAAACCAAGAATAGTGATCAATTAATTTTCTTACCACAAAATTTAAAAACCAAGCACTTTGCTTAGGTTTTTTATGTGGTATAATTTGCCTAAGATATAAAACTCTTACCTTATAGTGGTAATGAGTCCTAATTTTGCTGATTCTTTTTCAGGAGTTCAGCAAAGGATTCAGTAATAGTGTGCAACACAAGTAAACTTGAAACTGACCTGCATCAAAGTTCAAGTAAGTGGGGTGTATTTTTAATGAATTGTGATAGATACCACATATTATGTGTGCAGTACTAATGTACAAAGTGATAAAATAAACAAGCAATAATAAATTGTACAAAACAATAAGTTAACAATTGATTTTGTTAAGCAGAGATTTTGTGCAAGTGATGGGCATTTTCCCACTCAAACCACTTGAGGTCTGAACCATAGGGATGAATATGAGAGCTTACTGTTAAATACTTTTAGTTAAACAAATTTAGGTACTTTAAATGATTTTTAAAAGTGATTTTTAACTTACAATTTTGATCAAGCATTAGCAACACCTGCAAGAGGTGGATTCTATAAAATCTTCGTAATTTTAACACTAGGGGCACTGGAATGCTAATCTTCAAATTGAACTTGAACTTGCAACATCGTACTCGTGAATATTTCTTTCCTATAAATTTTATCTGATGGGCTGTGAATGATAATTAATCTATATGAATATGGCCCTGTTTCTTCAGTTCCATTCCACCAGTTATGGTACCTGACAGTTTAGAAGACTATTTACTCTCACTTGCACACACAATAGACAATACTTAATTACATAATCATTAAGAATAATACAGCGTCATATTTACAGGTGGATTACATTTTATTTTAAGGTCTTGAGATGAATTCTTTTTCGGTGTAGAAGGGTCTTTCTAGCAGCCAGTCTGTGAGTTTGTTCTTGAAAGTGGATGAATTATTCAGCTGTTTAAGTTGTTCTGGAAGGAGGTTAAAGTATTAGCTCCTTTTTAGGATGGTTTTCTTTCAGTATGTGATAGCTTGTGGATTGGAAGGCTGAAATCTAATGCATGTCTGATGTTGTGACGGTGTAAGTCCCTATGTCTGGTTTGTTGGGTGGATATTGCATGCAGGATGGTTTCACGGAAGTGGAGTGATACCACAGTGAGTATCTTTTGTTCTATGAATGGTCCGCGGCAGCTGTCTAGTCCAATGCCAACCAAAACCTGATTGTCTTCTTTTGTTGGATGAGAACACGTTTTAAGCAAGGCCGATTTACCGAATAGGCACGTGCCTGAGGCATTTTTGGCTTTTTGGGTGGCACCAAAAAATTTGAAAATAAATAAAAGAGTAGGCTAGTTGTATTTGCATGCGATTGCGGCAAACTTCAGGTAATCACTCGCGGCTGTGTGGATATCATAATTGTCTCCCACGATTGTGGATAAGTTAATCATATCCCTCAGTCGTGTGAAGATCATCATCGTCTTCCGCCATCGCGACCAAATTCAGACTGTTTCCCGCAGTGGCGAACATTATTACAACGTCTCCTGCGGGTATGTATACATAATAATCGTCTCCCGCGATTACGTCAAAATGGTAATCATCTCCCGTGGTCGTGTAGAGATCATCATCGTCTTCTGTGAATGAGGCAAATTCTGATCATCCCTCGTGGCCGTGAAGACATCATTATACATTGTACTGTATTATTATAAACCGTATTGTTAGTAAAATAAAATATCTTCCTTATAACATGTTTCTATATCCTCTTCTGCGGAAGTAGACATAATAATCGTCTCCAGAGATCCTGGCAAAATGGTAATCAAATCACAGATACGTCTCTGTTGTCATGCGTGATCGCGGTAAATTGAAAATTCTAGGAAGAAATACAAAATTCACGCATAATTCCCGGTTTTTCCGGCCGGTGAACACCCTGAATTAAAGCGCTGCTATTAGTTTTGCCCAGGGCGCTGACAGGGTCAAAAACGGGCCTGGTTGTAAGTTCCTCCCCAGACCCCTATGTCATATCTCAGGTGAGATTAAAAAGAGCAAAATAGGCTACCTTAGCTGCATCTGTTCCACTTATTTGTTTTATCTATGTTCTTTACAAGTCCAACAAATTCATAACTATTCTTTACATTGTATATATATTCTAATTCTAAATCATTGCTGAGCTTACTTGCTAATAATTTTGAAACATTGTAGGTAGGAGCACATTTAAAGTTAACTAAGGGTCTGATGGGTACATTCTTCTTGTGTATTTTTGGGATCCCTTTCATTATGGGCGCTTTGGAATTTAGGATGTTCATCTTCTGTCGACATTCTTCGGTAATAACTCTGGTGCATCTCTTCACGGCGTCAGACAGCTCTTTTTGGTACCTCTGCGTTGGATCCTTTTTCAGCTCTTTGAAGTTATTTTCTTTATGAAATCTTCAGTCTTCTTTACATATTCTTCTTTTCCGAGCACTACGATGTCGTCGCTTTTGTCTGCTTTCACAACGATTAAGCTATTCTCTTCCATTTTCTTCTTTATTTTGTTGCATGTCTTCAGTTCTTCATTTCTGCTGGGATCTATGGGTCCTTGGCTGGTGAAAGCGTTGGCTGCCACTTCCTTCCGAAAGGTAAAATGGTCTAGTCTCTGTGTGATTTTACATTAGCTTCAACTTCAGTAGCTAGTAGTTTGTTTTCGTCCTTCTTCTTCATTGGGAAATTGTACTTCATTCTGTAGTTTAGTATTTTTTTTCTTCTTCACTGAATTGATGATGACTCTCTTCTGGAATTTGTGTCCTGTACTCGTCCTATCCAAGTCTTCATTAGGTATATTCTTCTCTATGAGCTTGTTTAATTTGTCGTTTATCCGTAGATATTTCCGGTCTATAGCGTCTTCAACCTTTTCACTGACGACTTCATGCAGTAGATTCCATGCGATTAGACCGTATAATCTCAAGAATTGTAGGTGGATGTCGTAGGCAATCAGGTTCAGTTCTTCTTTTTCACAGTAAAGTTGTTTGATCATATTCTGGACGAATAATACCTTGCCTTGTTCCTTGGTTCTTTTGGCGGCAATGGAGTTACAGTTGACCTTGATTTTTGCGTATTGTGGTGTGATTCTATTCTTGATACATTCTTTGTTGAAGTAAATATCTGCAATCTTCGTGGAAATCTTGATTCCTGTATCCCTATATATTTTGCTGCTAATTTTGATTGACTAGCTTCACTAAATATTAAATAACTTATTGATCAGCATTGTACGTATTAAATTTACGGAAAGTAAATAAAAGAAAACATCTTATAACACAAAACATATATTTACGCTTATACTGTTACTCGCAAGACGGTAAATTTAGAAAAAAGTTGGTAAGTGGTGATCGATTTTGATTGGACACTCCAATCATCATCAGACCCAATAGGCAAATGACAAGAATCTTTATTTTTATTTATATTTACCAACGGCAATACACCAATTTACAAAGATTATCAGTAGTTTGACAGCTTCAACAGTGAATATTTGTGCTTATGACTAGATTAACAATAATAAAAACGAAATTGATAACGATAACAATAATAGACAATGAAATGCGCAACAGTATAAATAAAGAAATGAACAACAATAATAAATAATTAAATTAACAACAATAATAAATAATTAAACTAACAACAATAATAAATAATTAAATTAACAACAATACTAATGATTTGAGATAACATGCAATATATATCGATAACAGAAAAAACAAAGAGAAATTATTATTGGTCGACTCGCTTCTCTGCTGCCACTCGCCTAACAGCCACCAAACTGGAAGCGAAAAAGTCAACCGACGAACATATTTCGTTTCTGGAGTGCATCAGACGTGGTATGGGGCAGAAGCGTAGATAGCTGGTCGAAGCATGGTCTAGCTCAAATAAGCGTTGATGCCTGGTGCTTCTGGGAACGTGCAGATTGATCCTCTCGAGCAGAAAAGGACTGCTGATCTGGTTGTTTAGCAGCTTGAAGAGGAAGGCAACATCAGCAACTCTTCTTCTAGACTCCAAGCTTTGGAGACCATAAGCTGCAGATATGTCTCAGATATAAGCTGGCAACCCATATGTCTCACGAAGCGTCTCTGGACTGATTCAAGATGGTTGATTTGGCCGAGGAGGTATGGCGACCAGACCACAGAGGCGTACTCAAGCAGCTGATGAACTAAGGCCTTGAACAGGATCGTTGAGGAGTTGGCACTCAACCCATGTCTTGACGTTCGAGAGATCAATCCCAGCATGCGTGACACCCTGGTACATATATGACTTATGTGCGGACCAAAATCAAACGATGCATCAATCAGAACGCCCAGGTCCTTGATGTTGTCACACCTTTCCACCCTGTTCCCGTCAAGGAAATAGTCAGCTTCCAAGTTGTTCTTCTTTCTACTGAACGTTATACATTTCGTTTTAGCAGGATTTGCTGACACATCATTCACTAAACACCAACTAACGACGTTGTCGAGAGCTTCTTGAAGTAGTTGACAGTCAGAGTGAGAGTTGACTTCAGCGAACAACTTTATGTCATCAGCAAACAGTAGAAAAGGCACCTTTATATTATCTTTAATGTCGTTGATGAAGATCGAGAACAAAAGTGGGCCAAGATGAGAACCTTGCGGGACGCCAGAACTCGCGACGAAGCTAGCAAAGACGTGGGACTGGAAGACAACAGCCAGACGTCGATCAGAAAGATAGCTCTCAAACCATCGAAGCATCGTGCCAACAACGCCATAGCCCTCCAGCTTAGCAAGAAGATGACGGTGACTAATCTTGTCAAAGGCTTTGCTGAAATCTATGTAAACAGCATCAACTTGGCTTCGTCGGCTGAAGGCATCCATAACTTGGCACTGAAGCGTGAGGAGACTGGTCACAGTAGAGCGGCCAGAGGTGAATCCATGTTGCTCGTCTATCAACACTTGTCTGAACAAGGGCTGTACGATATCCAATATTAGGCCTTCGAAAACTTTGCTTACAACAGACAGAAGGACAATTGGCCTATAGTTCGTAACGTCACGGTTGTCTCCCGACTTAAATATGGGAACGACAAAACCATTCTTCAGGACCGATGGAAAAGTGCCAGAGGACAGACTACGGTTGAACAAGTGTTGGAGTAGAAAGGCTAGTTCAGAGTGGCAGAACTTAAGCACTCCTGGAGTTATATCATCAGGCCCGTTTCCCTTGGTTGCGTCCAAAGCCAACAGCTTCCTATCGACATCGTGAACTGAGACGGAACATTTGGAGATAATAATGGGGGTGTTGAACACACGCACAGGCAGTTCACCATGGTGAGCGGGAGAGTAGACGGACGAAAAGAAGTCAGCGAAGAGTTGACATGACTCCACATTATTAGCAGCCTCATACGAACCAAATCTGATATTTCCAGGAATAGGAGGCGAACGATTGAGGTCTTTAACAAAGCTCCAGAAGACCTTGACATTGGAAGTGATAGTTGAGTTGACGTGGTTGATGAACCTTGATCGGCAGTCTCTGGAGATAGTCTTGCATTGGTCACGAATTCTGCAAAATGATTGGTAGTCCCGCCAGTCAAGAGATGTTTTGTATTGCCTGTGGAGTGTCTTCTTAAGAATGACGAGAAGTTCCACTGAGAACCACCTAGGAAAGTGAGAGTGACCTACGCGTTTCCAGGGAGAGTGAGTCTTGATAAGGTCACTGAGCTGATTGCAGAACGAGGAGAACATCAGGTCAATATCAATGCTGTCATCTATCTGAATGCCTTGTTGCTGAAGATCTTGCTTGACGCTCACCAAGTCACATCTTCTTAGGTTTTTGATGAGGGATGAGGACTCCAGGCGCGCTTTAGGAGGGCTTGGGACTTCTCCATGTACACACAAGCATGGGTGGCAGAGTTCGTGGGCGAGGAGAGGTTCATCAGCACGAGACACGGTGAAGAACTCCGGGGATCCAAATATTAGGTCTAGTTGGACACCTCTGTCGTTCATTACGTCGCTGACCTGTGTGATTCCTAGATGAGCAACAAGATCCAGAAGTACGCAAGCAGATTGAGGAGCGGAGGTAGGGTCAGGATTTGTCCAAGTATATCCGGGTAGGTTGAAATCCCCAGCGATTAAGATGTGGTCATAGCTCTGGCAAGTTGAAATGGTGTCGCTAAGCGAATCATCAAACAAGGAATAGATTCTCGTGTAGGATTGTGGTGAAATATAGGCACCGCAGATCAGGATCTTGCACACCGCGTTCAGTTTGACCAGGACGCACAACGCCTCGACAGGAAGGTCAGGTTGAGTAATTCAGGTCAGGTAGTGAGTCGGTGGCTCAGTCGGTAGCGTTGCGGACTTCGGGCCCAAGGCAGCGATGTCGTGGGTTCGGATCCTGGTCACTGCCGATAACAATTTATCAGTACAGTTCACCTTTGTACTGTACCGGCTCACTCCTTGCTTTGCTGTAAACGATCCACGCACGGGCGCTTAGTCTATGTGGACGGGCAAATGCAAGGTTAAAAGAGGCCGCCAACCTCTTTTTAAAAAAAAAATTTCGTGTGAGTGCAGGGACTTGTGAACAGCTATCAGTACTCCACCTCCGTCTAGCTTACTACTGGTTAGGGAAGACCGGTCCTTGCGGAACACAACATAGCCATCAAAGCCCAGTTCAGAAGATGAGATTGAGGCATTTAAATTAGTTTCAGTGAGCACAATAATATTATTCAAGGATACGGGGACAGAGACATGCAGAGAGGTGAGCTTTGTTCGTATTCCATTAACATTCTGGTATAATAAAGAGAATTGTGTATTGCCGTTGGTGCCTAGTCGTTTTTTGTATTAATAATTTTGGGAATACCGTTGATATATTTGATGGTGAGATTTTTCTCCCCAGATTCAGAGCGACGGGACAGCTCGGCCCTAAGGCTTTTGAAGTGTGCTGCCTCAAGCTTGGTTCTATCACGGCCAATGGACACATTTGAAAACTCATTTCCCAAACCGTTTAGTAGTTCCTTAGTAGCAGAATGGCTTTCCCTACTTATATCCTATTGGCTACCGGAAGCACCGGCCAATACATTTTTATAAGTACGACTTGAGTCGAAATTTACTTGTTCTCAGCTTATTTCTATTTTTACTTTTTTAAAGAAAATATGGTGTTCAATATAAGCTGTACTAGTTAATTAATTGATGTGAAGAATGAGGTTTTTTGTTGGAGATTTGGCTGGTTCCTCACGTTCAATTACAGTTTATAAATTAAATTAAATGGATACAGTTTTTTGTTTAATGTTTGGCTGATTCCTCATGTTCAGTTAAAATATCTAAATAGAATAAAATGGCTTTCTGTTAGTAGTTGTGTTTTGGTAGGCATAGTGCTTAGGTCAGGGTTGCCGAGGTTGCAAGTGTAGGTCACGTGTCGGTATGTCTTGGTGGCAAGTTTGCTGATGTGTTTGTTGAGTTGGTTTGGTGGTGATGTGGAAAACTGGTGTGTTGGAGATGGTGAGTTGACTCTGAAGTCACTTATTCCTTCTTGATAATTAATTGAGAGGATTTTGCAATTTATGTTTAGTTTACTTTGGATATTGAATTGAATTTTATGGAAACTAAAAATTGTTACTTTACTTCAAGGGCAGGGACGTTTATGCAATAAAAATATATTATCATATTCTAAGGTGTTTTGAAAGTTATTACTTTTTCAAGGTTTTGGCTTTGTTTTTCAATATTGTACTTCAGAGTTTACTTACCGTGTCAAGGTATTGTCAGTTGGGTTACACTTATCTTGGGTTTAATATCACATTTGACTATTCATGAGATTTTCTTGAGGGTCTTGATTATAATACCTTTAATAACTTCTTGATCAGCATCGTACGTGTTATTAAATTACCCGAAAAAAACAAAAATATATATGTTTAATAACACTTGTAATAATATATTTACACTTATACTTTTGACTTACAAGACGGTAAATACATATAAAAGTTGGTAAGTGGTGATCGATTTCGATTGGACACTCCAATCATCATCAGACCCAATAGGCGAATGGGTCTAAATTCTGGGCCTATTCGAAGGTTAAACAGCTCATAGGAACAACCGTGTAGACACCATCTAACTTTTCTTAAATTTCTGGGTATATTGATGGACTAGTCTAAGACAATATGTGCATGTACTATACTTACACACCATTTGCCAAAGTCACATTACTTTTAACTTTGTTTAATTAAAAATAACATTGACCATTCCATTTTGTGATTTTCCGCCATTCTTTTTTTTCTTTATCAAGAATTGTACAGGTCTTGTTCATAAACCTATTATTTATACGTTCTGTTTTACTTAGCTAAACACAACACTTTTTATATGGGATATTTAATTTGTCACCTCATGACTACACCACAAAGAAGTTAGTCATTTAGGGCATAAATTTATGGATTTTGGACACAAGTTCTAATGCTAAATAATCAATTCTGGAACTCGACACCATAGCTAAAATTGGCTAATAAAATACAGAACAATATTTTGAATCATTGTTTGCTGCAAGGTTGCCGGTTAGTCTCAAATTCAATCAATCAGCTTGTTTAATAGGAAATACTTAATAGAAGAATATCATTTGTAGGCTACTTTTGTATAGGCCTACATAATTTTAATTGTAGTAAACAATCTACAGAGTAACAAAACCTCTGAAACCAAGTAGGCTCTTTGTGCGGTAAATGTGTTATTGTTTCAATATCAATCGTTAGATATTGAGTATAAAATTTCTAAAACAATTGTTTTTTTAGGTATTGATGACATTGGAAGAGCATCTGTCATAAATTGTAAAGGAAAGAAGAGTAATGAAAGTAACTTCACAAATCAAAAGAAAGCCATGAGTACTCAAGTGCTACAAGAGAAGACTCATTATGTTGAGGATTCAGAGAAAGAATCGTCGAAGAACTCTGAAAAGAATGACAAACTCATGCTTGTAGAAATTTCTAGCCCAGCTATGAACAAAACAAATTCTACATTTAGCGATCAAAACACAACCTCAAACACTGTTGAAGTATCCAGATTGTCTGATAGCAGTTTGATTTCTGCAGAAGCAGTCCAAGAAATGAAATTGAATGATCAAATTAAGCATGATCTTACTGAAGATAACTCAATTCTGAGTAGAGAAATAGAATCTTCCAAGCCAAATTTTTCCGAGTGTTCTAGTTCAAAAACTTGCATATCTATAGAAGAACCTAGCGATCCCAGAGTTGTATCTTTCTTGTACAGCGGAAAACTTAAGAAAACAATTTTATCTAATGACTCCCCAAATAGTTCCTTGAGAGATTTAAAAACTGTTTCAAGTTTAGAGTTTGTAAATGATAAACCTAAGTTTTTTAACAAACCTACAGATTCAGGGAATCAAGCTGTTGCTAAAACTCTTGATGAATCAATCAAGGAAATTGATGATCAAAACTGTTTAAAACTTAGACAGATGACTGAATCAATAAAAAAAATGAACATTCCACTTTTTGATTCAATCATTGTACACGAGAATAATGTAGTAGGTTCAAGTTCCATAGTTAATGCAGTGGGCCCTAACGTATTAGAATTGAAAGTGGGAAGTACTTTAGATGAAGAAGCTTTGGTGTATAAGAACCCAGCAATAAGTGGAAATATGAAATATATTTTGGATACTTCTATAATCGAAAATCAACATAGCTCTGTGATAATCAACCCTGGAACAAATGATAACTCACAAAAAATTGAATCGAAATCGGAAACAAAGACTATTACAACAACATTAGACAATTCAAATGTAGTGATTTCTGACAAAACCCCTTTAGATGAAAACCACATTTCAAACAACAATGAACTTGACATGAAAGAAGAATTATTTAATGGGTTTCAAGAAGTTTCAGATAATGTTTATTCAAAAAATAGGCGTTTTCGTCAGTTCATCACCAGAATAAGTGAAAGTGAAAATGAAGAGTGGTATATAAATGCAGGGAATTTGTCGTTGGATGTAAGAAAGGATTTTAGGTTGTCTAGTGACATGTCAAAGCCTTTCAGTCCCGACCACAAACCATTGAGGAATTCCAATAAAAAAGCAGTGGTGCTTGAATCGCATGATAATTTTAATACATTTTGTGAAACACTTCCAAACAAAGGACAATCAAAATCAACAGCTAATCAGAAATCGAAGGGTGATCCGAAAGGTGAAGAAAGTTTGAAATCGAATCATAATAAAAATATATCCAATCCAATCAATCATAGTAAAGTTGCAATTGAACCAGTAAAACAGAGAGGTGTTACTGATGATGAAACTCTTCAAGATGTTACAATGTATAGTTCTTCAAAAGAAACTAATACAAAATCTCTTTCGAAAAGAGAATCCACACAAACTTTAAAAGTTTCTCTTAGTATTGATAATTTAAAAATACCTTCTAAAGCAGAGATTGATAACAGAAGCCCTCCAAAGTATGATAATGAACGTAATTGTAAAACAACAGAAGAAACAATTGTCGATAAAAATAAGAAAGTGACAGGAAGTAGTAAAAAATCTGTTAACCAAGTAAAAGATCATTCCAAAAATAAAAACTTCAAAGTAAATAAAAGTATTAGCTCAAAAAACTTATCTTTGGAACTGGCTGTGAATGAGCAAAGTAATCATCGTAATAATGTAACTAATGAATTGCCTTCCTCCTCGAGAAAACAAAACCCTTCAAAAATGCAAAAGAATGAATTGCACAACACAGCTAAAAGAAACTTCAATATGGAAAATTCGCTGATTCAAAAAATTAAAACTGCCATATCAGAAAAATTCAACCGTGAAAATAGCATTGACAGTGTACACCTAACAAGTACAAACTTGGAACACAATCCAGACTCCAAAGATGACCCGTCCTCGAAATCAAAAGTTTTACAAACTGAGGTATCTGACCTAACTACAACACAGTGTAAGAGTAATTTTACTGGTGCAGACATGGAAAAAACTTCAATAGGTAACTCAACTGCAGAGTATGGAGATGAAGAAAATCTAAAATGTAGAATGGATTATACAATATCCAGTGACGATGAACCTTTATCTAATTTACAAAAAACCTATCAACAAAGTGTGAAAACTGTCCTTTGTTCAAAAGACAACCTTCTCACCGAAGGCTTCTCTCCACATGATCACAATCAAAATGATGATTTAGAATCGGAAAAGGTGAAAAATACAAACAAAGCACATCTTGACTCCGCAAAACCTACAACCAAAACTGAACAGATAAACTCTGCTAATACACGTGAAGATTTAAAAACTACTAAAAAGAGGGGTAGGAAACCTAAAAAAAATAAAATTGAAGCACCTACCAATGACTTTGTTGTAATAAACAAAGAGAAACTCAATGAAACAGCATTTACAGATCTGAACAATCATAATACCACAAGTAATAACTGTACGATAACAGAGCAATATGATGTATGTAATAAAAGCTTGATAAATGATGTTGATAGTCATTCCACACCTAAAAGAAGAGGAGGGCCTCGAAAAAGAAAAATGACTGAACTCACTACCACCTCAAACACAAATGAAATGTCGAACTGGTTTGATCAATACAGTAGTGATAACGAGCTATTAATTTCAATTTATAGTGACGAATTACAAAACATTTTAGTTGGTGGTGTTTTTGAAAAAGGGGAAGAGACAGGAATTGATTGTTTCAAAAGAAATTTGCAAAAACAACAAAGTTTTCAAGGCAAAGGTGAATCCAGCCTGGTTTGTGGCATTGTTCCTAAAAAAAGAGGAAAAAAAAGACTATCAAAATTAGAAATCGATTCTCATGAAAGCTTTCCTGTTACACCTATATCCTCAGAAGACTGTAAAGTTTCTCATAACGAGGAAATCAATTCTAAATCAGTGGCAAATGACGCAACATCGAGTGATATTAATGAAGTAAAAGTACCAAAAAGAAGAGGAAGACCACCAAAATCAAAAGTAGTTTTTCAGAGTACTCCTAATGCAACTAACCAATCAACTTGTAAGGAAGATGTAAATAGTAAACTGTGTAATGATTTACAGAATATCTCAAATATCGAAACTGACTGTGATACTAGTGTTACTAAACTACCTAAAAAAAGAGGAAGGAAACCAAAACTACAACCAGAACTCAACAATTCTAAAAGCTCGGAAAACCCTACTTTTTCTTCAATGAGTGAAAATATTGATACGGTCAGAGAACAAATATTGGATTTTGATAAAGATGAAGTTGCCAAAAAAAGAGGTAGACATAAAAGACAACCAGAAGTTTCAGAAAATGATACCAGTTGTAATTTTGAAGGAAAAGACGACGATGCTAGTCAAAATAATCTTACACCCGGAACTAAGAAATTAAAAAGTAAAGGAAGAAGAACAACAAAATTAACTTCAGAGGTCAATGATGAGGAAAATAAAGTTAGTAATGTAACAGACATGGACTGTGATGAATCGGAAACTAGCGAACTACTCGGTACCGATCTGATCATCATAAATGAAGAAAAAGTCGTTAGTAGTTCTAGATCCTTGAATAATAAAACTAGGAGATGTAGACAAAAGCCACCACAGAAAGTTGTCAGTGAAGGTGATAATTCTGATGATTGTGGACCCGATGACTCACCACTAGTATACGATGATTCTGAAGATGATGAGAGTTACATCCAGCCAAAAAAACGCAGAAGAGCAAAATCAAACAGAAATAATGTTGATGGAGAAACTGTGCAGACACCAGTGAATAAAAATAACAGTTTTAGTAAACCTGGACAGAGTATTTACTTTAAAACAGAACACCATGGTGAAGATAAGGTATGTAATCCGAAATATCTTTATATCAGTCAGTAGTAGATAGATTCAAGGAGTAACTGAGATAGGTTATCCAACAGCTTTAATTTTGATTTTTCATTGCAGCCTAATGATCCTAATAATATTTTGGTCTTTTATGATAAAGAAAAACATTATGGCTAGTTTATGTAAGTTTTATATATACAGGGTGAGTTTTAAATGAGTTCCCCCCCTACTTTTTTCTACATTTCTTAAGATATCAACTCCGGACCACGTCAGATCATTGTAGAGTAGTAAGTACTTCATTTTGACTGGGTATAAATTTTTGGCCGCCATCTTGGATCCGCCATATTGGATACAAAGTTTTTTTTTCAAATGTAAAGGTAGGGTTGTGACCCATCGTTTTAAACTAGATTTGTATGCTGAGTATGATGCTGCAATTCGTTTTTAAAAATATTGATCCATTCTAAAGTTATGATAACTTTTTATAACATTATTATAGCCCATTTTAACATTGTGCATTTAGAAACTAAGAACATAATCGCAAAATAGTGCTAGATAAAGATTTATGTATATTATGTGGTGTATACTTATCTTTATCTAGCACTATTTTGCGATTATGTTCTTAATTTCTAGATGCACATATTAAAATGGGCTATAATAATGTTATAAAAAGTTCTCATAACTTTAGAATGGATCAATATTTTTAAAAACGAATTGCAGCATCGTATTTAGCATAAAAATCTAGTTTAAAACGATGGTTCACAACCCTACCTTTACATTTGAAAAAAAAACTTTGTATCCAATATGGCGGATCCAAGATGGCGGCCAAAAATTTATACCCAGTCAAAATGAAGTACTTACTACTCTACAATGATCTGACGTGGTCCGGAGTTGATATCTTAAGAAATGTAGAAAAAAGTAGGGGGGGAACTCATTTAAAACTCGCCCTGTATAGATTTTGACTAAGCATCCTTATAGTTCCAAATGTGAAACTTTTGCTGATAGACAATAGACAATGGCTTAGCAAAAAGCTGAAGTAACGTAGCAAATGGTTTTGTACCGGTGTCAATGCATTCCTAGATATCAACAATAACTTTGATCTCTACTTAGAAATGACCTTGCTGCCATTGCATTAAATGTATTAGCAGGGATTCTCAGATTTTTACAGGCTTACAGTGACTGATATTTCACTTTGATCTTGACTCTCCTTAGATTCTCAGCCGAACGAGAGTTTACTAAGAATTTCACTGTTAAAACAAACATACAATTTACTAATTTATATGTGATTTTCAGATAGTTTGTGGACTTTGTAAGAAAGAAATGACCTACACCAAATACAAGAGTCGACATGCTGTGTTTAAACATTATATGTTATCATGGATTGAAGGAGTAGAGAGCCCTCCGGTAAGCTTGGATTCAAATAACTATACAAAACTTGCCTTTTTAAAAATTTATTCAAAATCTCGTAAATTAATTGCACCAGAACCTCGATTAAACGTCAATCTGGTAATGTTTCTACCATCAAATTTTTAAATGTTCTGATGACATCATTAATTTTCCATGAGGTAAAAGATTGAGAACCGGGAATAAGGTAATCATTCCCTGTTACCCTTTTGTAATGCGCTGATACATAAATTACAGATCTCTGTAGAATACGCTCTGACTTTTAACTTTAACCAACCCAATCCAAAAGGTCACATTTTTGTAAACTGTAGTAACTTAACGTCACATCAGATAGTTACAAAAAATAGGTGAGAAAATTAAATTTTAGACTGTAACACGATCTGTGTTTGGCTCATTCTACTGTGTTATTTTTTTAAACATCAGTCCATGATGATGGGTGACTTCAGTATCTAAAGGTCATTGATAAAACAGATTTTCATTATTTACAGGATATGACCAACAAGAAGGAGATAGAGGGGAGGCTGTGGTACGCCAAGAAGCGCTTAAAAAAGACTCCGTTTCGCTGCCCTGGCTGTAACTTGCCCAAGTTGAGTGCTGTTGGCTACTACAGTCACATTCTGTTCTGTGGCAAGGATTGTGAGGTAAATAAAATAGGCACAGAAGTAGAGATGTGTCATACCAAAATTGATTGATTCTCAATACAAATATCTATAACACAGTTCCCAATATTTTTTTTTATTTTACCAAATTTCCAGTAAAGAATGAGTAGGACAACTATACAGCAACCCTTAGCTTTTTGTCCTTAAACAAAATTGAATTGCAAGGTAGTAGGTTTTTTTTAAGTATATCAAAACGATCAAAGCAACAAAAAAAAAATTATAATAGTCAATTCAAATTTAAAACCTTCTAAACACATTAAATAGCAAAGGTAAATAGAGTTAAAAAAATTAATTTTAACAGGAATGGGCCAGTAATTTTCATGTTTATATTTTCATCTAACATTATAGGCCTATATTTAATTTAAAAGAAGACTCGTACGAGTCAAATCCAAAGTGTGCCAAGGTCCACTCAATTTTTCAGTAGACTCATGTACATAAACTCGTACTGAGAAGACCGAACTTACACAAACAGAGTCAGAGATGAAGGATTTGCATGACATACCATGGTTACTCGTAGCCCAATCACTGGCTTGTTGTAGGCTTACATCATTATATTGCCATTATCCCTGAGTACTAAAGGTAATAGAAAATTTATACTCCCTATATAGAAAATTTGCGAAAGTAACAACTCTTTCTAAGTTCGGAAACTTCCTGGTGTACAATTAAGACTCTTTAAGAGGCGGTTCACGAGTGCGGGGTTTCGTGGCCCACGGTTATCGTTGTTCTCGGCCAATTTTAACCGACGGTCAAAAAATGGGTTCACGACACAGAGCGTTAGCCGAGATCAAGCTTAGCCGAGACCAAAGCTAGCCGTCGCTCAACAGCAGGGATTCACGGGGAATTATCGTTGGAAGGTTGGCAATAGCCACAGAAATGAGCTACCTGCTGCAGGGCCGCTGCCCAATGCTTGCGGTCGACGAGCCCAAAAACAATAGGATGATGTTGCGGGGTGGGGGTTTATAACCCTGTTGACAATATTGTTTCACTTGTCACTCATCCCCCAGCCCCAGGTCCTCAGTTTGTCTGAAATATTAGTTGAGGGTGGAAGTTTTGGCTATTCTAATTTTGAAATAACCAGTTTTTTGTGTTGTGTTGTGCTGTTAGAGTTTATATTGAGTTATAATTTGTTTGTTAGTTGTGTGCAGTGTAATTTTTTTAGTTTATAACATTTGATTAGATTTTATTAACATTTTATTATTTATTCACTATCATTAATTTTTATTTTTATGAACGTTTTCAAATATGTCTGATGCAAAGAAAAATCGAGTGAACTTCACAAAAGACGAATTAACATTGGTAAAAAATTTAGTGCTATAATAGAAAAAAAATGCATGACCAGAAGACGGAGTCGTTGAGGAAAGCCGCGTGGATTGAAGTCCACGACTACTTCAACAGTGAGGGGTTGAACATCCCGCGGAACATAGAACAGTTAAAAGGTGCCTGGAAGCGTGTTAAAAAGGAGTATAAGTCACAAAAAGCCGCAGAAAGAAGGAGCATATTCAAGACTGGAGGAGAGCCCCCACCTCCATCAGCAGATCAGGATGACAAGGACATTGAAATGGACGAACTGTTCTCAGACCAAACGCCACTAGAAAACATTCCAGATGACGATGACGACATCGGTGTCGGTAAGACAATTGGTTCATAAATAATTATAACTATACAGGGTGATTACTGTTATTTTATAAAAAGAGCTGTGGACCGGCAATTTATTTTATACTAAAGTTACTGGATTAATCCTTGAATTATTAATTATTTACTGAAAACAGGCCATTGAATCGAGAAAATGAAATTATGCCAGTACTTTGATAAAATTCGTTTAAATGAATGTTGGTAATGTTAGAAAACTAAAATTAGATCACCGATTATGTCAATATAAGGTTTGCATTTTTATCTAAACATTTAAATTATTTCACAAAATGACTATTATTTTCAAAGGTTTATGATTATCTTTTATGTGTCAGTAATTTTTTTACAAAAATAAAGTTGAAGGAACAACCGGCTATTATGGGAGTCGGGATGCCCACATATGTAAAAAATAATAATATAACGTAAATGTTTTTGTTGAAAGTGATTGTAATATAAGTGCAGTATATTATGTACTTACCGTGTATAGAAGTGGAATTTAAAATCAGATGGCGGCAGTAGACACCCTAGTTCACACTCTTTTCAATACCTCAGCATGTAACTTCACCTTATTTCACTGCGTTTACTCAGACTTTTAAGCATGCGATATCTTAGGTGTAAGAAAACAGGTTTTAATAATAAAACATTTTTTTTTGTAATACCACGTTTTGTATATTTGACTAGGTATGGAATTTATCTTTTACCTCAGCAAAATTGAAGCAGCTTAAGGGAAAACATGATAAGCCAAATATTAAGAAATTATAAGAATACAGTTCTTTAAAAACTCTTAAATCATAAACATAATAATATAACATAAACATAATAATGAAACAAAAACATAATAATAAAACATGAACATCATAATATAAAGTTATAATTTAAAATTGACGATAAAAATGTGGATACTTAAATACGTAAAAAATAGGTAACAAAATTCAATTGCAATGTACATTCATATAAAAATATGTTAAGCCATTAATTATCTTTTACTTTATTAATTAATTAAAATCTTTCCAAAGAAACTTTTAAATTGAGTTGTATTGTTGGGATAATTTCTACGCAACATTCACGCTAAATTTTTGTATTGAGAACTATCTGGCCTTAACTTTTCAGGTTAAACAAATGTGCGTCCAACGTTGTTAATATTGCTATTAATCTAATAAACATTACAACTGAGACGGGTTTGTTTTTCTCAGAAGATCGTGACACGATCCCATTGAGTGCGAGGGTAGCAACAGCCTCACCCGCAGACCTGCTCGCCACCCCCACTCCCAGGGCAACGACCCCAGCAGTCGTCTCTAAAAACAAAACTACTACTAGGAGGGTGACAACATTCGCGGAAGAATATCACAAAAAGCACATGGAACATTTGGTACAAGAGCACGAGCTCAGGATGAAAGTCTTGGAAGAGGAGATGAGCTACTGGGCACTAAAGAAACCAAATTATAATTAAAAATTATAATTAAATTATAATTAATTATAATTTATTAATTATAATTAATTATTAAATTATAATTAAATACTGGGCCTTGCTCAACCAAATTCTGACCCAGCAGCAAATTTATCAGGGATCACAAGTGAGGCTAAAACGTTCCATCTGTTGGGTGAAACCATACAGGAAAATTGATTCATTGTTAACTGTGTTTTATACATTTAGTTTTAATTAATTTGTTATCAATTATCATTATTTCTAGTAGGAATTAATTGTGTGATTTGTCATCTCATGACTCATTTAGGTTACAAATGCATTGATATTTAGGTTAATGCATTGACGCTTACTTAATTTTTTTGACCACGAGTGAGGCTAAAACTTTCCATCTGTTAGGCGAAATCATCGAGGAAAATTGATTTATTGATAATTTGTTTGTTTTTTAACAGTTCTTTTTCATAAATTAGTTATTAATTAATTATAATGTTGTAGGTATAACTTGTGTGATTTTTTATCTCATGACTCTTTTAAGTTAAAAATTTTATGTATTAACGCTTACTTAAATTTTTTGACCTAATTACTGAATTATTGATTATTAAATATCTTTCAAATAATATACACATTGCATTTATTGCACCCCTTTATCCTTAGCTTCAGTTTGAAAAGTAACGCTGGATTATTTCGTTTCTAGTTAAGTTGCCTTCAGGGCAGGCTGGCTGGGGCTGGTCATCATCTTCCTCCATTTCGTAATTTTCAGGAAGTGGTTCCAAAGCGTCTTCGAACATCCTCCTTCTTATTCCAAAATTGTGCAGTATGGCACAAGCAACAATGACGATGCAACAACGGCGGGGGCTAAACCGCAAGGTGTTGTCATTGTGCAGACATCTGAAAAATTGAAATATTTTATCAAAATTTTATCTATAAAATATTGAGTGACAATATACTTCCGTATGATGATATATAACCCCTTTAAAAGATTGGGAGTATAAACTTATTTAAAATGTTTACTAAAAAGGAACACAAAACAGGTTAAAATAACTCAATTAGATCGACTGAACCTGTTCTAAAAAATGTAAATAGTTTTACAAGACAATGTTTTATAAAAAACATGTTAAATATTATTGTTGTGAACAGTAGTCACGATTTTTTACAGTATATGATAAAATATTCCTCCAAATGAGAAGAAATCTGGCAGTTCCCAGTTGTATTACAGTATTTTACTTCATCAATGTTAGATTTATACTACTCAGCACTTAATATGTATAGTTGCTACTGTATTTTCATATAATCTGTAGGCCAAACATGTGTTATATATCTCAAATTGAATTGCTAATTTTCTTATATTTTTGCCAAATACCTGAATCTATTTTTTAGTAGACCAAACATTCTCTCTACTGTTGACCTGGTCCTTATTAGCGCTCTTTGATACCGACGCTGGGCTGGAGTTGCAGGCCGTAATAGGGGTGTCATCAGAAATCTGAAAAAAATAGTTTTTTTCACACTAAGTTGGTAAAATTAAAAGAACGTAATATATATTTCTGCTAAAATTAACGACATGCTATTGATTGCAAATACAGCATACAACAACTTTTAATTAGGTTTCTTCGCCAGTAGATTCCTAAATGGATTCCACCCTCATCCCCCATCGGTGCAACCGATACCTCTCTTCAACAATACGACAAACAATCCACCTGTCCTCGGCTCCTCAGGGCCATAAAAGTGACACCTTGTACTGTTTGGCCAAAGTGTCTGTGCGCGCGACCAGTTCTGGTTGAGTCTAGGTGAGGGGGTTGGCGGGGGTGCTTTTGTGAAAACATTTGTGTCTTGCTACTCATTCACCCCTACCACCAGCACTGCCAATAGCCGTATGTTTTTGTTCGGCTAGTAGCAACCCGTCCACACGTACAGAAGTTTTGACATAACTTTACCATGGCTCGCTACTTGATTATTATTACTTATGCAATAATTGAACATATTATATTAATACTATATTAATTAACATTAAATTTATGTTGTTACTTGCCTGTTACATTCGTATCCACTGTCTCCGACCAGTATTCCGCCCATATCACGTTCTTCAAATTCTGCATATAGTCTTGAATTTTTCAACACTCTGGAATCATGCTGCCTTTCCATCTGGCAACTATGTTGGTAAATTCAAGGTTTGCACCTGCTGCTCCTAGGACGTTGATAGAAAAATAAAACGCTTCCTACATCTATATTCCTCTTTGCCTGGAGTTGAAGGGCAAACAATGGGAATGTGGGTGCCGTCAACACAACTTAAGACGTTGGGGAATCCATACTTAGTGAAGAAGCTGGTTTTGATTCTAGTGGCGTAGTCCCCAGATGGAAATTTAATGTACTCAGCTTTCAGTTCCGAACAAATAGCTGACGCAACTTTATGGACTATCTGACATGCTATATTCAGAGATATATTCAGAAACATCCAGCAGATCGCCTGTTTCCCTATAGAAGTTGCCATCGGCAAAAAATCTAAGGGCAATCAATACCTTTTTCCAATTTGGTATAGCATTCTGATTGACTCTTATGCCAGGAAAGCCGAGCCTTGGAGTTAACAACTCAATCAATTCATTTACGGCCTCTTTTGAAAATCGGAATCTATCTTTGAACTCGTCGTCTGTCAAATCATTGAAGGGATTATAATTGTGGTAGCGAGCTGGTCGCATGCGAGGTGGTGGTTCAATGTGGTAGTCCAAATAGTCAAGGTAATCCATTGTCGCAGTTACTAGCCTATAGTGAAAAAAATTAAACACGAACTATACACCGCTCACACACCACAACACTGAACAGCACAGCAAAAACGACAGACCGTTCGCGAGGATTGCTTCATTCACACTAATAAGAATTAGGGACGTATTTAAGTATCTGCCACGCCGCCACCCCCCTCCCCACCAAAATTTTTCAGCGCACTCCCCGACCTCACTAATATCACCCCAATGGCCAATACATGCCCTGTCAGCTGATAATGTAGAAAAATAATCGGCAATATTGCATGCTGCATCAACAAATCTAATAACCTTTTTCAGCCCTTTTAATTTAAGAGATTTTTTTTCTGCAGTTTTTATGCAAAATTTGATTCTGACTTGGATACATGGAATCCAATCTTTTTATCCCATCAGTAATTATAATAACTGGTGCGTTTTGAAATAATTTTATACTTGATCAAAATAGTTCAAAATTTCCCACTATTCCAACCATGTCTGAAAAATGAGTGTTATTTTATTCTTTAATGTATGTATCTTTTTATCTTTCATAATACCATTGTCAATGATAATACATACATAATATATAATAACAGTCTCACGTGTGGAAGTAATTTTAATAATTTAACGCTATACTAACTCGATTGAAACTTAACTGTACTTATTATTTTGATTTTACACTATGTTTTGCATGTTTTCAACATAATTAGTAATTAAATTGAAAAAAATAAATATTATGTTGAGGGTAGTGAAATTGTTCGGAATTTAATGGCAATTTTGAATATAACATTCTTTTTGCCAACAAAAAAACAATAACTGAGCAAATGAGATAATCCCGACATGGTGTCAACTTAACCCTGCCCCCTAGCAGGATTAAGTTGAAGACCAAAACCATTGTTATTTACGCCCGAGATTATCCAGTTTGCGCTAGACCATGACTCGTGAACCCAACATTTGGCCCGGGGTTTTCTCTAATTGAACCCGTGAAGCCGACTTTTTGCGCTCGGGTTTATCCCTGTCATAATTGGGTGAAGTTTATCTGTCTGCGCCCAAGCGCAGGTAACCTCGTACTCGTGAAAAAAAACTGGCTTTAACTGGATTTTGCGCTCGAACTAAGGATAACCCGTGACTCGTGAACCGCCTCTAAGAGATACTCTTTTTGGGTAAAATTACTTAAAGGAGAGATCATGATTTGATTTATTATTATTACCTCTCTTTATCTAAAAAAAAGGAAATTCGCTAATAAAACATATTATTTCCTTTGTATATTATCATGTGCATCACTCACTCAAATTTCTGTTATGAAACTTTGGGAAATTGTTATATATATATATATGTTTGAGAAAATTTCAATGATTAATTATTACTAAAAATTATTCTGTGCCTTGGCCTCTTTGGCAACATAAAGAAAAACCGCAGTGGTGGTATTGTGTTTACGGTTTACTATTTGATGAAGTTACTGTATTAGTTTTATTTGCCAATTGTCAGATTCAATTGAACAAGCTTTGTGACATTATAAGAGCTGAATAACATAGGGAATGCAATTTTTTCAGGAAAAGGACTCATTGTTAGTGACATGCAAGCTGTGTAATGCAAGAATGATGCCATCTAGTATACAGGCTCACAACTATGTCAAACATAACAAAACTCAGCAGCCGTATGTTCCACAGAACACTGAAAACCAGCCTAGAGGACCGAGAGCTGCTGCTAAGAGGTGTGAATTTATTTATTTACTATCGTCTCATCAACATACTCAACAATTTATTATCATCCCAACTATATATTATTTGATCTCTGTGAACTTGATGTCAATGATAGGAAGTTTTTAATGCCTAATAAATATGTGCTTGGCATTTTTGAAATAAAATCGGCCATATTTATTTGTTTGTTATAAAAATTAAAATATCTGCCGTAGGGAAAACAGACAATATTTTTAATTTTTTTCACAAATAGTTTATTGCTATATATAATTGTATAGGCCTACAAAATTTCATAGATCAATCTTAAATAGTTTTGAAGGTATTAATTTCAACTAAAAAGAATTGCATACATCTCGCTAACTAGTCGTTATTGAATAAATGCTATCTTTGCTTTTTGTTTTATTTAGACACTTGAAACCTATTTCCAAATACAGTATGAACCCCTCATATCTGGTCACCATAGAACCAAACCCCTGGCTGGATATAGATTCGTCCTGTATATGATATCGGGGGCTCTACTATATTTTTTACTTACTTGCGGGACAGCCTGTGTGCTAGTGGTTATTGTGTGGAACTTATTTAAGGGTACTTAAGAAAGTATGACTGATCTGGTATCATTCGATTCATAACGAAAAGAGGAAATTCCTACAAACAAACATATTTTTCCTACAGTCACCCGACAAAGTTGGCTTCCTTGTACTGTTTATAGTACAGAAAGCTGCTAATTGCTGCATATTTATACTTTGCCGTACGGTTTATACTTTGCCGTACGGTTTATACTTTGCCGCACATCGGGATTCCAACGAAACAACACAAAACAGCGTGGTTCTATTATGCACGTAATCCCTGTACGCTTGGAAATAGGTTGGCAGCACTTGAAGATAATACTACTATGAGCAGCTGATTGACTATTATAACTAAGATTTAACCTGTCATTCGTGTTTATAGTTTCGGTATTTCTGAACTTTCTTGACTTTTCTTTTAAACGTTTTAAAAACATTCCTACGATCTTAATAAACAAGAAAATACCTTTAAAGCATTTGTTTAGGCGCGGAAACCACTTCAAATTACAAAAACATACGGAACTATATTCTCAAAACGCGGAGCAAATTTCTTGCCGAGGAAAAATACTAAAATAGCGGAGTGATACGGACCGCGGGTACTACTTTCTCTAGGGCACCATTTGTGATGCCAGCTGAACCTAAAAACGTGTTGTATAGTGTTTGAAAGACTAATTATTTATATGCTTTATAGTGACTGTAGGAAAAATATAATGTGTAACACGAGTGAAAAAGGCCTTTGCTGCACTCGAGATCATTCCGCACTCGCCTGCGGCTCGTGCGTAAACATTGCTCTCGTGTGCAGCAAAGTGCCACTTTCACCACTAGTTACACAAATAACTATATGATAACACAACATAACATAACCATAATATTTTGCAGCACGCTGTAAAATATTTGGCCTCCATATAATACCAAAGTATAGATTAAAGTTTTGGTTTTCGTTTTGAGATTCAAAATTTCTGGTTTTGCCCATCACTAATTGACTGCTCTGTATGAATTTGACAGAATTAGTGTATTGTTTGTAATTGCACGTGAAATCAAGCGTTTGCTACATTTTTCGAATACTCACTATAATGTCCATCTTCAAACAAGTTTTGAAATAATTTTAATTTCAGTGTCCATGGGGAATTTAAGATAAAAATATTTATTTTGAGTCACTAAATAATTTCCAAAGTTCATTGGGTTAAGCGATTGCTTGGTTTTTCAGGGCAACACAGGTTATACAGAAGACCCAAGCTGATAGCAAAGACGCAGATGGTCCTGGGTCTCGTGCCAACTCTCCTGATAGGGCATCACAGCTGGTAAGTGAATATCAGGTCTACTTAATCAAACCAAACCAAACTAGCCTATCAAACCAAACATTACAGATGAGTAAGTTAACACAATGAAACTATAAACAAGTTAAACAGTTTTCTTAATTTTGCTGTCAAAAAGTCTGTTAATAATACGTCCTTTGTTTGAAGTTCATTGTTGATGATGGTGAGTTAATGTTGTTCAAAGGTTTATTGCGGAAATTTTCCATCACGAATGTAAAAAACAATACACAACGTTTCGGGATCTGGAATCTGATCCCGTCTTCAGGTGAAAAAACTTAACTAACACATTACAACTAACAATACACAATCGCCCAACCTAAGTTGGAACTCACTACAGAGGGTAGTAGTCAAAAATATGAACTGTATAGCAGTCAAGTCATGATACAACATGCAATTAATAACAAATCACAAAACACTATAATTTATAAGGTTTAAAGTAAAAAACTCACACAATGGAACACTAATAGCACCGTACGCACTGACTCCACCAATGCGACTGAAACAACATGGCTGACCAATCGGAAACACGGAGACAACAGAAATGGCTTCCAGTCCCTGGAAGAGTAAAACCAACCAAATGGCGGAGCGATGTACGATGCCGCAAGAGGGGTGTTAATTCTGTTTATTCCTATCACGAGTTTTACTACGACTTAACATGACGTGCGTATTTTGAGGAGAACTCGTTATTTCCCTATTTATTGAACAATTAAGTTCCCTATCCTTCAGTTCCTTGTTCAAAATGGGTAGCCAAAGTGGCCTTATTTCAACCGATGACTGACTGATTGGTTGGTCTGCTAATTTAATGTATGAGGCTTTAATGAGTTTACGTTTGAAAAAATGAGGTTCCTTATGGACAATTTTTGCCTCTTCAAAATTCATACTTGGTGATGATTTTCGGACCAGCAATGATGAGCGATCTTAGATTTTTCCACTAAACCTTTTTTGGTGTTTTCTCTGTGTTCTTTGATTCTAATGTTCAACGGTCTTTTTGTCTCGCCATAGTAAGACCTGGAACAATCATTGCAATTTATTCTGTAAACACAGTTTTTAGTATCCTGAGTGTCATTTTTGGGTTTTGTTTTGGGTGTTGATTGGTGGAGTCAGTGCGTACGGTGCTATTAGTGTTCCATTGTGTGAGTTTTTTACTTTAAACCTTATAGATTATGGTGTTTTGTGATTTGTTATTAATTGCATTTTGTATCATGACTTGACTGCTATACAGTTCATATTTTTGACTACTACCCTATGTAGTGAATTCCAACTTAGGTTGGGCGATTGTGTATTGTTAGTTGTAATGTGTTAGTTAAGTTTTTTCACCTGAAGACGGGATCAGATTCCAGATCCTGAAATGTTGTGTATTGTTTTTAGCGAATTTCCCTATAGGGAAATAAATTGTGTTTTTCCCTATAGCTATTACCGTAGGTGGCACGGTAAGACCTAGACCCGGGACCGATTTACTTTTTCATTTTGGTGTCCCCAGAGGCCAAAAACACCATTCGTTCAAATTTTTATATATGTATATATATATATATATATATAGACTTATATATATATATATATATATATAGACATATATATATATAAATATATATACATCCGTGAACGCGATAACTTCAGTATTTTTTGTCCGATTTTGATGAAATTTGGTTTAAAGGTGTAAAGCGGGATAAACTTGAATGAGTTCGCGAACCAGCACGATCGGACCATGGGAACGCCCTTTACGGGGGGTTTTATGGGGTAAAAATTGGTTTTTCTCACTTATGACCCTCAAAACACAAAATTTCCCGATTTCTCTTTAGACCTTTTTAAAGAGGTTAAAAAACAAATAATTTAGTATATAAAAGTATTTTTGTTCGATTATTAGTAACGGAGAAAATTAAAAAAATTGTAAATTTAAAATTCCCATGTTATTCTTATGGAGAATATTGTCAAATGTTGTAGTTTGCTTGTTTATGGATATATTTTGATCAAACTTGGCAAATTTATTTATTTTGTACTAAGCTATCAATATTTTACTCAAAAACACACTTTATTAGTTTCCTTGTAGCAGCAAACCTAGGTACTCGTTAAACCTAATGTTATTAAAATATATTTAACTGAAAATCAATTCAGACAAATGGAAATTCGCTTAGTCGGCAGGTTTGCTGCGGCGGGGGTATTTACATTCGTGATGGAAAATGTCCGCAATAAACCTTTGAACAACAATAATACGTTGTTGTAGTGCTCTTTTCATCCCTTGGACAATAAATAATCTCATGGAGTTAGAGAACATCAGCTGTACATTTTCTGACCTTAAAATTTGTGACGCAAAATTCTAGGGGGGGAATAAACTAGTACTCACCAAAGACAGGCTAGGCATACTACCCTTAGGGGAGCCACACTCAAATTTCTTCCCCAGAATGCTCAGAAGGAGCCAAGAAAAATCCAGGGGTGTATACGAAGCTGTCACGGCTTTGACTGATCAATTTATTAAATTTAGTCTAAGGCTCTAGAAGTGCTCAGGAAATCCTGCAGACGCTCAGTAGGAGCTATTTCATCCCCACCTTCGTTAACTTATTTTTGGTAATTTTTCGCCTAACTTTTAGATTTACTCTGTAGGACAGACGAGTATTCTATCTTAGCCAAGGTGATACAATCACTCGTATTAAACTTAAAACTATTATTTTCTGAAGACGTTGGTAAATAATATAAAATTCTGCGATCAGATGAACAAAATGTAGTGTAAAAATCCCTACGGAGTTGTCGGGTCCTAATTAACATAATTAAACAAAGAATTTAGGGTGATATGGTTTAAACTGAATTTAACACCAATATACTTTGTAATTAACTGTTCAAACCTGAACACATCCAAAACTTGATTCTTTAGATCTTAGATGACAAATTTCGGAGTATTAAAAGTGAATTAATTAACTAAACAAATATACGTAATTATTTGTTAAGCGAACGGGGAAATCGTAATTTTGAAACTAATTAATTAAAATAAAACCAAACCATAGCCACCGTTAGTTACTGGCAGGCAGGAACTGGCTGGTCTAGAATCAAGTCGGCAAAATTTAAGTTATTTAAAATTTAAATCAAATTTTGGAAAGAAAATATGTGGATAAAGGGGAAAAGATTGTAAAACGTGAAAGTGATAAACTAATATATCTAACCTTCCGTTTACCTGAATTGTAGACGTATCGTAAGCACTCGAGAGCGTAAGACGTTGTATTTAATTTCTTTTCAGTAGTTGATGAACCAATCTTGGAAGTAAAATCACTTATTCCAGTCCGGTTGAGGCTTTTGCTCTCTGGTGGCGAGTTTAAGGATTAGTCAGCAGCTGATCTGACATTTTATGTTAGGCTAGTCTTCGTCTGTCAACAAACACCGGTCTTGAGGTTAAATGTTATGTCGTTGTCGGTGTTAAATATTGGCAAAATCGGTCGGTTTAACTTTACTTGATGAATTGGAGTGCTATAATTAATAAATATGTCGTGTGATGTGCGTGTATACTTCTCTGAGATTGAAACTAGCCTACGTTCTTTGGGCCATTGTTTAAACTATGGCCACCACATAGGCCTAAGTGTAGGCTATTATGGATGAACAACAACTTACAAATCATCTTAAAATCCTAATTGTTAAAGATATTGGCTTATCATTATTATTTGTTTGTTCATTCTCATGACGTATTGTATGTTTTTGTTCTTTAACAATAAATACCCCTTAATCAATAGGTGAACAGATCAAGTGTAAACAAAATATTTCCGTAAGTCAAATTTAAAAATGTGGTGGCTGAGTAACACCGCACATAATATTAATTAGTTAAATGATAATACATATTGACAAAAAAATTGTTCACCCCGCAAATATTTGATTTGTTTTTCTTTAAAAAACTTATCAAGGTTGGGTCAAGTATAAGATAGTTAGGACAGTATTTATCGTAGAGGTAGTCTTTACCAAGGCTACAGATGGTTTCTGCCTATACCGAAACCCGAAACTAAGGAAAGCAAGAACATTGTTCAGACTGCAACCTTCAGTAAAAACTTGATTTCACAACCCCTCCTAACAGAAATCAAATGCAAATCCAATCCATACATAACTACTTCCGCAGACAAGATAAATTTCATTGTAACTGGGCATGTGCAAAACTTTCCAAACTAAGGCTTCCGAGGATGTAAAAAAAAACATAAATAGTAATCTAATGATTATTTATATGATTATCTTAAAATTCAGAGTGCCAATAGAAAAAATTACAGTTTCCAGTTTTTTATTTTTATATTTTTAGTTTATGATTGTTACTTTCGGATATTTACAATGTCCTACTGGTCTTATGAGGTAATAATTTCTATCTGTAGACAAATAAACTCAAATAAAACTGGTTCTTGATTGACAGAGACGCCTGTACCGCAAGCCTAGCAAAATGGTGCCTGCTAAAGAATACAACCGTTGGAAGGAATCTCTTGCTGCCAATCACGTAGTAGCCTGCACAATGGAAGGGTGTAACTTCACTGCCGGAAGCACAATCGACTTCAGGAAACACTATTTCTCCTGTCCTTTCAAACCACCTCAGGTAAGATTAATTATTACCATAATTTGATATCAACAGCTCAGTTTGTTTTTAGATGTAGTATGTCTGCTATTACATTTTAGAGCACTACATTGAGTGCCCATGATATGATAACTTGATTGAATAGATCAATTCATTCTAAACTACCGAGTTTCAAAGTTTGATCAAAATCTTATTTAAAGTAGGCCACATTAAGAATTAATATTATTCTAGTCACAATTCAAAATGCCTTATTTTTCTGTTCCCAGTTTTATCAATGCCGACACTGTGAGTTCAATTCTCTCAAGCAAGAGCAAATGGTAGATCATGTCGAAGAGAACCATCTTGAAGAGAAACTTGATGGACTTCAAGGATCAGAAGATGATTCTTCAGAGCCTAGTGGTGACGATGAGGGGAAACCACCAAGAGCTGCTTACGCTAGTGGTTAGAACATAGTTTTTGTCCCTATAAATTTTGTTTCAGCTCATACCATTAGCTAAAAATCGTCCTTAATTTAGTTCAAATTTTCAAAACTTAAAAGATTATGTTTTATGATTCTACAAAAACAAAACAAAATATAGTTAAATATAATGTTATCTATAATTTATCTTAGGTTTTTTTCTTAGTTATTACCATCATTGTTACTATTTACTCTTGTTTATCTTTGTGTAGAATTGCTTATCCTACTACAACCAATACTCCTTTGTAAGTTATATATTAAGCAAAAACTTATCAAGGTTGATTGTTTGTTTGTTCTTGAAGAAGGCTAATGCCAAAATATAGAACTTTTTAAAAAAAGTGTGTGATTAGTTCTTTTTTGTACATAATATTAAGCAAAAAGTCACTTTTCAGGTTCTACACAACCCTTCAAGTTTCTAAGATATACAGCATTTAGGCAACCAAGAAATATAAAATCAAAGATCAAACGACTCTACACACCGGCTCTAAAATGGACTCATATGCAGTAAGTGTTTGAGTTAAGTAATTTAATGTACCGTAGCTTGTATTTTAATTAAATAAAAAAATCCAACCAAATACAAAACCTGTAAAAAAATTGAAATATCTTAACAAAACATGGATTGTGGAGTAATTATTTGTAAAGTGAAATATCTTTTCTTGGGGTAAGAGAATGATTTGAATAATGTATTTATGAAAACTCTTGTCAGAAAATGATGGGACAATCATAAACAAATATAGTTAAGTAGGTAAATTGTGAAATCCAGGCTACCTTACAAAAACAAACAACCCAGGGTTAAGTCCAGTAGATACACAAGAACACAAGGTGGTGCAAGCTATTGTAATTAAATTCATTCGTCATGCCTTAATTCCTGAACTCACAGAGTTCATCACTAAGGCTGGCCACACACAGGACTGGGCGAGGAAGGGCACGCCTAAAAGACGTCCCTGGGCGCCAGTAGGGCAAAATGTGAAGCTCTACAAAATTATGCCCTGAGGCAAGTCGGTGCCAGGCAGAACTTTCTGCGCAAGCAGTCATGTGATTTATTCCCTTACGAGCTAATTTTGATAAAGATTATTTTATTTTACAACTGATACAATTTACATAATTATGACTGTAACAATTTATACGACCAAAGATTACACCCTTTGATACGACTATACAGTGATATTACTACAGTGGTTGTATAACTAATAATTTATCCTGGTGGTGATAACTGAGGAAAGAGAGGGCCAACGTTCATACCTTAAGGATTTCAAAAACCACTCCTCTGGAGGTATGACTGTTTAAATTTTGTTTTCTATTCTGCTCCCAAGTATAAAGTCAAATTTAAAAGTTGGCTAAATCGGCTCAATGCTCAGAAATAGGGGCTAGACTTTTTACTTTGACGTGCCCCGCCTCTTACTGTGTGTGACAGCAGCAGGACAGGGCAAGTCAATCAATCAATCAATCAATCAATCAATCAATCTTTATTTGCCATAAGGATACATTTACATATCATTGACAAAGTCTATTTGCAGTTTTCAAACCAAGTCTTAAAATAAACAACAAAATACTCTTACAGGCCAAATATTACAATTAACTTTCAACTCCATTCACATTCTTAACTGAAATTAAAACCAAACTAAAGGACAATTTCTCCCAGTTTAAAATAATCATCCAGACTATAAAAAGGGTTCTGAAGTAGATAATTATAAAACATAGCCTTAAATTTGTTAATTGAATGAAAATTTATATTATTTTTTACTGAATTATACACTTTAATTGATAAAATTATGTGGCAATTACTAGTTTTACTAAGACGATGGGATTCTAACAGTGCAGTATTTTTAAAACGAGTGTTGTGACTGTGATTATTAAATTGAAGATATTCAGGGTTTTTTAATATATAAACAATCAGATCATAAATGAACAAATTTACTGCAGTTTGAATTTGCAGATCTATAAAAAGAGGTTTGAAATGATCAGGGTGTGTCCCTGTCATAGCTCTTAAAGCCCTCTTTTGGAGAATCAAAATTTCTTTTATTCTACCACTACCACCCCAAAGCACCAATCCGTATCTCATGATTGACTGGAAGTACGCAAAATAGGCCGTCCTTACATATTTCTTAGGAACCTGATCTACCAGACGATCTAAGAGATGCACCACACGAGACAATCTTGAAGATAAATAATCTATGTGAGCATTCCATGTGAGTTGATTATCAATTTGAAGGCCCAAAAATTTTACAGCTGTGCTATTATTTAGATCACTCATAGTGGGGATTTGTTTTAGTGTAAAAATCATGTTTTGGGTTTTTTCTTCATTAAGCAAAAATCCATTCGCATTAAACCAATTTGATGCTTTTAGCTTTGTTTCAAGGACAAGATTGTCAGGCGTCTCATCGTGCCCTGTCGCGCCCCGCCCCGCAAGGCCGGCACACAGAATGAGGCGTGACACGTCAAGTAAAAAGTTTAGCCCCCATAAACCTGAAAATTAATATAGGACTTTTTATTTCTGAGCCTTGAGCCGATTTAGCAAACTTTTAAATTTGACTTTATACTTGGGAGCAGAATAGAAAACAAAATTCAAACAGCCATACCTCCAGAAGAGTGTTTTTTGAAACCCTTTAGATATTATGAACGTTGTCCCTCTATTTCCTCAGTTATCAATACCAAGATAAATTACTATTTATTCAACCACTGTAGTAATATCACTACTTCACTACGACTTGTATAGTTGTATCAAAGGGTGTGTATAAATTGTTACTGTACAGTCTTATATGTAAATTTTATCGGTTGTAAAATAATCCTTATCAAAATTTGCCCAAAAAGGAATAAATCACATGACCGCGCATGCGCAGAAAGTTCTGCCCGGCATCGACTTGCCTCGGGGCATAATTTTGGAGAGCTTCACATTTTGCCCTGCGTCTTTTTGACGTGCCCTGCCTCGCCCGGTCCTGTGTGTGGTGCTCCATAAGAGCCTGTGCAATTCCCGTCGCACAAGACGCCCCGGGGCAAAATGCCCTGTCGCGCCCTGCCCCGCCCGGTTCTGTGTGTGGCCGGCCTAATACTAACCAACTGATGGTTTCAGGAGACAGAGGATGTTTGCTAAGGAGAGATTGTATCCTGAGGCTCAATGTCAAACTGTGCCAGGAGCATCTATCAGCTCACATCTGCCTGAGCTCACAGAGTCCATCACTAACACTAACCAACTGATGGTTTCAGGAGACAGAGGATGTTTGCTAAGGAGAGATTGTATCCTGAGGCTCAATGTCAAACTGTGCCAGGAGCATCTATCAGCTCACATCTGCCTGAGCTCACAGAGTCCATCACTAATACTAACCAACTGATGGTTTCAGGAGACAGAGGATGTTTGCTAAGGAGAGATTGTATCCTGAGGCTCAATGTCAAACTGTGCCAGGAGCATCTATCAGCTCACATCTGCCTGAGCTCACAGAGTCCATCACTAACACTAACCAACTGATGGTTTCAGGAGACAGAGGATGTTTGCTAAGGAGAGATTGTATCCTGAGGCTCAATGTCAAACTGTGCCAGGAGCATCTATCAGCTCACATCTGCCTGAGCTCACAGAGTCCATCACTAACACTAACCAACTGATGGTTTCAGGAGACAGAGGATGTTTGCTAAGGAGAGATTGTATCCTGAGGCTCAATGTCAAACTGTGCCAGGAGCATCTATCAGCTCACATCTGCCTGAGCTCACAGAGTCCATCACTAACACTAACCAACTGATGGTTTCAGGAGACAGAGGATGTTTGCTAAGGAGAGATTGTATCCTGAGGCTCAATGTCAAACTGTGCCAGGAGCATCTATCAGCTCACATCTGCCTGAGCTCACAGAGTCCATCACTAATACTAACCAACTGATGGTTTCAGGAGACAGAGGATGTTTGCTAAGGAGAGATTGTATCCTGAGGCTCAATGTCAAACTGTGCCAGGAGCATCTATCAGCTCACATCTGCCTGAGCTCACAGAGTCCATCACTAACACTAACCAACTGATGGTTTCAGGAGACAGAGGATGTTTGCTAAGGAGAGATTGTATCCTGAGGCTCAATGTCAAACTGTGCCAGGAGCATCTATCAGCTCACATCTGCCTGAGCTCACAGAGTCCATAAGGTTCCAGGGCAGTGACGGAGTTTGGCAGAAGCTGCAGCGTTTCCAGGCCTCTGTACTTGATGGTTAGTTCCATTCTTGATATGTTTAGTAATCAGCCTCTCTTATCTCTAATAATTAATACCTACGTCCACACTTTGACTAAGGGAAGAGTAGAGGAGATTGGTAGGATGGTAGAATGAGGAGATTTACGTTATGTAGCACGCTAAAACAGTAAATTTTGTGGACGCCTCTGCGAACACCACTTAGTAACCAAACTAGTATTTAATTTTTTTTTTTTAAGTGAGTCATCTTGTTAACAGGTGTGGCAGTGTTGTTTGCTGGAGGGCCTGTCTGGTCTGTATCCTGGGCCCCGATACCTGACTATGAGGATCACCAGTATCTAGCACTAGCTACACACACCAATGTGGAGTCCACCCATGAGATGTCCTCTTTGTACAATTACCCTGGTATCATCCAGATCTGGGCACTTGGCGCTATTAAAAACACTACGTGAGTTGAACCAAAGACTAACCAACACAAGTAGACTTCTCATCCCATTTTAAATGTTGAAGCTCGTTTTTTGTGTCTTGTTCATGTACTGTGACACTGGGTGCTAGTGTCAACAAAATTTTGTTTCTATTATTTTAGAGTTCATTTCTTGATTTGTGCTTTACTGTTAGGTTATATAACTAGGGGAGTTATTGTTTATGATTAGATCATACTATTTAGCTAAACACGGTTTTAAATTACTGAAATAACAAGAAACAAATTGTAAACAAAACATGACCTCTGCAGTACACCGTACAGAACTAACAATAAAATCGTCTTCAGCTGTTCTATAAGGGTGAGAAATATACTAAGGGAGATGTTTTATCTATGGTTTAACTTAGTTGAACCATCTTATTAATTTTGTTGAAGGTTAAGTGCTAGATAAGACTTGTCAGTTATAACTTTGTATATTTAATTAAGACAGGATTTTTTCCATGGGGGTTCCTTCCACTTTTGTTGCATCATAATATCCCCTCAATATCATGTCCATTTAATGTTAAACTATTTTTTGCTCCAGCAAACACATTTGGAGCTTAAAAAATCTCTTGGTTCCTCCTAGTTTTTTTTACAATCCATAAATAATTGCATAAACACTAGAAGAAGATATTCCTTGATTACACTTAACCACAAAATCACAGTTTTTGGACTAAAACCTTGCCGTATTGCTGATATCTTGAACTTAGGTTTTGATGACGCAGATAGCCATCTTGAAAGCAGTAACCAAAAGAAATTATTAATTTAGATCAGCACAATCTGTCAGTGACTCAACTAAGACTATTTTGACTAAAATCTTGCGACAACTTTAAAATGGAGATGGACTGTCTAGTTGTATCAATAGTCAAAGCTTGCAGCTATCGATCAATATTTCTCTTTTCTGCTTCCATTTTATTTTCATAAAATGAACTGTGTTGTTTAAAAAACAATGATGTAAGAGCTTACTGCATATGAGTAATTGGCCAAAATATTTGTACATGTAATCCATATGAACAAATTAGGATTACGAATTAAATACAATTAATGCAAATTCTCTTGGAATAACCAAAATCTAGGATTGAGATGAACTGAATACGACCCTAATTTTCGGATATCCGCTCATCTCTAACATTTAGTTAGACTTAATGTACAATTAATATAAATGTACTGTGTGTTAATCTCATTGAGTTGTTGCAGTCGTGAGGCAGTGTGTCCCCATATGGTGGTAGGTATAGCCCAGAGACGGGGCCCTGTGTGGGGCCTAGCCTGGTGTCCAGCGGGGGTCTACACACAGGACAGGATAGGACTGTTGGCTGCTGCTTGTGGTGACGGCAATGTGGTAGTCTACGCTGTGCCACACAAAACTAATACCTCTGGGTAAGTCTAATGCTGATTTGAACTTCATAGTAATGTTAAGTGTTTACAGTAGAGTCTTCATTATTTGACCTAAACATGTTACCTTAACTATCACTATAACTTATCATTTCAGTTTGGTCTAGTTAAAGTGAAAAATTTTGTGTTTTGGTCAGAAATTAGTAATCGAAATGGCACGCGATTTTAATTATACAATTTAAGATGTTTATTTTATTCCTAAACTGGTTACAGCTACAACATGAGAATTATTGTATGTTTACTACTTGTACTCTCTATTGTCAAATGCTCATCAACTGGCTGGAATTTTTTTTAGTAAGTTAGTCGTTTTTGATTTTTCCCTAACATTGTCCTAACATATTACTTCTTTCTCCAAGATAGTATGTTACAGACTCATAGATAAGTTTCTCCTTTGTTACTAAACAGATTATGCATAGTTTATGTAGGGATGGACAAGATTGGATTTTTAGTTCGAGACGAGACGAGACGAGATTTTTTATTTCTCATAAAATTTCGAGACGAGATCGAGACGGGATTTCCCTTCTCATACACAACGGGAAATGCACGTTCACAATTTTTACCTGATTTTGTAACATTGTTAGATGACTGTTTAAATACAAAAATAATGATAATAGGCAAGAATATTTACAATCTTTTATTACAAAAAAATCAGCATAACATTTTTTTATTAATCACGCCTAACTTATTAAAAATGCCTACGATTAGGAAACATAGTGATATCAGTTAGGATAGAGTTCAACTTATCCTAAAATAAAATAAATCATAAAATAAAAGCAATATTACTTTTTATAAAATAGTTACTTGTTTTGACTTTTTATAGTAATAAAACATTCCTCACACTGCTTACACTTTAAAAAACTTCTCAAATGTTATTAAAGTAATATATTAAAATAATTAAAGTAATATTTACATTTAAAGAATTAATTAAATAAGAACGCCTTCACAAAGGAAACGCAACTACAACACGCTCCTGTATTGCGGGTATTGCATTAACTTTCTGCAGGCGTTTTTATTTTTTTTTTATTTTTTTTTTTTTTATTCTTGTCTCGGTAAAAATCTCGGCCAAAAAGAAATCTCGTCTCGTGTAACGAGATTTAAAATTTCCCGAAATTTCGAGACTTGACCATCCCTAGTTTATAGTCAATGTTTTGTTGTTTCTAGAGACCCGATGTCAAACTGTTTGTCTTTGAAGCCTGTTTGGGAGTTGAAGCTGGGATGTGAGATGATGTCGCAGTGTACCTGCGTAGATTGGCATTCTGCGGCTCCACATAGGTAGTGTAATACAATACAGTGTTTGTCTAATGCTCATTCATGACATAATAACTTTTATAGTTATTAGTAGGAGTATTTTTGTGTGTGTATATCTTACCTTGTGTTGCTTCTCCAGTTCACTTATACTGAGGTTTATCTATACATATCTTAGTATAACATATCTAAATAATTAAGTATACACATCTAAGTCTTTTGTTATTTTTAAGTCCCTATCATTCACATTATTGATAAAACTATCTTGCTAAAATGGGTAGAATGCCTGGGGTGATGTGACATGGCTCGACCATTGACTACAGTATACTAGGTTATAGATCCAATGAGTGGGCCAGCTCTAGTCAGTTATTGGTTCAGTTCAAGTGTAACATAATTGAAAAAGCTTCTCACAGATAAACTGCTGCACAGAGGAAATACTCCATGTTGCACCTAAGTAGTGTCTACCGTAGTCACTGGTGTCTAGGACAAAGTCCAACACTGCCCCCACCATCACCCTCATGTAGTACAAACAACGCTCACGGTGGGGGAAGACCCTGTGCCCTGTGCAAAGTGCTCGCCGCTCAGGCTTTTCCTTGCTCATCGCAAGTATATTTCTGGCACAACATTCTAGGGCTGAAAGCGCACAGTCCTCCCCTCTGTACCTTCCTTCTTTTTAGTCCAGTGAATAGAGGTCTGTTAACTTACAAACGGTCTGGTAGTTCTAAATTTTTTATATGTTGTCTAGGATGGTAAGTAGGTGTTTAAAATGCAAAATGCACGATTCTCCCCTCTCCGCGCCCGCCGCCATATTTGAAAAAAAAAATTGTACTTTTTAGAGGTTTTCGCCTATATCTCCGTTTTGGTCTGTTTTAGTGAAGAATATGTAATGTCAATGTTGTAGACAATTAAATTTAACAATTTGTTTCTAGGACTTATGGATACGAAAATAGTATTTTTTTTTATATTTTGCCAAATTTCTAACTTTAGATTGCTGTTATTCAGTAATGGCCTATTCTAGGAAAACGAGTATCACAATCAAATTTATAGAGAATTTAATTACCTACATAATGTTTCTATTTTTTAGGCCAACTGTTTGGTTTGGGGCTGAAAAAACAAACAAAACAAATTAAAAGAATGGATCTAAAATTTAGTAGCTTCTTGATGGTTTGTAACTGAACCATCTTGTAGAAGTATAGCAATCCCTCATTGGCCTTTAGATAAATTATCCTGGCTAAAGAAACCGGCGATCCTAGTCAGTAAAAAAGCCACACAGATGTGACGCTTGCATCACAGCGGCGACGCATCAGACGGTAAAGATCAGCTGACTGCTGGAGAACGGGGGAGGGGGTAGGAAGCGCAGAGACAGAGCACAGTCGTGTTCCATAGTCAAGAGGGTGTAGGCGCCATGGTCAAGGCTGGACTCCACCGCCGATTGATAAGTTTTCCTTAGTATTTAAGTAATATTAAAATATGTTCTAATAGTTTTTCTGGAAGGGGGATTAAGGGGCTTGGGAACTATTAATTGTTTCAGCTTAGTATGTAAATTCTACATTAGAGCACACTCGTACCCATAAGGTACGAGTGGAAGTTTTCACTGTTCTTTCCCTTATTATATTTAATTAGATGCATTAGAAATTATTAGATCATCAAAATGGCTGTGATATGGATGTGGTTTGGCTCAGTAATTAATTTTAGATATTTATTACTCAACTCAGAATATCGCTTGCAACACTAGATTGATTATATTGAGCCTTAACGATCCTATGAGTACAGTACTGTTACTATAAACTATAGTAACACGCTTCAATAATGGTAGCAGAGCGTGGTTAAACGCTTCACAGATCAACTCACTCCATTCTACATAAGCAGGATCAACATGGGTTACATGTTGTGTAATATGGGTACCTTGCATTCGTATTCTGCTTATTATACCTTGTGTGCACTACTGTCTTAAAGTAATGATAATTGATTTGGATTGAAGGATCCAATAGTTATGAACAAGTTATCCTTTTTATATGTCTTTATTCAGATGTTAATGGATCCGAAATCGGTAATTGGCAACAGTACACTCTGTCATATTGGTACTTGTGGTATTATACGGAGGCAACATATTTTACAGCGTGCTGCGGCGGTTATGTTAGGTTTGGGTATCATAAATATGTTTGTAGGAATGTCCTCCTTTCGTTATGAATCGAACGATTACAGATGAGTCATACTTTCTATTTATTACCCAACCTAACATAATATCAGCGTGCTCAGCGTACTGTATAAGGGTTGCCTCCATATAATATCAAAGTACCGTCATATTCTCAATTACTCTACTGTATTCATTTTTATTTTGAAACTGGCTACAACATGGTAATGGAATGTATGGTTCTATCCTTAATCAAAGGTATTACCCATCGAAGTATATAACACAACTGGAATGCTAGGTACGTGTTCACGAAAGCGCGCCGTTGTGGCAGCCTTCCCGCACCAACATGGGGGACCCAGCGGATTTTAGCCAATTCATCGAATAGTGCGCGAAGTTGTTAATTCGCTCCTAGCATTCAATAACAAAGATTAAGTACAATAATGTTTATATATTCGTAATCTGCATTAAATGCAGAATCTAATGGTATAAATAAATTTTACTTTTGATTTAAAATGAAATTTCCATAGTTAAAAAAAGTTAACAATTTTTACATTGCGACATGAAAAAGTTAGTATCCGAGGAAGTATTTTATTTTTGGGTCAGAAGAAAACTGTAAGCGATAAAGTTGTAGTTTAAGAGATGATTTTTAACATGTGATCGAGCAATTTACAATTAAGTGTGTAGTTTGTTTGTAGTATAGTGATTAATAGCGCGACGAGGTTGATTTTATGTCGCACCAACCTTCTCAGTCCAGCAACTCTTTATGTATGTGCTACTCGATCATTGTAAAGCTAAATCAATTTTAACCTTTTTTAATAGTTGATATAAGTTAAAGAATACAACTAACTATTCTATGGATGTGATCATATATTTCATTTATTTGCAGAAGATAAATATCAATACCGGTTCCGGGCTGCCGCCCATGAATGAAACTGTTAGGGACACTGTTTTACAAAACAGTTTGTTTCTCCAATGCTAGGGACATTATGAATGAATGTAACAAAAATAAGTTAGATGTAAGGCAGAGATTGGAGAAATTGGTTTTGTTTCACAACATGTAATGCAACCTTTTGTACTATATTTAAGCACGATTGTGGGCAGTAAAACATATTCTTAAAAGTACTGTTTAGTATTATTAACCAAACCCTTTTCTCTTATGTGTGATGACATGAAATTTAAAACATATACAGAATAACAATGACACTTAAAACACTTTTTACTAATCATGTGTTTGCAACATTATACAAATACTCATATTGTCAAAGGAACACAACTAACAATTTGATTTGTAAATTTATTATTCAATTTTTGTTATTGAAAAATACTTCCTAGGTTTAGTATTTATGACCTTATCACTTATTTGATCTGAGCCTTAATATTTGAAATTTCTCATTAATTACCAAACAAAGCAGATAATACACGATCCCTTGTTACATTTAAACAAAGGGGGATTACCAGTCCCTGTGCCTGTATCTATAGTCTACATTTTATATTTTAATTTACGGTAAGATTGTATGTAAATAGTTTACCTAGAAGGTGATAATTCAGTATTTAGTTATGTGTTACCTGTAATAAAAATGAATTTAATATAACTATTAGTTGTACTCAAAACGTACCTTATTACCTAGAAGGTGATAATTCAGTATTTAGTTATGTGTTACCTGTAATAAAAATGAATTTAATATAACTATTAGTTGTACTCAAAACGTTTCTGGAAGTACCGTAAACGAAAAGATCAGCGGAACCAGTCAGCACGGCCCGCGGCGCAATTTATAAATAACCTCTTTGCGTTACTAATTAATTACTCCATTACACACGACTAGAAAATTTTATTTGAAATTGCTTGGTTATATGCTGAAGATCATCTCATTAGCTACAATTTTCTCGCTTGAAGTTTGCTTCTGACCAAAAAATAAAAAAAATCCTCGCTTAGTAACTTTTTCATGTCAAGGTGTGATATTTGTTTAACATTTTTAGTCGTTAAAAATCGAATTACGATTTAAATAAGATTATATTTATACTGTCAGATTCTGCAGTTAATGCAGATTCCGAATATATAACTTTAATTGCAGTCAACCTTTTGGATGCACGTCCAGGAGCGTATTAACAACCACGTGCACGGCTTGAGGAACTGACATATCTGCGTCGAGTCCCCCTTTGTGGTGAGGAAGGTTGCTGAAACGGCGCGCTTTTTATCCCAAATCTCCTATCTACCCGCTGTTCCAGTTGTGTTATATAGTTCGATGGTATTACCCTATAGACCACAACAGTTTGACAGATTGTGAGTCTGATTGTAATGTTTTCTATTTGTTCTTGTAGTGTCATTGCTGGAGGTTTTGCCAATGGGATGGTGGCTCTATGGGACCTTGCCACCACCTCTCCCCTACTCAAGTCTGGCTCTACCCTTCTACCTTTCAAGGTCATTGAAGCCCATCAATCGGCAGTTAAATGTAAGTTAAAGTCTAAACATGATCATTTTTTGGAAGAGGCGGGAAAATGATTTTTCTCACAGCTTGTAGTGTGGAATTCCAACGAGTTTTATTCATTGGTTACCTAACTTACTCTACTCTTTGAACACTAGTCTGGAACATATGTTGCACTTCATCAGAACTAGGCCTAGTGTGCCTATGCCCAATGGACTCACTTCGTGTTTAGCCATTAATTTCTTAAACGAACTAGACTGCAATCCAATCTAGTCTTAAAGAATAAGCAATTTTACTTGGTGGATGTTCTGAGTGAACTGCGGCCAGCAGTCAAAGACACGTACATACCCATAAAATTGTTTTAATTTCGTACAAAAAATTTTGCTTTAGAGATGTACTTCTTTTTAGAACTAGATGTGATAACTTGTAGTTTTGGTTAATCAGTGTGATTTAGTATTTCTCAAGATTAACGGTTGATATAAGTTTCTACTATGCTTAAAGTTCTGCAAAACAATGCTGATCGTACGGTGATTTCATATATGTGGGATGTTTTTAGTGGTAACTTAATCCATTGATTAACATACTCAGTTGTAGATTTGTCATTTACATGGGTCAGAATAAAGTTTATTTGTCTGGTTTATTTAGAGGGTATTTTATGGTTTACTGTTTGTTCCTTCCTTAACAACTAACCTACACAAGTTCAACTGGCCTACACAAGTAAGTTTAAAGTTTAAACTTGACTTTGATCTTTTATTTGAGACTGAAATGTTGATATTTGTAGCTGTCAAGTTGTCCTGCACAGAGGGAATCGTCTATATGATGTCAGCCTCTCTGGATCGTACAGCTAAGTTCTGGAACCTTGACGACACCAGAGCTCCTGTCAGCTTTCTACGTAAGGCCTGTGTGACCGACGCAGTCATGACTAACAACTGGCTCATGTCTATCAACTCTTATGATGACGTCTATAGGTACGTCTGAAATATTACAATTCTAAATTAGTGGTAGGCCTGCCATTTTCAGTAACTAACACTAGGCCTACTTGTAATTTACAGAACAATAAATACAGTAGAGAATTTACAGGAATAAAGACACTTTTACATATGAATCCTCTCTTCTTGATTTGGTCTAAGTTCCCAAATTGTTGTTGTGCTCGTTTTCAAATCCGATAATTTTTGGTTTGTTGCAAAAAAATAGTTGCTTTAGGACCCAGATGTCATTGTAAGTAGGCTATCAATTAATGCTATCCAACAAAAAGTTTACAGGTCATGTATTCATTAAAAGTTTGCATATTTTGTAAGATAATGCAAAAAATGCATTAATTTGAACACCCAATGTTTGAAAAGTACATAATTACTTCATTTAGTATTAGTTTATTTTTATTTAAGTTGGGTCAATTCAGTATTATTTTCAGAAATCTGACCTTTTTGGTCTGACACACTCCCGATCCCACAAGTACGATTATCAACTGTAATTTGGAAAATGTCAAAGGCCTAGAGAACAAAACGCCGTTAATTCAACTTCACCATTCTGTTTGTCAATATAGTTTTAGTTTGATATTTTTTCAGTCTGAACAACTCCCATGTGACCGGATGCACCTTCAGAGATTTCTTCACGAGTGCCAACGCCAACTTTGTAATGCAACCGGGCACAGTGTGGGTGAGTGTTTCAATCCCCAACAATAATGAATAGCGTTGCAAACCAACTGCCCGACATTGGAGACTTATATCTGAATGTCAGTTTTATGATTTTCCATAATGGATGTCTGGGATTACCGTATTTCGCTCATTTGAATGGAAATAAGTTAATTTAAAAATTACTAAACCTCACATGTATTCGGCCAAGTAAATGCTAATGGATACACTATAAATGTCACAAAACTATCAATGTCGTGTTTCGTGATCGACGTTTTAATTAGCCTCTGGTCTCTAATTGTCTCAGATGCCGTACTGTTCCTTGCAAAATAAAATAAATAAATGAAAAATTCCCGTTAAGCCATGTGGTTTTCCTTCATAAAATGGTGTTTTACTTTAATACTTTTAATACTTTAATCTGAAATAGTTATCATACGAATGTAGGTATTTTAAGCCAAGTATGAATGGAGATGGGTGTAGGATGAGTGGTGCAATCTTGTAGTCTTGTTAGTGACTAAGGCCAACATTTTTCTGAGGACACAGCTGTCAACTAATAGCCCATACAGCCAAAGGCAACTAAGGGACCTACAGTTTATAGTGGAATCCGAACCACATTTTTTGTTGTAATTAACGAATTGGTCTAATCATCAGGATAGAAATGCGGATAGTCGTAGTACTCACTAGTGCGGACGTCAATCTACACCAGGGAATATTATATCCACAGTGCATGACTATAAAATTCTACAATTCGTGACCTCCTTGTTGCTGGATTACAGGTGGATGCCACCATCCCAGTCATATACTCTCATCCACTAAGTCTATACAAAAAACACATTGAATATCTAATCCAATCAAATATACATATTTTCCAAAAGAAAAATTGAAGTAGGATATTATGTTCCAATCAAAGTATGAGATGAACTAAATTAATATCCATAATAAAACAGATTGTACAGGGTGGGGCAATGAAAGCGCCCCAATTTTTAAACAGTACAAACTCAATAATATTCACCCTATGGATATAAATAGCACACCAAAACACAGCTTTTCTTTTGCCATTTTAACTTAACAAAGTCATTTTTCCATTTCTTGAGAACAAAATCCTACAAGTGACTTCATTGTTCTACTTGACATTCCTTTTTAGCCACTTGAAACTCCATCAAATACTCCTCCAGCACTTTTTCAGGAATCACTTTAGTTTTTGGACTATCCTTAGCTTCGGTTCAAGCAAATCTGTGGGGTGACTTTGAAAAACCTAGAACGTCAAGTAGCTTGTTAGAACAACCCCCCCCCTCCCAAAAAATTAGCCAACGTAAAGCTTTCAACAACAAAAGCTTCCTGGCAAATCTCTTCGGACTTTGAGTTACTTGGACTCATATTCTTTTAACATTTGCTGGTGTAAAAAGAGTTTTGCGGCACCCACCGATTATTATTTTTTTTTTTTTTAAGTGATTATCCTAAATAATTTTACCCAGTTAAACATTGTTTTCCAATCTGGAACAGCGCCATGTTGACCAAGGATGGAATACGGTCCAAACAATCTCTGGTTTTTTTGCACAAGAACCACTATTTTATAAATAGGTTTCCACATCAAAATCTCAGTGTTAATAGCCTCAGGCATAATATTTACTAAAATGGCATAGTTTAATTGATGTTTTAAGCACAGCTGATCATTGTTGCAACAATTAACATGTGACAGGTAAAACAAATTGTAGCGTTCTCATTGCCTCACCCTGTATTAACACTACTTGCCTATATTACTTTATAAGAAGAGTTTTACACCGCAGGGTCTCTCCTTCAATGACTGGCTGAATGGGTGTGCGTATGCCAGTGAGATGGGCAAAGTCAGCTCATTCTTCCGCCAACAGCTTCTGGTCACTGAAGACTCCAAGAAAATAAACAAAAGCGCATTTGTACGTATTATTACTTGTTTTAAAATTCTAAGTCTACGTCTACATTATGTAACATAATTTGCTGAACTTGACATACCAACTGTTTGTTTTGACACGGTCAGTTTGTTTTGAATTCCCTGTCGCTGGCTTAAGAGAATTTTAAAAGCTAAATGACAAGAGAACCAGTAAACATTCGTGACAGAGCCAAAATTCCTTTCCCTCAATGTCACCTAAGTTTGACAAAAAGATGGCAATCCAGTGCTTGCTCTCAAGATGATAAATAATGTGCCTCAATCGGTCAAGATCCTTTCCAGGCAGTTTAAAACGAGTCGGGATTGGCTAAAGAACAGTCTTTACTCTGTCGAAGAATATTTTAAGAAATCCTTCAGCGACTTATGAAAGCTCCTTTTGCGGCCTTGGTAACAGAAAAAGGCTACTTTATGTGGTTTAATTAACTTCAAATGTAAATAGTGAAAGAATGAAATGGACTCAATTATCCAGAGATATCAAGGGTTTTGGTATATGGCTAATGGCAATGGTAGGCCTACTATGTTTAAATGTCAAAATTATGTTGTTGTTCTTTTTTAATTTTCTCATGTATTAGCTCCTTAACACTTATTTTCCTTTTAATTTAGCATAAAATTACCTGGTTAGTGGTTACTGTCAAAACGATCCTGTGTACAAATGTTTTGTCCAATGTAAATGTAATTTGATTATTATTCTCCTATTATGTAACTTTATCAGGCAAGCGTTTATAACTCTATTCCTTTCCAAATAAATACCAGTACACTCTACTCTTTTAGTCATAGTAATTGAATACTTTTTCCCCCTAAAGATGTAAGTCATTATTTCTACTTATTTTGCTACTGTACTTTGTTTCAGATTGAAGATTTGGCTACATGCACGGCTCATTCTATCAAAGACGACTCCGTCCTAACCAGAGGGTTTGGAACTATGTACCGAGACTGTGTCTCCACTATGGGACTCAAGTTTGAATTTGTAAGTCTCTTACTAGAAATATTTAAGGATTAACAAAGTTTGTTTGTCTTTAATCATGCAAAGTTGTATCATATACTCATTCAGTTTAAAAAAGTTCCATATTAAATACTAAGCAAAGTATTATTTTTTTCAATACCTTTCAGTTACCAAATGAAATAGTAGGCCTAATGTGAACAAAATGTGAATGTTGTATGTTCTTCAAATGTTTTTAATTTCAAGGGTGGAAAACTAAGAGGAGGCAAGTCGACTGTTTGCAGCAGTGACAACATGGACAGTTTCCCCATCCGTTCATTCAACACTGTAAGTAGTATTTATATAAGTACCTAATTAAAGAGAGCAACTTAAACAGGTACATAACTGTGCTTTGTTTGATTATCCATCAACTTAATTGCTTGACATCTTATAGCATTTAAATTAGGAATAGGTTGATTCTATAAGTTGATTCTCGATATCCCCCAACCACTCAATATTGATTATGATACCAATTCCCCGACACGTCTTACTGCTATTAGTGCATGACGACGATGACATTTCCGTTACCGCAGGAGACGATGATGATGTCTACCCGATTGTGGGAGATGATAAAAATTTTGCCGCAATCTTGGAAACTGGTGCTGATGTTTCCGTTACTGTGGGGATGTTCAGGATTTGGTTGTGACTTTGGGAAACAATGATAATCTCTACTCGTCCATGGAAAATGATTTTTACTACTATCGCAAGAGATGACAATGGTAACTAAATAAATAAATGAATAAAAGATTTTTCCAGTCAGTACAAACATTACAATGTTTGGAAACTGACTGGCCGCTTTTTCCAGTTGTACGGCCAGTTAAAACAAATAAATAAACAATCAATTAAAAGATATTTGAGCCCAGCATCATACATTAAAATATCTTATTCCACCATTTAGGGATCTGCCAAATACATATGAACAAATGATAGATACTGCATTATAAATAAATAACAAGTGTAACAAATTGTACGTGCACAATAATAAATAACAATAATTTTGTGAAAACTCAACAAAAGGTAGAAAGTCGTTACTTTCTTACATGCAACTCAATAGTTGCATGTAAGAAACTATTGACTAACTAAACTACTGTGAAAGTTTAAACTAGTGAAGTAGAAATTATTGTATCTTTATGTAGTCAATACCTACATTTGCCTAGGTCTAGGTACCGTATCTTATCTATGACATCATATAATTAATGTTTTGCTGTGCGGTAACTACTAGACTGCGGTATAAGATTATGATGTCTAAAAGGCCACAATAGGTAGTTTAGATTAGTACGTAGTTTTCTTAATACTTTTGTTAGTCTGAGGTTTTGGGTCATCTGACACCCTCCTAGTTCCGTAAGTGTATGAATATGAAGAGTCCTATGTATTTGCAAAACCTTTTATCAGTAAATCACAATATTTTGCAGGTATCTTGGAACCAAAACATGAACAGTTTCGTTTGGTTGGCCGCGGGTATGCAGTGCGGTCTAGTGGTAGTTCCTCGAGTCAGTAGTCTTCACCCTAACGATCTGATAGAACTGGAAAAGCTCAAAGATAACCTATAACACTGACTTTTCTGTGTAACATAGCTGTATATAAAGTATGTTAATATATTATGTATAAACAATTTTATAGAAGTGTTTAAGTTTAGTGATTTGAAGTTGCATTTGAAATACAATTTTATCTTAGTTCTTATTTTGACGTATTTTATTTATATGAAGCACAAGTTTTTAAGCAGTTAACCCATAGCTGTGTTTCTATCTTGATTATATGTTGCCAAATTGTGCATTGTAATAATTCATCTAGACTGAAAGCGCAAGAAAATTAGGAGAAAAAGTATTGGCTATACCTATTAAAACTGTTTTTGTATCCGTCATAATTTCAAGGCATTTCGTTGATTTGTTGTAGGGATTTTACCCTTTGTGAAATTGAAATTATAAGGTGTGAAATTTGTTACCTCAAAAATTAAGACAAATTACTTACAAATTCAACTGAACTTAAGTGTTTATGTCTAACTATTCTAAACTTATGCACCTCTATTATATGTAGATACATTTTGTAAAGTATTAATGTATATAGATTTAAACAGCAATCTGAACCAAAAATGATATCTTAACCCATTCCTGACTGAGTTATTTGTCAAGTATCATGCAGTTAGAACTGAGTAAAAAAGGGCCAATGTACCATGTTTTAGTTAAAAATTCATTAAAAATGTAATTTATGAAATAAATGCCTAACACTTGTGCTTAAATTGATCTACATAAAATTTCCTTTTCCTACAGTTACCTAACAATGTGCATGTTCTCTCACAGATTTGAGAAAGCAAAGTGGCCAATTCGCTCATCAGTGAGACATTGGATGTTAACATTGTCTCACTCTAATTACTTTGTCTCACTCCAGATTTGCAACGTGAAGGCACGAAATAGTGAGTGCGTAACATGCAGGCAACGCGAAATACGTTGGCAGCACTGGCTGTAAATCAGTTGGTCAGCTGTTGTACAATTATATTTGTCACTTCACGTAAAATGTTATATTAAAAGTTCACTTCTGTGTAAAAATAGGTTATGTTTCTTCACCAATTTATTTGTTTTATGGTAACTGTAGGAAAAGTATAATGTGCAACTCGAGTGCAAAGTACAATTGCCTCACTTGAGAAACCATTCCTCACTCGCCTACGGCTCGTGAGTAAAGATTTCTCTCAAGTGAGTCAATTGCTCACTTTTCTCACTAGATGCACAAATAACTATTTCTATGACACTAATTTTAAATAACTAATATTTTTTAGCAATTTTCAATACATTATGCATTTTTTATATATGCAACCAATTAAACAAACCTCAAAAAATAAAAATAAAAAATTTGTTAATTCAATTTTTTTTTAAATTTATAAATAGTATTCAATTTGTTACACAACAAACTTCATTTGGTTTGTTTATATATAAAATCCTTCATTTTATAGCTATTTTTGTAAAACTATGCTAAACGGCAAAATAGGCCTAGGCCTAATACAATTTTTGCACCAAAATTTCATGTGTACTAAGATAAAGTGTTGGGAGTATTGAAATAAATGTGAAATAATAGTCTAAGGATAATTATATTACTTTTGCAACTCATTACAACATTGGGAAATAATAATGCATAATAAGCCTAATAATAACGTATAATAATGCATTATGCGTGAGGAGGGGCGCTGCGCGTCCTTAGTCTTTCATAACCTGACACGCTAGGACGGGCGCCCGTTTTTAGGCGGGAATGGGTTGAGATGATAAATATATGGTAATAGTCAGTGATTTGAAATATGCTAGAAGAAATATTTCATCTAAATGAGAAACAAACATTACTCAGGTAAACAATTCCATTTATTTACAATTTTAAATCGTACTATTTTTACGGTTATTTATCTTAAAATTGGTTTGTTTAATCCTTTAATCATCATCATTTGACCTAACATTTTATACTTTGAAACATTCTAGATTTTGTGTATCTATTATACAAAATGTTCTTGTAGTTATGGAATATTTTAATGTATTTACTGTTTGTATACTGTTTGTATTTACTACTTTGTACTTTGTTTGTTGTTTATTGATTGTAGACCAGTGAACGACTTCCAGAATGTAATTATATGTATGTTTCATGAACAAAACTAACTATTTATTTTGAGAGATTTTTTATTTATGCGTTGTAGTTGTATATTTATTTCTGTTCTTATTATTTAGATAATTAATAATACTTAAACCACACTATCCATGTTGTTGGGATTTAAGGCTCAATGGCCCAGCATGATTGATGCACTGTATATTAATTGAAATATTTATATTTACATCCTCATGTATTTTTAAATTTACATTTTGATCGTTTGACCCTGTTTAAAAATTCTTTGTGTAGTTTAATAATTGTTATCGTAATACATAATTTTCTACTATTATTTGAATTGTGTTAAACTGAACTTGGTATCTATGTCAAATATTACCAAAATGATATAGACAATAGACAATAGACAAGTTTATTAGTCATTAATTAATTCACAAGAATTACAATAGACATCGTCAATTTAAACAATAGAAACATTATTTATAAACAACTATAAAATTTAAGTCTTTGTTTACAAATTGTAAATTGAAGAAATCACTTAACTTGTACATAGGATTAGCTTTACACCAAGAGAGCAGTTTTTTTGAAAATTCATTTAAGGGCAATGCACGAAAATCAACTGGAAACATGTTAAATATTTTGATCCCCAAGTGGGTATGATAGTTTTGAGATCTAGACAGTCTTACTCTACTTACATCAATAAAATTTCTATTTCTAGTTAAGTGGCTATGGACATTTCCTCTTAAAACATGTTTGTTTGAGTTCTTTTTCACAAAAATGGAGACTTCATAAATATACAGATTTACAACAGTTAATATACTAGATTCTATGAACAGAGATTTACAATGGTCTAATCTTTTGGCACCAGTAACAATTCTAATGACTTTTTTCTGTATCAATAACACCTTACCAATACCAACTCCATTACCCCAAATCACAATACCAAATCTTATGATGCTCTCAAAAAATGCAAAATAGGCTAATTTCAAATAGCTATTAGTGACATGATTCCTTAAACTGCTTAATAAACATTTGACTCTGGATAACCTTGTACAGATAAAATCAATATGATGCTGCCAAGACAGCCTATTGTCAATATATATACCTAAAAGCTTAACAGAACTAAAATCACAGATGTCATGGGTTGAAACCAATAAATTGTCAGTTTTGTCAACATTTAAAAGCAAGCCATTTGCAGAGAACCACTCTGTCGATTCACCTAAGGCATTTTCTGATAGGCAGTGCAACTGCCCTAAGTCACTGTGGCTACAGAACAGTGTTGTGTCGTCTGCATAGATTGTGACATCACTACAAGAAACATTAACAGATAGATCATTCATAAGTATTAAAAATAAGATGGGGCCCAAAATTGAACCTTGCGGAACTCCAAAATTAACATGAGTGACTTGCGATGTAATACCATTGACCTCAACCATTTGCCTACGATTACTAAGATATGACACAAATAAATCTAATTCACAGCCTTGAAAACCATAATGAGCTAATTTGTCTACAAGAATGGGATGATTAACACAGTCAAACGCTTTACTCAGATCACATAAGGTGATCTGAGCAAAGCACCTATCCTCTAAAGCGTTAAAAAGATTATTTACAACATGATCCACCGCTAAAGTTGATGAAAGACCTAACCTATAAGCAAATTGACAGTTACTAAACAGATTACTATGTTCAAAAAAATTACATACCTGGTTTTTGACTATTTTTTCCATAACTTTAGCCATTGTAGAAATACATGAAATGGGTCGGTAACTGCTAGGCAAATTTTTGTCCCCTTTTTTGTACACCGGGACAACCCTTGACAATTTCATAAAAGATGGAAAAACACCCTCTACGAGACAGCGATTTATACAATAAGTGAAAGGACTTAAAATAACAGAACAAACATTTTTCAATAAATTACTCGTTAACCCATACGCATCTCTAGTATCAGAATTTTTTAACGACACAATCACATTTAAAACATCTAATTCTGATACCATTGTGAATTTAAAATCAAACACAGGTTGAGCACTTTTTGCCACCATTTGATGAGCATTGCTTTTTGACACATTCACTTTCTCACAGATTTCTTCCACCGCCGTGGAGAAGTAGGAGCTGTAGTCATCAGGGGATAGCGCTGACATATTTTTCTGCGTGGACCTCCCAGCAGCTGAGTTAATTACCGACCAAGCAGTCTTGCACTTATTGGTAGACCTCTCGATGAGTTCTTCGTTTTTTCTCTTCTTTGCTTCTCGGATAGCAGTGCCATACTTGCCCTTTAGATTTTTAGATAAAAAAAGAATGTCCTCATTACCATACATTTTATACACATCTTGATAAAACAGTATTAATTTTTTCATTTTTTCCAGCTCTGGGGTGTACCAGTTAACTTTATTTTTGAGAGTTCTATTTTTAAACACCTTCTTCTTCACCAAAGGAAAACAATCATTAAAATTAGAGAAAAAACAGTCCCAGAACAGATTGAAACATTCTTCAGCAGATAAATTAGGGTCAAAAACCAAGTCCCAACTGACAGTGCTAAGGTTCATAATAAGGTTATCAACCATAACAGGCGTGAATCTTCTGGTCCATACTACGCCGTCTTTCTGAAGTTGACGTTCCGCAGAAATTTGAGAATGTTCCAGTATTAACGCATCATGGTCCCCTAACAACGGGTTTACAACACTTATTTTATAGTCTGAAGAATTAACATTGGTTAGAACATTGTCAAGACACGCTGCGCCTCTAGTAGGTTTGTCATTTGCACAAAAAAGATTAAACTGTCTAAGTATATTCAAAAAGTTTGTAACACTAGGCTTTGCAGTTGTGATGTCAAAGTCCGCATTGAAATCACCACCAATCATGAGTTTACTCGTACTTCCCCTACTAACTAGGAAAGCTAGCATATCTTCCAAAGACCGCAAGAAAATGTCCACATTACCCATAGGCGATCTATATAATGACACAACAATTAGGTTAAAATGAGGTAGTTCAACCGCAGTGACTTCAAAGTCAAGTTCTAAACAAAATTGATTCAAATCAATTTTTTTAAACAGAATGTCCTTTGCAACAAGTATTCCAACTCCACCTCTTGATAGATTGGAACGACAAAAATTGTTTCCTAATAGGTAACCTCTCGGTATATAAAAGGACTTGATATACAAGGTATTCATAGGACTTGATATACAACATAAGATCAATCAATTGCAGTTTATTGTCTTCAGGTGAAATATCTAAGTTGAGAAAATGTATAATGTAGGAAAGCCATAAAGCAAAGTTATTCATGTAATGTTTACAATTATTTGAAAATAAATATTCAAAAAACATCTTCATAGGAAATGTTCACTAAATGTTAACTTTTCATAGGACTTACAATTCAGCAGTGGTTATAATTTAAAGATACGGAGATTAATAACAACATTACTTTTGGTTGAAATCACTGGTGAGATCAAATCAAATTTGGAATAAAAATAAAAATTGTAATAGCTATGTTAGTTTAAAATCCCAAGTCTCTATACACTTTTATACCAATAATCTAATTTGGGTATATAGTTTAATTATTTTGCTAACACTTGATTATTTTGTTTTAATAACAATTGTAAGAACTGACATAGGTTCTGATCTTAGATTACGCTAATTTTTAAATTTAGCTGTTTTTAATATATAAAATATGTTATGATGGCAAAATTTCTCAACCATTGTGATTTAAATACATGTTGCATCCAGTATGGCCACCATTTATTTTCATCCTCGTCCCATTCCAATACTTTAAATTTGTGAATTTATAAGTTAACTTTGATTGATTCTGGCATGGCCATTTTTGTTTTGTTTTTTTGGTCCGCTGTGTACATTTTGTGTTAAGACCTTAGATAGCTATTTAGCTTATTAGCTACTTTCCTTTTGCAGGATTTTAACATTTTTTTCTTCATGCTTCATGAAAAAGAGCAGTATAAATACGTGCATTGGGGAAATAAAGTACTTTTTGTTCCTAAAACAGAAAATTAATTCAAGAAAGTACCAAAACAAATACTCTCTTCTATACTAAAAACTGAAATTTTAAAAGAAAAATATCATTTTCAAGAGTTGTTAGCCTCCGGATTACATTTGAATATTTATTATGGTTTAATTAAGTACCTGCATTCAGTAATCCAAACTGCTGCTTGTGGCAACTATAGTTTCAGTTCAGTTCAGCTAGGAACCATCTTCAGGCCGTACAAGGTGTCGTTATTTACCTCCGTATATGAAGGTCGACGGAGGTAAATCACGACACCTTGTATTAATTATAGGAAAGTCTGTAGCTTTGTGGTGGCTATAAAAAGACCTAGCTGTTCTTGATGATTGGGTTTTTGATAAATACTTTATTTTACTTTACTTTTAAATGGCGACCATATGAATGTAGGTATTTTAAGCCAAGTATGAATTGAGATGAGTGTAGGATGAGTGACACGATCTTGTACTTATAGTCTTGTTAGTGACTAATGCCGACGTATTCCTAAGACAGCTGTTAATTAATAGCCCAAACAACTAATGGCAAAGGACCTACAGTTTATAGTGGAATCCGAACCACATTTTTGTCTTGTAATTAACAAATTGGCTTAATTATCAGGATAGTACTGTGGATAGTCGTAGTACTCAATAGTGGGGACGTTAGTCCACACCAGGAAGTATTGTTCTAGCCTGTATGAACTTTTAAACAGCTTTCCTCAGTCATCGTCATCATCAACAAAGTTGCACACACATCTCATCAATACCTCGCTGTCATCTTTTATGATATTTTGGTTTGTGTTCCCATCTTGGAAAATCTATTAATAAGTTTAAAAGATTATAATGGTAGTTTGAGAGAAGCTGGACTTGTATTTGGCTTTCCGATAGAGATATTGTTTCATTTTGAAATTTATTTTGAAAGAAATTGCTCCTAAAAATCATACTGGCTATTTTAAACAAACTCTTTCTGACAAGAGAATATTATTGTATACTGTGCAGTAGGTGCAAGTGCTATCGATGTAGAGTGAATGAGCAACTAATGACCTCTAGCTAGCCATTGTTCCAGTGTCGTTATTAGCCAAGCTCCTATTCTTGTGTCTCCTACACAAACAATACCTGGTACAAAAATAACCTTCACAATGGAAACATCTTTTAGAGAAACTTCTAGAATGAAATAGAATAGTAACAAACTATCTCATTAGTGATATTTAGTTTTATAAGCCATATACATTATGCTGTATTTGTAATTGTTTCAGGTTGGGGAATTTGCAAAGATCTAAGAATCTGTTAAACAATGTTTCCATATTTTAGCGAATATCGCATACAGGGAATAAGCTATTACCTTAGGTCTCATGGTAAGACCTAGACCCATCCGATATTCTTCAAATTCTTATATTTTTATGTGTGTGCGTGT